CTGTGACTCATGATGTAACATCATCCCGTGCCCCCTGCATACCTGGCTCTATGCCCTCACAGTCAAGGCACTTTTTACTATCTTGTTATGTTACTACAGAATGTTTATGTTGTGCGTAAGTGGCACACATCCTCACCTCTGTTTCCCTTCAGGCCCCACTCTTGTGCTGTGCCAATGGTTTGATCACCAGGACCCAAAATGAGCATAAGCAGCGATGAGGTTAACTTCCTTGTTTACAGATATCTGCAAGAGTCTGGTGTGTGATCAGGCTAGTTTTACTACTATAATATTGTTGTTTTCTTTTATTATGATTGTTAAATTATTTTATGATTCTTCAAGGCTTCTCCCACTCTGCATTCACCTTTGGCATAGAGAGCCATATCAGTCAGTCTAACATCAATGGAGCGCTGGTGCCCCCTGCTGCCCTTATATCCATCATTCAGAAGGGACTGCAGTATGTGGAGGCTGAAGTCAGCATCAATGAGGTAATGCTTTAGACTAGACATTTGAAACATTGTGCTTTTCACTGAAAGCAAAACTTTAGTGGGTTATAGCAGCAGTTTTTCATTGTTAAAACAATACAATAAAAAAAATGTCTTCCAGGACGGGACGTTGTTTGATGGAAGGCCCATTGAGTCTTTGTCCCTGATTGATGCTGTGATGCCAGATGTGGTACAAACCAGGCAACAGGCATACAGGGACAAGATGGCACAGCAGGCAGCGACCGGCAGCGGGACCCAGGGAACCGCCAAGAACGGAGAAGGAACTGCAAATGGTGAAGAAAACGGATCACTCACTGTAGCGAGTAAGCTAGCCTTTGTAACCCTTACACATCATCAGATGCATATTAATGCCAAAGTATAATGGTGCCTGGCGTATAGAACTAGACTTTCAGCTTTCATTTTATTGAACATGACATAACAGGAAGTCTCTTTTACAGATCATCATTCAGAGATGATTGAAGTGGATAGAGATGTAGAGATTCCTCAGAGTAAAGCGATGGTCCTAAGAGGCCACGAATCTGAAGTTTTCATCTGTGCCTGGAATCCTGTCAATGACCTGCTTGCATCAGGGTGAGTTACTTTCAGTCACTTCTTCAGCTTGAGGATGCTTGTCCAATATAACATGATTCAACAAAGCAATATAGTTTATCTTAAATTAGTGCTAACGCAGTTAAAGTACAATTCTTTTTTGCACAATTTAAAAGGGCACAAAACTGAATCAGCTGTTGGTCTCCCTGTAAAGTTTGTGGAGAGCAGTACAGGGCAGAGGACTGTTACAGCAGCAACAGTCAGATAGATGCTTTTGTCCTCATGGTCTCTGTCAGATGTGAGACTTTCCTGTCATCAATCATGACATTTTCTTCCCCTTTTATTAATCTAATTTCTGGGTCGGGGAGTCTCAGAGCACCAGTTGCTGACCCTCCTGCATGTGGTGGGTCCACATGATGATAGCTTCAAAGACATGGCCTTGGTCCTCTAGTGGGAGCTTCTGGCAATGTGGAAGTGTCTTGCCCAGGGACACAACAACAGCAGACATCAGCTGGTGGGATCAAGCCCATGACCATTAGGTCCAAAGACCAGTGCTCTACCAACTGAGCTATTCTTAGAAATACTTCTACATATTTCCCAAGATGGCTCAAAACAAACAATATATCTGTAATCAGTTTCACAAGCATGTATGTAAACATGTGAAGCTTCTGTGAGTGTCCAAAAAAAGGACTATAAAAAAACGATGCATTATTATTACGCCATTTTATATTAGCACTTTTAGCCGTGTTTACAAAAAACAAATCTTGTAAGGAGCCAAACTAATGATTCCTGTGGAACTGGGGACTTCTGATGTTGAGACATGTTGTCAACAGGTCGGGGGATTCGACGGCTCGAATATGGAACCTAAGTGAGAACAGCTCGGGCGGCTCAACTCAGCTGGTTCTGAGGCACTGCATTCGGGAAGGAGGCCAGGACGTACCCAGTAACAAAGACGTCACCTCACTGGACTGGAATGTGAGGCTTTGAATCTGTTCCACTGACACATTTTTGTAATGGGACCACCTCTGTGAGAATGTACTCTTTTCACGGCTCATCAACTATTTCCTAACCGTTTCCATAAACCAGTACCTCTCAGCTACAGGGCTCTTTCTTAAAAGTATGCAAACAAGTTTACAATAAATTATATAATTATTTATGATGAAGACCGTTGTGGTCTGGCTTTTGCACGACTAACATGCATTATTATTGGGAGTGAAAATGTGGGTAGCCCAGGTAGGATGGGTCTCAGGAGAAGATGTGCAGGCTGTGCAAAAAACACATGCTGGTCAGAGTATGGATGGGTACGGCTGCATTTAGTCTCTGCATTTGAGAGACATTTGGCCACAGTGTATTAAAACAATCATCAGGGATCTGATCAAAGTCCTCACAGACTCTTTTTGTAAAGGGGCTATTCTTTTCCATATCTTTCCTGTTTTGAGCAATCTAAATTGTGGGGATTGAACTGACACGCAGACACGATCTCTAGTGCGGACTTTGGGAGCCCACTGTAGTGGCAGAGCAGAGCTTATGTGGAACCGCTGTTATTCACTACGAAGCGGCCGCAGAACGGAGCGGATTCTCTTTATAACTTTGTGCGTTTTATGTTTCAGAGTGAAGGCACGCTTCTTGCAACAGGTTCATATGATGGTTTTGCAAGAATATGGACAAAAGACGGTACGTTACTGTATTTTTGACGCAAAATCAATAATCCAGTTTACGACATTACAAACATCTCTCATCCCATCAGTCAAAATGTTTTGATGGAGGCCCACACTCTTTAGCATATGGATTGTGATTGGAGTGGACTGGGGTGGACTGAATCAGTAGACTGGATGAACTTTATTATGTTTTTAATGAAAAGCGACATGTACTGTTGATACAATAAGCTGAAACTTTAACATAAAATATCACAGATAAAAGGATTATAGACCTACAGTTAATACTCACTTTTAGATCAGATGACGCACACCATAATACCAAAATAATACTCACACAAACAAAAATTGTAACTAAAGAAGCACTGTCAACAAAAAAGGGCCAAAATTAACACAACATATGCAATGTGTTCTTGTATTTTCTAGTTGTGAACTGATGTATGTATTTATCTGTTTTTGTAGGTAACTTGGCAAGTACTTTAGGGCAGCATAAAGGACCTATATTTGCACTCAAGTGGAATAAGAAAGGAAACTTTATACTCAGTGCTGGTGTAGATAAGGTGAGAGATGCTTTCATAACTTGAATAAATCTGACATTGTTATATTAAACAGTCTATAGAGTTGTAACTGTGCCAACTTTCTGTTTACTATTATTATTACTTTCTTGAATAGTTCCTACTCATTACAGAATATGTTGTAAAATAATGGTTTAATGATCATCCCTTTTAACAGACGACAATTATCTGGGATGCTCACACAGGAGAAGCAAAGCAGCAGTTTCCTTTCCACTCAGGTTAGTGAGAAACTCGTTTTTCTTTAGTGAGTACCACGTGTCGTATGTCTGCCCAGCTGCCCCTGCAGACACATGAAGTTGAATGAATTTAAGACCAACTATTTCTAATGTGAGGAGTTTATTTCAAAGTTTATTTCAACATGAAGCACATTCAAGAGATGTGCATTATATCACAGTGTTCCCTCATCACAAAACTGACCTGGAGCTGTTTTTAGCTCCATTCATGCTGATACCAGTGTTGTGTCTGCTCCTATCTCAGACCAGATGTAGCCTAATTTCACATGCAGTACTTCTTTACAAGTGTATTTCATTTAAGGGTCAAGAATAATGGATAATATCGCTTCCTCAAATCACTTCTTAAACCTACTTTCATCCAATGTTCTTTTATCACCTGTCCTTATAGATTTTACTATTGACTTGTCCTGTATTGTTATTCATTGTTGAATTGCATTGCCTTTTTTTGCTTCTATTCATGTCTTATTGTCTTGTATTGTTTGTATACTGACTGCAGAACTATTATTATTATTATTATTAATATTAAAGCAGGCTCTTATTTTACTGATGATAAAAACTCAAACGGCCCTCTCATTTGTAATGCCCTCACAGCGCCGGCCCTGGACGTAGACTGGCAGAGCAACAACACATTTGCCTCGTGCAGCACAGACATGTGTATACATGTGTGTAAACTGGGCCAGGACCGACCTGTGAAGACGTTCCAGGGACACACTGTAAGGCTGTTGACTTTAGTCACTTACAGACATCGCAGTACATGTTTGACGTTTTGAATATTCAATTCCATCTCCATAGAACGAGGTGAATGCCATTAAATGGGATCCCACTGGCAGTTTGCTGGCATCTTGCTCTGATGATATGACACTGAAGGTGAGGCCAGTGTTTCTATGACTCATTTATTGTTCTTTTGTATAAATAACCTTAAATCTCTTGCTTAGATCTGGAGTATGAAACAGGACACATGTGTTCATGACCTCCAAGCCCACAGCAAAGAAATCTATACCATCAAGTGGAGCCCCACAGGTCCTGGTTCCAATAACCCCAGTGCCAACCTCATGCTGGCCAGGTGTGAAAGTTAGTCTGTAGCAATGCAGTGTGAGTGTTGTGTTTAGTCTAACCTCCTTTGTGTAACCATGGCCAGTGCGTCCTTTGACTCCACCGTTCGCCTTTGGGATGTGGAGCGGGGTGTGTGCATCCACACGCTGACGCGGCACCAGGAGCCGGTCTACAGTGTGGCCTTCAGTCCGGACGGCCGACACTTGGCCAGCGGCTCCTTCGACAAGTGTGTTCACATCTGGAACACTCAGGTCTGAACTACTCAATGTCAGTTTTCAAACCGTGTGTGCACTACGTCCTCCAATCTAAATCCTATAGAGCAGCTCGTACCGTTCTATTTTCCCCAAAATTAGCGCCTACCTTTTTAACTCATTGAATGCCAGCCTATTTCAGAACAGGTACTCCCATAGTGCCAGCCATTTCTGATGATTTTTACTGATTTTTCAAGACCCACAGAATATTGTGTACTATGACTATCTGAAATCCGACACCAGATTCTAAAAGAATGGACTGTCTACATTCCTCAGCAAAAAGAATTTTGTTTATAGCTTTTTTCGTTCCCCTGTAATCCTCCGTTGAGTAGAGGGAAGTTTTACTGAAATCACCAGAAATCACCAGAAAGTTGAGAAAAAACAGGCACAACATGTGCACCTACATGTTTTCAAACCATTCAGAGAGCAATGCTGCCACCTGCTGGCTCGATAAAATATGGTCTCAAGTCATCCCCATACATATTAGATACAATAGACATCTGGGAACGTGAAAATAGCAAAAAAAGCAATTGACGTATTAATGCGTCAATGGCACACGTTACTATTTGCTTTGACGTATTTGTGCGTCAATGGGACACAATGAGTTAATAGGCTGGGTTCATGGTGTAGAATTTCAGTTGGAGGACAGGTGCCAAAACAACTCCATGGGAAAGAAACTGTTTTGTATGTCCAAAACAAAAATGGCCAAATGTTTTCCCTGATCATCATTTCATAATTATTAGATTCACAAACCTGTCAAGGGGCAAAGTAAAAAAGTTGTAGCCAACCGGCTCCTTGGTGAGCAATGTGATTATCAGCACATGCTTCGTGACACTGGAGAACAAAAAAATAATAATTTACATTACCATAGATGTGGATTTCTCTCCGGTAGTCGTCCATTTTGGGGCTACAGATATGGAAACTTGCCTGGTGGACATATTCCTCTGCTCTATACACTTGATTCTAGTGCATGTATAGAGCTAGAGACTAGTGATATATACTAGTGTATATAGTGTGATACTAGTGTATAAAGTGTATTTATAGTGCGACTAGATTTAATACAATGTATGTGTTTGATTGTTGCAGACGGGAGCCTTGGTCAATAGCTACCGTGGGACTGGGGGAATCTTTGAGGTTTGCTGGAACGCCACAGGAGACAAAGTAGGGGCCAGTGCGTCAGATGGATCTGTAAGTTTATGTTTCGGAGTTAAAAATGTCAAGTCATTTGGCTGTTCATTGATGATGACACATACAATGGTTTTATTGTTGTGCTTGCAGGTTTGTGTATTAGACTTGAGAAAATGACACAGGTCTGGGGAGACCATGGGCTGACTACGAATGTGTACATAGCCAAACCAACTGACTGCGCTGCCTGTCCGTCACACTGCTGTAGTCCCATCTGAGGCCATGGTCTGGTTTTACGGCCAAATGGAAGTACCCCCATGTACACTAACTAACTATTGGACTGCACCAGATAAAAGAGGTGTGTACAGACTAAGAACCAAGATGATCGCAAGAAGGATTTGCTCATTGAAACACACGACTCACTCTAGGGTCCTTCATGGAACTTTCTTTCCGCAGTTCAAAAAAGATGAAATCTAAAATCTGTTTTTGGCTAAGATAAAAATATAATCGAGGTATGAGAATGCCATTTGTTAGCTGTAATATACAGAAAGGTTCCCCTGTGCTGGACTATATGAACTTGATGGTAAAGTGTCCTATGCACAACGTGTATCCTCAAGCCTCAGAAATGTTGTTAGACATCAGGTTCTTTGAGCAAACTCAGTGGTGATAGGGGCCTCAGGCGAGAGGCTCTTGTCTCTGTGGTCACAAACAAACGCTGTGTGAATGTCGTTCATGAAGTATTGCTGACATGAACTAATGTAAAGAGTCAATAGTTCCTGGATAAAGGCTTTTTGTCATTATTATTGGGCTTTTATCCGAGTCTAGCTGAATGATAATCAGACTGAGCTGCTGTCCTGTCCTCCGGCTTGGTCATTAAACATCAAATAGGTTGCTATTTTTCATATTGAGGTGTGTAGGGCTTATGCTGAGCATGTTTTAAATGTTAAGTCCACAGCTTTCACGCGCCTTGTCGCACTGCTGCTCCTGCTTAGGTTCGCCGTGCTTGTCAGGTGGTTGCAGTCCCTCGTGCGGACGAGCTCAGGTCAGGCCTATGTACAGACAGACACTGCTTTTGTTTGTGGTTTTTTAGACTTGCTATTTTTAAAGCTGTTTGTCTGACAGGGTGAAATGATTTTGCAATGATTGACTTGAGGCTTATCATTGTTATCTGCATATCCATTAACTATTATCAGAAAAATATATAGTGATATGCCAGGAAACTTTTGTAGTTCCCTCGGGGTCTGAGTGGCTTAAGGGCAGTTGGGGAAAAACGGAAGGATTGTCCTTTAGCATCACCTGAAGTCGCAATCAGGGAGTGGCTTTTAGTTATAAAATACCATTGTATAGTCATAGCTAAAATGGGGCTTCTTTTTGCACTTTAGTCCAAACTCCAAGATGGGGAAATTAGGGGGTGTGTTGAGGGCTTGTGGACATAAGAAACATCTCAGTGCGTCAAATGTCACTTTTCTTTCACCATTTTAACACAACTTGGACGTCTGCTTCAATACAGCAATTGGACTGTACTACAAATATTTAATTCCAAAAGATGTCTATGACAGTTGAATGGTATTTTATAATTTATTGTTTTTAGACAAAGCTTTTTACACTTAATCCAAGTGTTTTTGCTATCTATGTGTTCCAACTGAAAGTACTAATGTTAATCTATCTTTGCTACTTCAAAGAGCCCCTCAAGTTTTTGTATTTCTCCAAACTTTTGTAATTTCACTTTGTTTGTACCTATCAACTCAAACTATCAAAAATAAAATTGTTAATGTATGATGATTTGTAAATACCAATTTGGACATTTCTGTGTTGTCTTTGACCTCATTGTGTTTTTGTACTCTTACTTAGCTGCAGCGTGCAGCCTCCTGATCTGACAGATTCAAAGGTTAGAATAATAAAGATATGAATAACAATAGAAATTAATCTTTGTTTTATAAATCACTACATTTTTTATCTGTTGATGGTAGTGACAGGCATAGATTTACAAACAGTGTTCCAAACGTCATGAAGAGGGCAGCCTTCGTGCTTTGATTTTTATTGAACGTGTACTTCGGCTGTAGTGGTAGGCCATCCCCATTCACCCTGAGGGAGGGGACAGAGGCATCAAAGCGACCGGCAACACATGTCCTACCTTTAAGAGCGTCTCTGTCAGAGAGTGATCACTGAAAGTGCTGAAGGAAGAGCTTGTGATTCAGATCTGCTTTTTATTGGTAAGTGTATTTCATGGCATGTGTCCTCCACTCCCCCTGTTTGTGTTACAAATCTATTTATACAAACCGTGACTTTCAAAGTATGCATGAGGGAGGGGGAAGGGGACGAGAATACATATTTTGTTTTAGTGAAGAGTATAGAATCATGACAGCATTCACTAACTGAAAGTGATTTTTCCTAAAACGGTAGTAGACCCATGTATGTGGAATGCGATCTTCTCTGACCTCCTTTTTCTACTTTGTATTATTTAAATTGCTCCTTACTCATTTGTCTATCTTAGCAGAGCTGTCTGTGCACCTGGTTTTGTCAATTATCCGAACACCATCATGTGTTTCCACATGACGGCTCCAACATTATACAAATAAACCGTGCATCAGGATGTGAGGTAGTAATTGATTAGTGTGTGTCCGCTCTCACAGACTGGAGGTGTGTAACCAAGTTTAAAGTTACAATGATACAAAAATTTGCACAGTCCTGGGAAAGTGATTATGAAAGTGTGATTAATGTCACATGTAGTATACCAAAATTGCGTTTTTACTGTGAAATAAAATACATAGTTATTGTCTCAATAACTTAAAATCTGTCACAAATACTACAGTATTTTTTTTAAATGTTGGGTGTAATTTGAAGTTCAAGTACAAGTTCAACTGTCTGCCACCGTCCATGTCCTTGTTATGCCAACATGTTGTATTCAGTGTAATGATGTCGTTAGACTAAAGAATAAGAGAGCAGAGAAGGTTGGTGTTAAACATCTGAGCCTTTACCAATTCAAAATACATTACTGTACTTACTGGACTATAACAACTTTTTATATCTTTGAACTCTGGCAGCGTTGCTATATAATCAGCAATTTATGTATTTTCTATTTTGTTAGAGCGTCCCCTAGGTTTTATTTTTTTATTAAGATTGTTCGTTTACTTTGACTCCATCACTCCACTTAGCAGAGCTCGGAAGCACCTTCATTGCCAAAGTCTATCAAAACCACTTCATAAAATCATTGAAGTTGATCAAGTGTTACAGTACACACAAACCTGCGAGGTTCACCTCCTGGGTGGAAGAAAAATTATTTTAGTTTCAAATCTATCTGGTGTGGTTTATATACAGGTGCCCTTAATACTCCATGAGTGCTGTGAGTGAAAAGTCATTGGCCTCATCAGGGACAGGCCACCCGCTCTCAGGCTGCTCTGGGATGTCCCAAGCTCAGGATCGGCCCGGGCGGAAGCCGCCTATTCACATGTATTATTCTACCTCGCTGCTCTGATGTGGACCATTGTGCCCTTCAGCTTTCCATGCCTCTCTCAGCGGTTTTGGGGGTCTGTCCCTTAAACCCTCCTTTATGGACCATACAAGCAGTGTTTGCGCTGTGCTGGCTTTTGCATTCAAAAGCTAGCCATTTGAGTCTCGCAATCTTTACTCTTCCAATATGTCACCTAACGGTCAGATTACCTGATATGCACATTATCAAACTTACCTATTTATTTCACCTTTTTTTAACCAGGAAAGTCCCATTGAGATTAAGAACCTCTTTTTCAAGGGAGTCCTGGACAAAAGTTACATACATTACAGATTATAAAACAGTTGCATACATATTATAAAAATAGTCCCAATTTCATAAAATTACGAATTATAAAAAAGTTACATTCCAACGAGGATGTCTCAAGTGCTCTCAATCTGGATCTAAAAGCATTCAATGAAATAACTAATTGTCCGTTACCTTTTTTAATTAGCATGTCTTTCATATTTATATTTGATACTAACATTACACAGGTTAACAGAATAACAATTATTTCTGGTTTATCAGTTCCCAGATGGATTGGAAGATGTCACATACTTGTTGGATATATCTTTGATGGGGGATCTTTTCCTTTTATGACCCCTCCTGTGTGAAGATGGACCGATCCAGTAATGTGGACAGAGCCTGGAGCCTCTGAAGTCCAGTGACGTCTGACAGTAACACTGATACCTCCGTTGACCCACACTCTGCCAGAATGCATGTATGTTTCCGTCGGTTACGGAGATGCCACTGTGCACAGCTGATGAGTTGTTGCTTGGTGCTGTCCCTGGTCATGGTGTGTTGGGAGCAGCTCGATAACACTGTAGTCAGTCACGTCAAGTCTGTGTCTTTTCGTTACTTGGTCAATCGCTTCAGTCTGGTCAACAAAAGTCTTACCATTCCAAGAGAGCAGGCCCTGGTCTTCAGTAACTTCCCCTACCTCCTGGACCACCCTGATAACTGCAAAGGCCAAGATGTCCTGCTGCTTCTCTTTGTTAAAACTTCCCCAGAGAACATTCAGAGGAGACAATCCATCAGATCCACCTGGGGCAATCAAAGCTACATTGCAGAGACACTTGGCGTCACTGTGAAAGTACTGTTTGTTTTAGGTGCCCCAGGGGTCTCGGACAGTGACAGTTTTGGTCCACAAGAGCAATTGGAGTTTGAAGACAGCCTTTACAGTGATCTAATCCAGCAGGACTTCTACGACTCTTTCCACAACTTGACCCTGAAGCTGCTCATGCAGTTCCACTGGATGCACCACCACTGTGCTCACGCCCGCTTCCTCATGTCTGCAGATGACGACGTCTTTGTACACATGCCCAACCTTGTGCAGTACCTCCAGGACATGAGCAATAAAGGGCCCACTGACCTCTGGGTTGGCAGAGTGCACAGGGGATCCCCACCAGTGCGGAGCCGAAGTAGCAAGTACTATGTACCCTATGATGTGTATGAATGGCTGTCATACCCTGACTACACAGCTGGGGCGGGGTATGTGGTCTCCAGTGATGTGGCAGACAAAATCTATCATGCCACCTTGACTTTGAATGCATCACTTTTTATAGATGATGTGTTCATGGGGATCTGTGCCAATGCTGTGGGTGTGTCTCCTCGAGAGCATGTATTTTTCTCTGGCGAAAGCAAGGCTCCGTACCACTCTTGTATCTACAACCAAATGATGACCTCCCATGGACATGTGGAGGATATTCATGAGCTCTGGAAAGCTGCCACACACCCAGTGGTAATGACGAAATCCCCAGGGCTGATGGGAAGACTTTACTGCACAATTGTCAAAGTAGCTCTGCTCTGTAGACCTTACTATGTAAACACCTACCCATGCAAAGCAGCCTTTTCATAGTCTCAACGTCTGTGTATCCTACGATATGTAAACATGGATCTGCGGTTGATCTGTGGCTCACACGCTTCACTGAGTTCACCTCAAAAGACGGCATACAACATTTTGAGGATCTTTTCCCATTTAATTGTTAATCACCATGGTAACGGCCCTCAATATTCAGAAATAGGATGAGCAGAATATTGTGGCCCTGCAAGTATTGTTTTGGTCTACGTCCGAAGTGAAGGATGACATTTGTGATGAAAATGTGCCAAGAACAATATGACAATCGATAATCTGACAAGAATTGTTGAGGGAATTGCTGTATTGATATGTGTCCTACAAAGCGAATTGTGGTTCATTAGGGAGGGAAAGAAACATATTTACTTTTGAATCCTTTTCACACCAGAGGAATATACTAACTTCAGAAGTAAAATATGTGAACTGCCTGGAACAACTAGTGTATTAGGGCCATGGATGTTTTGTAATGATGTACATTATTATATTTGGGCACACTTGTTTAGTGGTCTAGTGCTTTGTTTTATATTGTCTGTACTTTTATTCAAGAAACCCTTCCCAAAGAATTATATGGCTCTGGTAACTTCTGAGAAATAAAACTACAAATGACATGGGGATGAAAGGCATTTGAACGACCCTGGAGATTAATTTATTTGCGTTTCCCCTTGTGGAAGTTCTTGGAAGTGCTGAATTTTCTGAATTCTAAAGATGCAGAATTATATAAAGATACTATCTGCCAAAAAGGATGGATCTACTTTAACTCCAGAAAAAGCTTGTTAAAACGACATTTTTTCCACTTATCTAATTATTTTTGATACCCAATTAATTTAATCCAAGTGTAATATATTTTATAGTTAACAATTTTAATATTTAGACAAATACTACGAATGAACTAAAAACATTTAAAGTCTTTTGTGGAAACCATAGACCGTAAACTGTATTATTATTATGCGGAAAGACTGCTGCAGAATCACTCAATCTACATAACCAAGAGATAATTTAGTCATAATTATGAGATCAAATATGCAAATATTTTGTGATAACAAATCCCCTCCGCTCTCAATTCATTAGTTCATTTATACTTCTTTAGAACAGGGGTGTCAAAAGGCTCCATGAAGGGTTGGTGAGGCTACAGGTCATGGATTTGTTTAGTATCAATGGAGTATAAAAGATAAGTCACATATTCTTAAATGTGAAACACATTTGAGCGCATGTGTAAACGCAGTGGTAGCAGGACTTCGTCTGCTTTACTATTCTCTACAAACGAAATTCATCATTCTATTACTGTTTATTCAAACTCCATTGGACTGATATTCTTTTGAAATAACATCTTTAGGACTCATTACAGTATATATAGGCCCAAAGGCATTTCAGTCTTCAGTGAGATTTTCAGCAGTGACATGAATGTAGGGGAGTAGAAAAAGTAGTAAATATGTCTACTGTAAAACTAATTCGACAAAAATGTTCATTTGCTTTTGACTCGTCCCCTTCACTACAGAAAACCAACTTGTTTGAACGTCATTGTTGGGCATTTCGTGCAGGGGAAGGTGACAAAGAACAAATGGAACACAGTTGTTCACACTTCCGACCACACGTTTCCTTGCTATTGTTCATCATGCACCAGTCCAGGTGTTTTGATAAGTGTGAATTCATTGTGTATGCTGTGCAATCATAGATCGACCTGTTTCATAGAAATAAACATTACAAAATTGTAATCATTGTGACACAATATCAAGCAACATTTTTTTTTTCTTGTATTGGTGCACCATGTTTTACTGTATACCCACAGCAACAGTGAAGTGTGTGAAGGTTCACTGAGAGCAGAGGCTCTTCACGTCCAGATGAAGCCGTTTCAGTTTGACTGTGACAGTTTCCCTCCACCTCAGTGGTTCAGAAGTTAAAGCTGGGGTAGATGAATTTTTCCATAAATGATTAATGCTGTTACTATCACCAAAAAGCTGAACAAATTAGACTTGATTTTATTAATTGTTGTAAGAAAGAGCCCTGTGAGCCACTATTTATTCATTCAGGCTGAGAGGTGATTGGTTGAGTGAGTGTCCACTTATTTACTTTTCTATCTGAAAGGCTGATTTAAAAAATACATTCATGTGTAAACTAATTATATGACCCTTATATTAAATTGTGTATTGTTATATTAGACATAACCATTAAATATTCATTCCGTTGCATTAACTTTAAATGCTTAGGGTTACTTTGCGTTAAAGTATTTGGGTAGATACTTTATCTTTGGCCGAAATAAAACCAATCATTATAACTTCATGTTTTATTTGAAACTGCCTCATTGCACTTAAAGTGGATTTTATCAAATCTGAATAAGAAAAATTATATGCACAAAGGACGTTCTGTGGAAAGCAAAAAAAACGACTAATGAAAACTCGCCCCAATACTATTATTCACCTATAAATTGAGAGTTAATTATTGTTGTAGAATAAGGGTTGATCCGTGAAGGTGGCATGGTTTTCTGCTTTACCCATCCACACTGACGCCTGGTTACTGTGATGGGAGACATTTGCAAGTGCCAAACTAGTCTGGAGCCAAAACACTTATCACTTACAATGTTTGAGTAAGGTGTATCACTTGGACAAAAAATAAAGTACTAGAGTCAAAAGCTTTCTACAGCCACTGCATTACATTGTCAATGTTGTATGCAAGTTTTAAACTAATTGCAAAATAATTTAGCAACTTGCATAACAAGTCTAGTTAAAGTTAAACATTTGCTGGTGTTCTCTTGGAGGTCAAAATATTTAAGCAGATTAACCACTTCAATTCTTCCGTGACATGTAAATATTGAAGCAGCTGCGCACATCTATGGCCAACTATTCAAGAGGTTGAGATCAAATTATTTCAAGCATGAACAGATTCTCTGATCAGGACACAAAAATTGAAAGGAAATCTTTAGCCTTAAGCCTAGTTTATACTCGCGCGGTGCGGAGCTTACGGAGGTGACGTGACGTCACTTGCGCAACGCGTTGGTCACCGCAAGGCCCTAACGTCGCCTGCCGCGCAGCATCGAAATTTTCTAACTACGTAAGGGTCGCCGCAAGGAATCTCCGCTGTGATTGGTCCGTGTGTGTATTGGAAGGAAGCACGGAGCGGCTGCAGCAGGGACAATGGACGAGGCACTATGGAGCAGAGAGCTTTGTGCTTCGAAGGAAAAGCAGTTTGGGCTCAAAGCCTGATATACAGGAGACTGGACTATCTAACTTAGATATAAGTTACATATAACTTATAAACTGTGCAGTCGTTTGTTTCACTGTTCCTGTCTTGTTTGAATCGTAGCTGCGTTTGTTGCTTTCCTCCTGCACTCGTAAATCGTTCATGTTTGTCTTAGATATTTACCACTATTATTGTTTTGCTGTTTGTGCTGAAAACTATTTAATAATAACTATGTTTCCAACAAGAACTGTGTCTTTATTCAAAGCATCACAGTTGAAATGACTTATAAAATAATGAATCCATAAAACTATCACATAAACCTACAGTAGAAACACGTGTAATGAGCTCAAACAGCTTTGTTTGCTATTGTTGTTCTGAAGAGGACAAAGTAGCAGCGTAAATGGGACCGCTCCTGTGTGATCGCCCTCATGTGGTTTGTTGTGGGATTACAAAATTCCCCTCAAAACTCCGTAAGGGGAACGCGCCAGTATAACATCAATTGTGCTTACGTAGGTCCACCGCAACCGCTAACGTAAGCCACGCCGCGCAAGTATACACTAGGCTACTCGCGCGGCGCGGAGCTTACGGAGGTGACGTCACTTGCGCAACGCGTTGGTCAAGTATCAGGTTAAGAAATTAAATCTTCAAATTCCACCTTTCAACCTGGGTTATGGACAACAGTATTTACTACATAAAAGGGAAAGAATTTTTTTACACAACCAATAGTTTATTAAGCCTGCCATACAATTCTGGAAGAATTAAGTAGTAAGACTATCTCAGGAGAGGGTAAAACCACATCAGCAAACATGTTTAACCAGTGAAGCCTGGGTTAAAATAAAAGCTTAAATTAACACATTCAAGATATAAAGGCAAGTGAATCTAGAGTGGAACATAACAGGTGTCTACATTTAAGCAGGCCCACAATATATAAATGTATATCGTACATACGTTACCATAACATAATTTGCAGACTTTATACAGCACTTATACCTTTTAGTCCACAAGTAAGTAACTAAATGGTGGAGAATACCCAACAGACACATTTTAAATGACCATTGAAAACAATACCTGATAACCTTTAAGTGTATAGACCCCATGGCTTTGTCTCAACCAGACAAATGAGGCTAGAATCTACAACTTCCAGAAGAGAGCTCACCTCACTTTAATACCAAATATTCTGATCCAAAGTCAAATATTATAAGCGCAATACGAGTGGGCAATCCACATTACTGCCTCAAAGCTCAGATGAGATCTGCCACATTCATGGGCATCTCCTCCACGGTTGTATTGTAAAATGTCTCAATGTCCCGAAGAATCCTCTTGTCCTCCTCAGTGACAAAGTTGATAGCGACGCCTTTTCTGCCAAAACGGCCTCCACGGCCAATTCTTCAAAGAAAGAAAATCATTCAGATACCAGTCCGATATAAGATCTGTGTCAAAGCATTACCTATGAATGTAGTTTTCTCTATTCGTTGGGAGGTCATAGTTTATGACCAAGGAAACCTGTTGAACATCGATGCCTCGGGCCTGGAACAGAATTGGCAAAGCTTTCATTTTATGGTTAACCAAAAATTTGTATTAAAAATGTTGCCCACTATTAAGTAATAGAATCCTACAGTCAAGGAAACCATTGTGGAGAATGGGCCTTAATCTTCCAAAAGTTAACTGCCAAGTCATTTTAGGACGGTTACAGAAAATTAACATTTTGGGGGAAAAAAAGACAATTCACTCCTTACCAGAAGATCCGTCGTGATTAGCACTCTGCTCGATCCTGAACGGAACTCTCTCATAATAACATCACGCTCCTTCTGGTCCATATCGCCATGCTACAGTTAGAGTGACAAATCTAAGTTTTGGAATAACCAGAAATGTACCTTCGACAGGCCAAATATGAAATTAAGTGTTTGAAAAATTGCATTCCTTACTGTAAGTGACATACCAAAGCGGATACAGTGAAGTCTCGTGCGTGCATTTTCTCTGTCAGCCAGTCAACTTTTCTTCTTGTGTTGAGAAAAATGACTGCCTGGGTAATTGTTAAAGTCTCATAAAGATCGCACAATGTATCCAACTTCCACTCCTTAACAAAAGAGAACAACGAGTAGTAAAACACTACACCCAATTGCTGCACATCAAGTTGTAACACAAGACTCAGAGGCAGAAGACACTGGACATTTGGAAAGAGGTCCCTCCTCGCCTCATTTCAGGTCTTGTGTGTTGATTTCCTTCCCCGGTGTACCCATGCTTACACAGCCACATGAACCAAGCCTCAAAAGCTAGGCTCCTGTAGTTTTAGCAGGGTGCTTGAAGAGAAGGACCACTGAAGTATAAAATATTAATTACCTCTCGCTCTACATTGATGTAGAATTGCTTAATACCCTCCAGGGTGAGTTCCTCCTTCTTGACCAAAATGCGAATGGGATCCCTCATGAATTTCTTCGTGACCTCCAACACATCTGCAGGCATTGTTGCGGAGAGCAAAACCACCTGCATGCATCAGAAGACTGATAAGTAACATTGAACACACTAGTTTTGAGTGTGGCACCAAGCCTTGAAACAAAAGCCATTGAACATTAAGAAAGAGGTTCGGCCAAAGTTATTTTGGTTCAGTGCTCGTTTGTCTCCTTCTGCGCATGTTCTGCTAGCATTACAGCGCCACACAGACGTGTCCATGTGAGACTGTTATAGCAGATTTCTGTAATGCAGAAGTGTGAAGTTCAATATTCACCAACCTGAATATTTGTGCTCAACTTTTGAAAGATTTCATAGATCTGATCCTTGAAGCCACGACTTAACATCTCATCAGCTTCATCCAGGACAAACATCTTTATATATTTGGGAACTATGAACAACATGAAATATTAAACAACTCTCAATTATGTCTTTGCTGCCATTACCAGTCACTTACTCAAATGCCTCCTGTTGAGCATATCATACACTCGTCCTGGAGTGCCAACAACTATATGGGGGGCTTCAGCTTGGAACTTCTGAATTTCATTTCGGAGGTTTGTTCCCCCAATGCAGGCATGGCAGGTCGCACCCATGTAGTCACCCAAAGCTAGAATCACCTTCTGGATCTACAGGTTAGACAGAAACAAGTGTTTACATTTAAAGTGAATGTTGAGTAGAAAAAGGAATTAGTAGTTTAAGTGATCAGTTAGTTAAATATGTTCTCTCCATTTCAAAGTCAGTCCCGAAAGATGGTATGGCATCATTTCACATTTAAACTACAGGTCAGACAAAACTGAACCCCAACGTGATCATCATGGACATACCTGCTGAGCCAGCTCTCTGGTGGGGGCCAAAACAAGCGCCTGCGTGTCCTTCTGCTCTATGTCCAACTGCTGCAGGATAGATATGGCAAACGTAGCAGTTTTGCCAGTACCGGACTGGGCTTGGGCAATAACGTCATAGCCTGGTGAAAGTAAATTGCGATTTTAATATTGGGTGACAAATATATGTATCGAATTGAGACAGATTTACATGATCAGCAAGAATAAAGAAATCACCATAATTAGGTAAGTCCCGAAAGATGGTAAAACATCACGTCATGTTATCTGTCCAGATTTGATATTTACTATTACAAACCTTTAATACAAGGGATGATCGCCCTTTGTTGAATCGCTGATGGCTTCTCAAAACCGTAAGCATATATTCCTCGAAGAAGAGCCTCTTTCAGGACCATATCGTCAAAATTGTCGGTAATTTCATTCCAATTGCTCTGAAACACGTACAACAAGTTATAAGATTGCAGTTTTAGGCAGGAGGAAGTGAACACATGTACAGACTATAGTTTATATACTATTATACCTCGATAACGCCATCAGGCTCCATTCCGTCCGGCCCTCCATGGTCACGATCTCTTGAGCTAAAGCAAAGTGCAACATAATCAAGTACAGCTGCATTTGATCCAAACTAAGTGGTTTCGACGGGACTCTCCGCAGACACATTTTCACCACGTGTTGCCTCGACGCAGATCGGGACGGAAAGACCTCAACTCGTGGAGAACCCGAAGAAATAGGGAACGACGAGTGCAGCTTCCGGTAGAAAGAGCGCGTCTGAGATCATTACCGCCACTCAATGGTCATTAAGGGTATGGACCCTTCTGACTAACAATGTGAGCGGAATAAGTGGTCCAGATCGTTTCTTATGGAGCGGAACCCCCAACATTGGATCTGACAAACATAAAGTGAAATAAACCTGGTAACTAACGATACACATTCGCATCAGTAGCACGGACCTTTTGCTCTGCGCCAGCCCCTGCACACACGAAGCGGGAGGCACCCTGGGGGCTTCGGGTGTCTTCCCGGGTTACGCCATGGATCTGTGAGGGTTACGCCCATAGATCCAATTACGTCCTGGCTATATGACAAACACGTGTCAACGTAATTGACAGGACTTCCCCAAAGAACAGTTCGGAAACGATATAATAAAAGCAGTTCCTCTTGTTGAGTTTTGATGTTAACAGTCTGTATGGGGAGGTAAATAACATTCTTAACCCTCCCCGGTCCATATGAGCATGGAGCAGTACAGCTGTCGGACACCCGGGCCTGCGGTTCCCAGGACAGCAGTCATGCCTCATTTTGCCCGCCCTTGTCTACTTAATATCATGCATTTGTCACATTTAACATTGACAGGCCAACAGACCAGGTTATTGTCCAGGTAACAGTTGTTGCTCATGTAACGACATGTATTGGAGTTATTTTTTTAAGTATCCGTGGAAATAGACGCGGGTTCTGATCAGTCGCACTGGTTCAGACTGAGGCCCAACTTGGCTTGCAACTCTGTATGGCACCACTGTCATTCTTGTATTGAAATATATATTTGTTGTATTCAGTAGACCGACTATTCAGTCAAAACGCTCAACCAAAGCGAGTTTACCTGTTGTAATCAGCAGAATCACTAGACATGATCCGAAAGCAACTTCAGCATACGGCTGGGATGACTGCTGATGGCGAAGGCTTCTGCCTATGAGCAGCCGGACTCGTTTCACCCCAAACTTAGCACACACCTTCACTTGACCGAGCTACGAAGCCCACCAAAATAACGGGTGGGTTATTTGTATTTCAAGAGTGTTGAGCGCCTATATCGTATTTGCATTGTGCAGGAATATTTATGTTTTTGGTGAACTAGTTTTGCTGGCGGAAGAACATTGCAGTAATAGTTGGTTGTCGGGTTGTTATAGTGTCTCAGAGTAGACAAATTTCGTAGAGGCGCTATATCGCAACATTGTGAGTGGATCAGCCAATGCACTCAAATATTTGAAAAAATAAAATGTTTTTATTGCATACCACAATACACAGGGCCATATTTAAAAAGTACAAGTGTTTACTTTCTGAAATATTTAAACATTTAGTGTTGAAATTATTACAATAGAAAACCATACAGTGATTTACAAACGCATAACGTTTCGTTAAACACAAGCATTATAGGAACCTGATAATCAAAGATTTTCAAGTGATGTATTCAGTGCATTTATAACATTTTTAAACCAAATGAAACATAGGTTTGGCACACAAAATAACAATTTCCACAGCAAATGAGAAATACAGATTAAACTTAAACAACGCGTAATTTTCTCAATCAGATTCAAGCCTTTAGAATAAATTTAATGTATAATAGTAAAATAGTTAGAAAAGAGTTCCTCTCCTGCTGCAATTTCTCGGAGTGACACCAAAACCACGCAGCGGAGAGGTCTCTGATGGTTGTCATGACATGAGTAGTTGACATTAGGCAAATACTGCCTTAGCTCCATAGGAAAATTGTAGGGCACATCATATTCCTGATAACACACATTGGCAGATTTATCATTTGAACAGTTGTTCACATATTGTCCTACAGCAAGAGGGTTTAACGGGTTTGATGTCAACCAACTTGTGTCACTGGTCAAAAAAGGCCCCAATCTGTCCCGACCACTGCAGGATCTGAACACCATTCTAGAGATGCCCCTGTCATTCCCATCCACCAGGACACCGTCAATGCACCTGAAAACAAACGGGTTTCGAATAGACTGGAGCAGAATGGGCTCATGAGCCTGGTACACTGTTCCAGGATACATGGCGACTGTGGCTCCTTTGGGAATGGCACCTTGAGTAACAAAGACTCCAGTCCCGGCAAAAGGCACAGAGCTGGGCTTTCTTTGGATGCAGAACCCCAGTGAGTGCAACATGGCTTCGTGCGCACACATTCCTGCGCTTAACTTGTCCGAATGAGCAGATGCAGAATCCAGGGCTGCCTGGGAGTCCTGTCCTCTATGAAGGAGCCCAAACAGCCGCAGGAGGCAGCTGGACACTTCATCGTCTGCGAGCAGCTTGTCCAGTCTGCGCTCGCTCACTTTTCGCAAAGTCTTCTCATTTTTAGATACGTTCAAAGCAATCCAAGGCACGAACCTGTATCGATAAGATTTCCATTTGTTGTGGAAGTGATTTAAAGCGGCACGAAACATCCAGGGAGAACTTCCCTTCAAGTACCTTTCACTGCTTTTGACAGGACAAAACACAATAACAATGTAACTTTCTCTAGCTGGAGTCCTAGCCTAGCATACTCTTCCTCGCTTTTATGGAGACTTTCCTCACTGCATTGACACATTAGCGCCACCTACTGGGTATTTCTACTATTACTACTACGTCTACTGCACTGTTTGTATTATATTCAACTTGTTAGTTGTTATTGGACAAAATTCACCTGGTACCTAACCAAGTATTAAAGCTATTTTTATAAGTTTTATAAGTTTTAAAAGTGGTTATTCCCCAATCATGTGATTAAAGGTTCACAGTTTTGTCTCTGGTTGCCATGGGTTTCCAAGGCAACCGGAGACAAACAGCAGCAGACGAGACCTCTGTGAACATCAGTCCTGTTCATTTTTATTATATGTATTCATTGGCTTCTGGAAATGTCGAGAATTGTTAACTCCCTTTTAGCAAAAATGGACTGGGATGTGCGCTTTGCAATCCCTGAGTGCAACGCAGAAAACACCGCGTTGATAGAAGAGGTACGTGTCCCAATGCATCTGTGCATAATGCTGTTGTGTAGCTTGCTAAGCATATCTTTAACTATCTAACAAACTATCTAGCATTAGTTAACGTACACCTAACCTCTGGAGTACCTAACGTTAGTATTTTATCCAACAAATGCATATGAAGAGTCTTGTAAACTAACATGCGACACAAACCAGATATCACTACTGTTTGCATCTTATGAGAAGACATTCAATATTTGCATATTTTTGTAAAAAAGTAATGCGAGTTGCCATTTGACGTGTTGTCTTAAAGGACTATCCGTCACACTTTACAAACAAGACATCTGTAGATGAGCTACGTCTGCCTTTGTTAATGGTCAAACATGACCAAATTAATTATTATTTGGTGTCATGAACATAGACTGTTTTGTCATGAAGCTACATGATACCATAATGGTTGTGGTCAAACTGCAGTACTGCATCCTCTGGGCCCAGAAGACGTCTATTTTATTTCTCTCTTTCAAGCATAGTCTGCAAATATATGTGACATTTTATGATTTCACAGATTATTACGAAAGAAAAGCAGCTCTTGGAAATTGAGCAAAAAATTGAGAATAACACAAATAAGACACAGACACAGACTGGAGAGCTCAAACTCCTGAAACACACCCTGGAAAGCACTGAGGTATGTATGCAGTTTTCCAGTATATTTAAATTGTGAGGTCCACTTTGAAAGATTACAAAAAGGAAGTTTGATTGTGCTATGTTATCCCAGGCATTATATAGAGCAATGATGAGAGAAGTGGAGACAGAAAACCACTTGACTGCTCTGGCTGAGAGAGAGGCGGGTCGGCTGTCCCAGGAGTCCTCAAAGATGAACAATGAGCTTAGATTGTTGGATGAGAGGTGCAACACAATGGAGGTATGGTATACAAAATAAATAAAATATTGATCTTTGACGCAGACTTACTGTGGTAGAATGATTCTGCTCAAAATATGCAGAACCAAATACACAAGATCAAACAAAAGCTGCAAGACTTTAAGAGTCAAATGAACTGGGACCAGCAGACAATGGATGCCTTTTTAGAAGAGTCAGTGCGGAAAGATGAGGACACCATGACAATTATCAAGTACTCACAACAAGACGAGCAGAAGATAAAGGTCTGTACTCGTAGTTTCCCTTTTTTTTAAAATATAGATCACCATCACAAACACAAAACATTTCGGGCTTATGTTTGTTCCTGTAGTCACTCACTCTGGCTATTGAGAAGAAGACTGTGGAGGCAAATGAAAAACGCAAAGCTCTCGACAAAGTGTCAACAGAGACTCTTTCTACACAGGTTTAAAAGAAAAGCCCTGCACATCGAAAATGACTGTAATTGTTATGTCGATTGAAGTTGGTGTCTTTTTTTAACAGATTGCTTTGGACAAAACCTCTGAAAATTTGAACCAGGTACACCAGGAAACGCAGAATCTCCTTCAGCAGTGGGAATTCACCCTTAAGCAAATGAGGCAAACAGACAATGAGATGCAGCACTGCGGATTGGTAAGAGACTGTAAAACTAATTGGAGAAAATGACTACTACCGGTATCAGTTTTTCATGCAACCATAAAAACAGATGTGTTTCTTCTTGCTTGATAATTAGCTTTACATACAATCTTTTACTTCAACACCTATGGACATTGGTCATCTGCCTCTATACTGATACTAATACTAATGTTTTTGATTCTCTGATCTGTGCTGGCGATTTCAACGGTTGTGTAAAGTCAAGCTATACAAGAATACATTGAATTGAATTGAACTTGTTGAACATGCATTCAAGTTTACCTATTTGTTTTGTTTTTTTGCAAGAAATTGGCAGAAATGAACCAGCAAGTCAGAGAAAAGAATAATACTATTACAGAAAAGAAGCACTTGCTCGAGACCCAGCAGAACAACAACAAAGAGACAGAGAGGAAGCTAACGATGGCCAACCAGCTGGGAGTGAAACTGCAGCAGGAGCTGAAGGAGCAGGAGAGCAGCCACGACCGCCTGAAGGACGAGGTCAGAGTCTCCACAAACTCTAGTGTGTCGTGTGAAAGAAAACATCCAAACGTGGACCCTTTGACTTTTGCAGTTAAGTACATGCAAGAACACTCTGGAGAGGACCACATCAGACGTGGATGCTGCTAAGTCTCAAATATCTAGACTGAAGAATGAGATCTGTGACAAGGACAAGAAGTGAGTGAAATAAAGTTCTGATAGAATGTCATATATTAATGTTCCCTTTAATCGTTTCTGTTGTTTTGCATTACATTGTGCATGGGAAATTAACAACATTTAACAATATCTTGATGTCAGAATGTGCAATATTCTATTTCACTTTGTCCCAGACCCTCATGCTGCTAACATGGACAGAACATTTACTCACAACTATATTTTACTTGCACTAGAAAATACAGCATTTTATTCTTGATCTTTATTATGCTAAAGTCAGAGGTTTTTGTACTTGTCTTGCTTCTTCATTCTGCTAAAGTTGGGGATTTTAAGACATCTTTTTGTATTATGCTAAAGAGAGAGATTTTATACTGCTTCTTTTTATGCAGCATAACGTAGGTAGACCCACATTATAAAATACTGTGACTTTTTTTTAGACTGAAAACGGCCAAAGCCTACAATGCTGCTCTACAAGAGAAGCTCAGAGATGTGACTGTGTCTGCGCTGAGTCAAGAAGAGAGGGCTTCTCAGATGGAGCGCTTTCTTCAGGGTGAGGAACAGATAGTCAAGGTGAGACCAACACAGATCCAATGACAACAATGACACAAATATTATAAGAAAACCACAGAAACCCTGTCTGCTCTTCAGGAGTTGGAGATGCAAATGCGTGACCACAGGGAAGAGCTGTTTCGCCATAAACAGCTTCTCCAGACAATGAGGAGCGATGAAAAGAATGTACTCGCTCAAATCTCCAGGAATAGGATCACACTGCTGAGTCTGGAAGATGAGCAAAGTAAAGTCGAGAAGGATTTAATGTTGCAGCAGTTGACCATGAACCAGCAGGCAAGTTCATTCAAAACACAAACAAAATACAAAAACAAAACACAATTGAGTCTGTGCATGACCAGGCACAGGTTGAGGCCAAAGATTATTGTGCCTGCCTTTATCTACCTTATCAAGTTAGGTTTAAAAATGCATTGTTTTTTGTATTTTCTATATAGTGCTTTTTATGACACAATTTAAACTGAAACAGAAGTAGCACCTTTTAGCTCATCACTGCCATTTGTGCATTAAAGACATGTGCTTCACTAAATGTGTTCAGGAAGCAGAGATCAACTCCCTCACAATCAAACTGGAGCGGCTGCAGGGGAGCGTGAACACTGAGGAGAAGAAAATACTTGATATGAAGATCTCTGAGCTGACGATGGCTCTGGAGGAAAAGCAGAAACAAGCAGCTTCGCAGAGCAGTATGTTGAAGAAAGTGGAGGTCAGGCTCATCCAAATAACAGAGAAATAAACATTGATCTCTCTCTGTTTAACTTTGTTTTCACCGTGTTGTATTTTTAGGAGGACATCTGCAGCTGTAAAAAGAAGCTCGATAAGTGTGAAACCCAGAAGAGGAAATTGGAGGAAAAAGTGGAGGATCTGGAGCTGCAGTGTAAAACCAACGAGAAGGAGCTCAAGTTACTGCAGTTGAAGAAGATGGTACAGACCATTAGTGTCAACATCTACAGCAGGGGTGTCAAACTAATGTTGGTTAGGGGCCAAACTTCAAAGCGTAAGAGCTGGTTGAGGCCAGAAGTGTAAAGTTGTATGTCTTTCAGAAGACACATTTTTGTCTTTTGAAAGAGTGACTGAATTTGACATGAGTTTGGATTCAACCATAACTGGCCAGATATCAAGAAGAGGTGTGTTTGAAGGCTGGTACAAAATACATCTTTTACTTACATTTTTAAATAAATGTTAGTGAAAATGTTTGAACAGATTCAATTATATAGTAGTTTTACTGAGACAATAACCTTTAACGTGAAGTATCCCCTAACCCCTGACCCAGAAATGGATTAAGGGGAAGAAAATGGATGGATGAAGTATAACTTGCCATAGTGTCCCATTAGCATCAATGCTGCAAGTTACTGTGATCAACATAATTGAAAATCATTTCAGGGGCCACTAAAAATGATCTTGTGGGCTGGATTTGGCCCACAGGCCTGAGTTTGCCTGATCTACAGTGTCCTTTATAATTTATGTTATATGCTAATTAGTGCATCTATATCTAGTACAATACAATCTATAATAAAACCAAAATAAAGTAGCAGAGACTGAAAAGGAATGCGTCCTGAAGACTTCCAAACCAGATTCTGTCTCCTCTGAGCTCTTTCTCTAATGTACAAATGAATTGAAACATGTTTCTGTGTTCCCATCCAGAACAGTGGGGTGGAGCACAACCTTCTGAAAACAGAGGTGAAGCGTAAGCGTGATCTGTTGTACAGTAACACAGACACCGTGATGTCTCTGGAGAAACGGCGACTGGAGTTTCAGAAAGTGATGAAAGAGCGAGAGGAGGAGATTCGCCTTTACAAAGAATGGCAGAATCAGGAACTGAAGATGATTGATCGAGAAAGACTGAAGCTGAGGTAAGGCTTGTGGACACGGCCGCATGTTGTCCACAAAGTTATGGACAAGAGAAAACATTTGTCTTTCAATCCCCAGTGCAGAGTTAAATGAGAAGCTGTCAAAGGTTGATTTGATGAAGAAGAGGTTTGATGTTTTGATGATTTCAATGGCGGGTCCTGAGGGAGAGGAGCAGAAGTCTCAAGCTTACTACATTACAAAGGTGAAATATTTAGTGCCCTGAGGTAATACAAAAAATATAATTAACTTCTGATTTCAGGCTGCCCAAGAAAAAGAAGAACTGAAACGCAAAGGGGACAGCCTGGACACTAGAATCCGTAAAGTTGAAGTTGAAAACCGTGCATTGGAAAACACTATTCTTATGTTCAACAATTCCAATTCTATATTTCGTGAATCCTTGAATAGAGTCAAAGAATCCAGTAAGTCCAGTACAGTGTTAAGGAGAACCAAGCATAGAATCACCCCTCACTGCTTGATCTGATGCTGTTATATTTTGCTTCAGGCCCTGAGTTTAAGGAAAAGTCAAAGCTGGAGGAGCAGCTGAAGGCGTCTGAGGCCACACTGAAACACAAGCAGATGCAAGTTCAGGAGCTGCAACAGGATTTACAGGTGCTGCCCTCCACCACAACAGCTTTGTGACTTTTTCCAATAAGCCACTCTACTGATACTGACATTTAAGATCACCTTTCACTTACAGGATATGAACAGTACTTTTGAGAATCTCCAGCAAGAGGAGACACTTGAGAAACAAAAGATTGAGGGCAAACTGGCTCTCGTCACGAAGCTTAACAAAGAAGTGATGTCTCAGCAGGAAAAGATCGACAGAGCTGCAAAACAGGTCTGACACTCGAGAGCATGAGAACAGCAGCCTGCTCTGCTTCATTGTTGTATTAATAAACAACACAGCCCTCTGGCACTGTTTTCAATCTCTTTTAACTCAATGACTTAAAATGTGGTTGTACGTCCCAAAGGACTGACCAGCTTGTTGTGTTGCAGTGTACAAAGTTAACACGAGACATTCGTACAGCAAAACAAAGCAAGGGCGAGACTTTTGAAGAGAAGGACATCAGGCTCAAAGAACTAAGAGAATTAAGCAGAGACATTGACAAGATGGTGATTGAAGCCATGCAGGACCACCCTGACCTTAGAGCAGCGCTGGTAATGTACTTTGAGCAGGTTTGTTGCATTCAAAGCCCCTAACATTAATCATACTGTATATTGAGTTCACACCAAATGGGAGTATTCTTCTGATTTCTCTTTAGGAAAACCTGTCTTTACCCTCTCCAGCCTCAACTCCCTCAAGAAACAGCAGGAGCTCTGGGTCCAAGTCCGGCTCAGCCTGTAGCTCTGCGTCAGGAAGGTCCACGTAATGACCTTTCTTATAACGCCTGATTCTGAACACACACAAAAAGAAAGTGATGCTGTAATGTTGGTTGGTTTGTTTAGGTCTGTGTCCTCCTCTGGCAGCAGCCCCAGGTCTCACCAGTCTCCCGCTCTCAGCACGGTGGAGGTCGGCCTCGATCTGCCCACGTCACCTCCACCCACCTCCAGCCGCAGCCAGAGCTCAGCCAGCAGCAGCAGCAGCAGCAGAAAGAAACTGTAGTCAAGACGTTTTGGTTCTGAGGCATTAATTTACGCACACATCATTTCCCTTAATCAATAAAGACATTTGTTCTTCATAATTTGAACCTGTCTGAAGCCCCCGCTAAAAAACCAAGGCTGTGTTGTTGGTGACAGAGCAGCCATCCTCCTGTGGATCCACTGCCTGCAGGACGACCCCCCTCGACACAGAAATGCACCAAGGGGAAGAAGATGAATGAATGAATGTCTATAGATCGATGATGAATGTGTGTCTGATAACAAATTTGAAAACACATTTAATATTTCATGTATCATATAATTTTCCACAAGGCCATTTTATGATTGATGATGTTCATTCGTTTGTTTTTAAACCATACAAAGTGATCAAATCAGAATGTGTATATAATAAATTAAACATTTTATCTTCAGAAATATAACAGATTAAGATGGTTGTTTTACGTGTTTACTGTTGGAACACTGCATAAATGGTTCAACCAGACTTTTCACAGACTCCTCTCAGAATCTGCTCACTTATTGCATGGTAAATGTAATTAGTACTATGTAATTCCTTTCTCAAGTAAAAAGGAGAGACCCAGGCCAGGGTTCTGTGTTCATTTCTGTGTTAAAGTGAACCCAAAAACACCACCATAAACTTAATTGATTAAAAATATCTTTGAATGGACTGTGATGTTTGAGCAAGGGAAAGCACCACATATAGTACTTCCTCATGTGTCAGGAATAGATCAGGTTGTGTTTTGGTTGTCCCGGGTGACATTAGTGGCCTATTGTTGTCTCGGAGCCGCACCTCTGCACTGTATTTCATGATCTCGACAGTTTCTTTGTCGCCTCCAACATGCTGCTGCTCCTGCTTCTCAGCTCCTGCTTCATGTCATGCCACGCTCAGACCAGTAAGTGTATCTTCATATTTATAATGATATCAATAATAATAATGGTGGCCTATTATTATTATTATTGTTATTAAGTAAAGTATGTGTAGTACCTCGAGCATATTATAGACCTGCTACAGACCCCATACCACATCTCCTGAACGTTCTAATGGCTTTTTGTACTTTTTGTTGTGTCCTCAGACTCAGTTGGGCAAATAAGTCAGGTGACGACAAGTCCTACATTTTCTTCAATTTCTCCGTCTCCTGTAGGTTCAGATGAACTGAACAGTAAGATTATATTGTTGTTACCACACTTGATAAATGCCAGAAATTATATCAATTAATATTAATATCAGTATTGTGTGAGTCAATAGGAATCACATTGAATTAGGTATAAATAAAAACGGACCTAAAACAGCTTTTTACTTAATCAAAAATGTATTTAATTATTTTTTTACATATATGTGTGCACATTTTACGCCGCATATTCGTAGTTTGTTGCTTTGGAGCACTTTGGCTTTGGGCAGCTGGTGTTGTAAATGTGATTTGTAACACATGATTTCTGCTTTGCATCTCTTTACTTCTTTTAAAAAGTGTTTTCTTTGTGTGTTTTGTGGTGATTGTGGCACCTCAAAGTGTTTGCTCACGAGTGTTCACAGTGAAAGATTGGTGCGTTTCTAAATGGATGAGCGTCTTGCGTCTCACAGGTTTGGCCTTCCTTCACGCTCAAGTTGAGTCCACGCACAGGCTGAACGAGACCTCTCTGGATGTTATTCTCAACACGGTGACAATTTTAGATTTTTATTTGCAATACAAATGTCTTAAAGGCCATTTCCTCAAGTCAATCAGAAATAAAAGCCTCCTAAGTCATAAATGTAAATGTACATAATATAAAGCACATGTCTTTAAATGTATAATAAGGAATTGTGAACTTGTTTTTATGACGTCCTCTGAGGGTTTTTATTTTGGATGACTGCTGGGAATTGACCATAACCCGACAAATTATTATAACCCCAGCATATTATTGTGTTTCAGATTGCAGTTTTAATCCATGAAAAACTACCAGAGATTGAGTTTGAGCTAACCAGGAAGTCTGTCACTGAAGTTTGATGAAACTGCTGTGATCATGGATTTGTCTTTAATACTTTTTTAAATGAAGCAAAAATAAAAGTTTCAAATAATAACAATACAACCAGACCTATTTCAGTTTCATTTTCAAAACTTTGTTATATCAAATAAATGTGTGTATTCTGTGTCAGGAAAGACTTAAACTAAATCTACTGTTTTTCAATTCATTTGAGAAAGTGGAGAGTTGGTGCTATTGTTTATGTCTCCAAAGGGGTTTTAAAGAACACATTGACACAGCACTTTATTAACTAGAAGTTAAGCGTGTGAAGAAATGAAAACAAATGTATGACTCAACGTCAGAGGCGAAGGAACAGGGGGAAGGTTTATGTCCCTGAGATTCTCATCCTGTGAGTGAGGTCCTTTTTCATTTCTAGAATGTTGTAAACTTTGGCATTTGTGAAATAATCAGGCTAAGTTACAGGTCATATCTGCAAAGTGAACGCTCATTTTTTTGAAAGTAAAGACATCTAGTTAACTCACACACTGAGTCAATCTATTCAAGTTGAGGATATAAATCACCATATTTCTATTTGAGTCACCTTATTACGCCGGATGAGCTGGAGGAGATGTGTGTGGATAGGAAAGACCCCCAGCGACCCAACAAAGGATAAAGCAGAAGAAAATGAAGGTACTCGGTCATTGCTAAATTTAGACTTAAGTTTTAGAACTATATGTTACATTAAAATGTACATGTCCTTGCTGATTTTTGCCCATACAATCATACAATTTATAGTTAAGTTCCACGTTCTTGAACCAACCCTAGCTAAATGCTGACCCCGTCGGGACAAATGCCCATATTAGGAAGTTAGCTCCAGCTAGCTTTTATTCACATCAGCTTCTTTCTTGAACCTAATCAGTGTCACTACAACATAGTTAGTTTGTGGTGTAAATGTTAGATAGTCCAGCTTTAAGTTTCAACAGTGAATCCAGTTTGTTATGGTTATGGTGAATGCAGCAGGAATAAAGCAGCCTCTGTTTGAACATGGTCACATGTGTCAGCACCATGGATCTATGATAAGGTCAGCTCTAGGTAAGTCACAGACTGTGACATCAGAAAGCATGTAGAATGTGGACTTATCTTCACCACTGTCTTCACACACATGACTTACTAATACAGAGTGGAATTACTTTTTTCTACATACGCACACTGAAGATGTTTTATCTTTGAGTCTAATTAGACCTTTTTTATGTATTTAAAACTATAATTGAACATAATTACTATTGAGGGAAAAACTATAAACATTGTCTTTACTCTGCCAAAATGTTGAAACTAAAAAAACAACGGCAATGAAAGAATCCTGAATCGGATTCAAGGATGTTTTGATAAATTATTTAACTTATTGATCTATTGCCTACAGTGTATTGTTAGTGTAGCCCATCTAAAAATGTATCCAATTTCGTGTTTTTAATAATTCCAAATTTATGAATTCATGCAAATATAATATGTAATGTAATAAGTTAATTCACTGTTAATTTATTTCAATATTTCGTACTTATTTGCACTAGTAGTCATATAAATAAATGTACGTATTTATGAATGGGGGCTAGACTACAAATGTAGGTCAACCACGCCCACCTCCAAACTAGTGAGTGTTGACTGACAGGTGCGTTCATGATGTTGTCACCCTGCGTGCCTCAAATATGCCTCTGAACCGTGGACAATAAACGTTGCAAACTGACTATTTTGTATTGTTGTTTGGTCATTTAAGAGTGCAACATTAGTTACTGTAATTAAATTACAGTATACGTTTTTTTCTTTTGAAAACCTTTATGTACATACAATCTACAAGAATGTTATTCATTTATATTACATTTAGACTGAAACAATCCCAAAGTCGTGTTTCTTACAACTTACATTTTTTAAAAGTAATTTGCAATGTATACAGTCTATGTTGGCAACATGTACTGTGAAAAAAGCTCCACACAGCTGCGGAAGAAAACAGCTCTCACACACTGTACTTGCTTACACCAGTGTTCTTTATTTACATCGCTTAAAAAACACTGGTGTAAGCAAGTACAGTGTGCGAGAGCTGTTTTCTTCTTTGTCAACATGTGCTGTTGGGCTGTTGCACATTACTTTTTTAAAGTACCTTTGCCCCGGTGTTGGAGAGAGGGACTAGTGCACACTGGTCACTACTAGAGGGCAACGTCCTACTTGACGTTTTTTGTGTGTACAAAGTAAACCATAGACTGTTGGAAAAAACTCTGGGGACTAACCCTTGTCATCACTGTCGATTACTCATAAGAACATCCTCGCGGCCTCATCTTATATCTGCTCCTGCTCCTGCTCTTGATGGCTTTACCTGCAGAGAGGTAAAGAGCCTGGAGTGTCCATAGTGATGTACAGCTCCAGGCTAAAAGTGACTGAACCCTGTTATTATTATAGATCCATGCTGAACCCTCACAACCTCAATATCATTGCACTATGAGTGTATCACAAATGTATCTATGTATTTCTTATGCCAAATATGCAGAGGACACTTCACTTTAATGAATTTACATGTAAGTATATATTTGTTTGTGAATGTACAGGTTCATACTTTTTATACTTTGAGGTTTATCACAAAAGATACATTTTATTTTTCAAGTATGGTCATGCTTTATTTAATATTGACTTGTGTTTTCCTCATTCCAACGGTTCAGTAACCAGTGATGCATCACTGACATTCCCCTAGTGTTGGATCTTTTAATCTTGATTGTAACTCTACATGGAATGACTCATGTGGCTCTTCTATGATTGTTTATTTGATAAGATAGAGTTCTTATTTATTGTTGTGTCATACAATAGAAGAGTCTGACATACACTCTCTGGAGGAAGAAACAGAAGTGGCCAAGGGACTGTAAAAGTCTGGGCATCAACATAAAGATAAATGAAACCACTTCTTGTGCTGTGATAATCAATGTTGTACTGAGTTGTTTTTCCGCATGACCACTGGCCTTTTAAGCGCTGGACAGGATGTGGACCACAGTTGTCACTATGGATCTAAGGCTTCTCCTCATGTCTGCTGCTTTACTAGGGGCCACACTTTCTCTGTCTGTTGCGGACCGGCCATCGCAGTGCAAAGTCAAATGGTAAGTTTGTTATGTGCTTAAAATTGCCCATATTCAACAATTGTTGAAACTACGTATTGCATTATTCGATCTAAGTGTAGAAGTGGATCCTCACCATTCAGCATTTACATGAAATAGAAATGCAGTCTGTTTGAAATCAAGAATGTATTTCCCCAAATATTGATTACACGAACAAGTCTGAAGGATCTTCCAATTTCATCAATGTTGTGGTTCTCACAGTGCTCGAAGTCATTCTGATGTTAGACATGCCTTTGGCCATGCTTCTGTCAATTAGAAGCACAAGAATCACAGCAAGTCATATATGAATAAATATTGAAGCGAACAAAAAGCAATATGATATAATGGGAAATAAAGGTTATTAAAAAAAAGTAATCTTTTGCAGGACATTTGGGATTTTGTGTGAGGACGTGTACAACCGGCTGGTGAGGCAGATCAAACTGTGGCAGATAAGTACGAGCTGTCTGTACATCGGAGAGAAGTGCTCCTATGAGGTCAGTGTTTATTTCATTAAAACCCTAAACTGTGTTTAGTCATTTACACACTTACAGCTGTGTGCTGCTTTCAGCTTGTGTCCACGTCGCCGTATCTGATCAACGCTGCGCATACCTCCCACAAGAGCAGGAGTGTCAACCAGCTGCAGTTTCTGTTCGAGCAGTCCACACTCTGCAAAGTGACTGTAAGTGACACATACTGTATACTGTATGTATTGCCATTTTAAAGAAGCATAAAACATCATTAAGCATAGTATTTATATAGCACATTACAGTTCATTATTCCTTCACTCCACAGATGGTGGAGGTAAGCCACTATAGCAGTCACACCTGCCCAGGGGCAGACTGATGTTAGATCAAACATCTTAAGTGTCCTTCCATGTAGAGCACACACATGTAGTGAGGATCAAACTGTCTCCTGAATGCGCACCATTTTTAACAATGCAAATGTAATATGTATTATTTATGCTGTCACTCTGATGCAGGGTGACTCAACGATGGACTCACCAAAAGATCCAGAAGCCAATCGAACAAACTTCTGCAGCCTGCAAAACCTGATGGACGGTACAATCCACTGTTTTATATGAACTTGATGTGTTGATAGAGTTTGACTATATGAGTGTTTTCTCATCTGTAGGCAGCGACCTGATCAGTGCTGAAGGATACACACAGTTCAGCAACAAGTGGATCTGTCCCGGCTTCGACATCACCAACTGCAGCTTATCATTAAAGATTATCTAAAGATTTGTTTTCCCTAAAAGTTTTAAGTAGAGTTATTTCAAACAGAAAAATACAATGGGTATTTTGTCTATAATATTCATGTTAACCAATCTGAAGCTGAATGAGTCTCCCATTTGGCTTGCCCGTTTGAGGTGAAATATATCTGGTAAATATAATCACACATGAAAGCTAAATGAGAGCAGATTGTGTGTAGGCAGGAGGATTGTAATCACTTTAATACACTAAGCCTGCATATCAAGTGCAGGGGTTTTATTGTTCCTGAACAACTGAGCAGCAACTAATAGTTGTGTTTTGTGCTTTGAAAAAAGTATTTTCTTGTGTATTTGTCTTTAGTACATGCAGGGTCTGTGGCACGAATCTAGTTGACAGGGCTTGAGGAAAGGGGACCATCAAAGTAGCGATTATTTAAATAAAATGGAAAATGACAGTGAGATATATAATTTTTAATTGAAAAACCTAAAAAGACTTAATTAGTGACAGTTATAGATGATAATTATACAGTTATGTTGAGTATCACAATAATATACTATACTGGTAACTAGAGATGTGTACAGTCACAAAGTATTAGATGATGAAAGAACAAAGTATTTAATTTCATGTATTGCGTCTTTCACAATATTTGACCCTGGTCCTGTGGTCAAAACCAGACCCAACCCTGGTCCTGTGGTCTAAACCAGACCCAACCCTGGTCCTGTGGTCTAAACCAGACCCAACCCTGGTCCAGAGCAGAGTTGCAGATTCTGTAAATCCCTGTTACTGCCATGAGCTGATCCTAGACTCAAAATAAACCTGAACTGAAATCTAAACCAAACCGCCTTCTGGCAACTGACCTCTGGGAAATTCCAATATGTGGCAATATTACCTATTTCAGCATCTTTTAGAATTAAACAAAAGGAAAAGTGGTTAACAGCTCCACAAAAAGGTGGAACAAACTCCTAAAATGTCTTCCATGTTTTTACTTTTACTGAAAAATAAAAGTGTACGTTTGAGCCATGATCAATCATTATTCACGGTCAAATTACTTCAAATATGTAATCAATAAGGCAAAACCGGGGAGCAGCAGAAGTGGTGTTTGTCTTTGTACTGCAAGTATAAATATAAGTGACAAAATGCTCTTCAAAAATTACTGTTATTTTGTGAGTTTAATACAAAATACAAAACTTTCAAAAGCAGTTGCCCCAGACAGAGTGACAACAGCTCACCATATAGTCTGTAACATGAAACATGAACAATTAGGTGGAAAAAGGAGCACTGAGTTCATTCAATTAGAAAATAATCCTAGTAAAGTGCAAGTCTTGTTACTTGAGACCAGGCAGTTCCCATTGAGGCGGTGTTAAGCGTGTCATGATGACCTTGGTCTCTGGAGAAAAACATAGACTCCATTTATAGATGAAAATATTGCTGCTCAGTTGACTTTAGCGTCTGTCTCGTAGTCGAACTCGGCCAGACAGCAGTACAGCAGCACCTGGGCGTATTTTGTGACCCGTTCTGTGTGAGAGAAAGACTTCAGTCACTTCAAATGCATAACAATTAATGCATAACAATTAATACATAACAATTCATGCATAACAATTGTTTCGCACAAAGCACAGCAGCAAACGAAACAGAAGCATCGGGACTGTAAAAGGTAGAGGTCGACCAATTTCTGTGGCCGATATTGAAACTGATGAATAAAAAGGCATTTTTTTTCCGGTGGATTTAATTCCACAAATAAACAGGTTAATGCTCATGCGCTGCAGAGAAAGCGAGAAATCTTTAGAGGTTCTTACATCATGCAGTTATTGATATTTGTCAAGGATACAAGATATCCAGTGTTTAATGTGTGGGAGGTTTGTGCAAAGCCATTTGGGCATTTACCATTTTTTACATTGTTTTTTATTAACCATTTATTACTTTTATGTCTAAGTATGAGGGTTTGAATAGACTTTTGGTAAATTTGCCTGAAAATGTTTGGTGCTGTAATATTTAGATTATGTAATTATTTTCCTGATAAAATGATGAATAACATGCCATGGTAAGCATATCGCCCAGGTGGGACAACAATCAGACTGACAGCTTAAATATCTGCCATATTATACAATAGCCGACCGATATTTCATTTTATCCCAAGCGCGAAAAAAAGCTTGAGTATTTTTCTTTAACAAAAACATGATACGGTGAACTTACCATTTAGTTTGTGTACACATTTTGGCCTCTTCTCTTCGGGGAGGTAAATGGCCACATAATAGACAGGAACCCCGGACAGAGCAATGCCGATTCCAATCAGAGAGTTCACCGTGTCCCAGTAGAGTGGAACGATGACCAGAAACAGGCTACAGAGGCAGTAGACGAACGGGAAGAACAATGACAACTGTAAACAGGTGAAAAGATAAGATTGGTTAGTTATTAAGCTATTGATTCTTTGGCACAATGTTTTTCAATCATTCATGAACCTGAAAAGATCCCCCTGAATCTCCCTCTTGCTTGGTACATTTTTATCAACATGCACATTACCTTGACTGGTCGGTATCTGTCAGGCTGTGTGAATCGAAGGTAGATGAGACCAGCCACCGACAGCCCCACATAGAGCCAGTAACTGAAGCTGAAGTAGTTTATCAGCTGAAACACGTCCTCCACACAGAGGAAGATCAGGCCCATCACACCCTACACAACAACACAAGACCATCAAAGCCCTATACTGTACAGGCGAGACTGCTCATGGCACTGAAAAGGGGCAAAACGTTCAGGTAATAATTGCTTGAATCGAGGGGTTTTGTCTTCATTTGAGCACATTCTAGCTTAAAACAAGATTTGCCAATGGGACATCTTTTTATAATAATATAATTGTGTTTGTCCCATTGGCAAATCTTGTTTTAAGACAAGTTATTATTATTATTTTTCATCACTTTTTGCAGTGTTTCTAATGTTACTTCCTGATCGCTGCTGATAAGACGTGGATATGTATTTACCTTTAACCAACCACAACAACAATAGCTAGAGTTATCAGATATGGAATGATAAGCAGAAACATGAGATAGCACCGTTGAAAAATATTTTAACGGTCAAATAACTGCTGGTCTTTTATTTGAATTTTATTTTATTTTATGACATCACAGATGGTGTGTCACAAACTGGGACTTGGAAACACAACTATCAATAATTACCAATTCTGTCCAACCAAGAAAATAGCGAGAGCATGTGGAAAAGCTGTCACACTCACTTCAATTATCATTAATACCAATAAGTCGCATTATGGATAGATAATGTTCACTATAGGGTCACCTTACACTGAGGCTACTTGAATGTGATACTTTGTCAACTAAAATGCACTTTAATGTCAGACAGATGTTATCCCTCTCACGTTACCAACTATGACCAAAAGCGTGTCTTATTCACACATTATGTACATGTATCGTTATACAGCAAACTTACTCAATGAAAACATGTACATTTAAAATGGCAAAACAGAAACTTTCAAACAAGAAACTTTGTCCAACTTAACCAGGACAAACTAAGATTTTAGTCAGCGGCCTTGAGGTCCAGAGACAGAATCTTTTACACAAACTCCAAAAACATTGTTTTAATCCAGTAAAAAAGAGGGAAACACCTGGGTGGAATTTTTGACACTGATCTAACTTTTATCCCACACATGATTAAGAACATCACAAAAATATCCAGAGCATGTCCTCTCTTCAGGTCTACTATCACTTTAAAACTAAAACCAGAGGACAACCTTACACAAATTTTAAATCCCCTTTGGATTTCAATGGTCTTCAAACGCATTAATTGTCTTAGGCCTTTCTTATCTTTTAGAACTGCTTTTATCCAACCAACCTTCCCAGACCCTGTGCTCCTCTGGCACAAATCTACATTATGATTATCTATCAAATAATTGTCGTGCTACATTAATGCCCAGTTTACATCAATATCCTTGTGTGATGCCTATATTTTACAACCAGGAGGGTAAATTATACAAAACTGGAGTATTATGTGCCAAATTTTAAGCAAAACAAGAATGATTACTTTTTTCCAGTGACACATCAATCGCTAGTACTACTGCATGACAAAAACCACTTACATTGAAGAGCAGCGCAGGGATGGGAGTAAAGCGCTCGACATGTATCAGGCTCAGACTGTTTGGCAGGTGGCCCTCTCTGGCTCCAACAAAAAACAGCCTGAAGCCAAAATAAACATGGAATATAACAGAAAATTGTAAGTTTTTTTTACAAGAGTTAAACAGAACAATGTGTTTGTTTTTATTACCGTGATGCTGCTATGATGGATGCATTCAGTCCGCCATAACACGACATGGCCACTGAGATGGGTATGATCCACTTGAAAGGGCCCAGGACGGCGTTCCCAAATGTCTGCACATCAATGTTATTATTATCAGAAATTATCTTAACCTCAGAGTTACTTGCAACAAGGGGAAAGGACCAAATAGTACAAATGTTTTTGTACAGAACTGCAGAGATTTAAATTACATCCATGTTACATTTTGCCTCTGTGATTTTTTTTTTGTTCCTACATAATTACAGACAAAAAAACATATTTTTCACTTACAAATTAATAATATTTGAGCCAAACATTCTCCAGTCATACAAACAATAAACTAATGGGATTTACCACAGCCACAGCGTCACTGGCGAGCAAAGAGGGCATGTCCAAAACCACGTAGTACGCCACATTGGTCAGCAGGTAAATAACGGTCACTATGGGCATGGAGATGGCGATGGCCAGAGGTAGATTTCTACAATGAGAAACCATACATTACAATCATACCTGCTTTTCTTTTACTTTATCAGCAGAGGCGGCAAAAGTCCTATTCTTCATTAATGAAGTGATCTACAGTTGTGCTCGAAGGTTAACACACCCAGACATTAGGTGAGTGAAGCCATCTCTAAATATCAAATTCTGTTTTCAAATTACCATCATTGTGGATGAGGGAACTAATCCACAAAAGACTTCAATTAGAAAATAGAAAACACATTTATTTGACAAAAACAAGTGGGAAAAAGTGTCTGTGTTATTGTTCCTAATCTCTGACATCTGGCGTAAACTTTCAAGCACAACTGTAGATACTCAAAAGAAAAGTAAAAGTGAAAGTAATGAAGTCATTCTTTTACTGAAGTAAAACGTGTTTTTGATTGAAACATTTTATACACACACATGGGAATATTGATTTGTGTTTATTCCCATGCCCATAGCAGCAGAATGCAACCATGCCACTGAATATAGAAGCATGGCTAACACTTCAAACCTGTACCAAAGAAATACTCATGTAAAGTGCACACACATGAGTCCAGTACCTCTCAGGGTTTTGAATCTCCTCTGTGACAAAGTTGAGTGTGTCCCATCCGGAGTAGGAGAACAGCGCAGAGTACAGGGCTAAGGCTAAAGCCCCAGGGTCTGTGGTCGAGTCCTCGAATGGACTGTCGAAGCTTTTTGTTTCGCCTATGGTAGAAAATAGACTTAATGAGCCTGTGACAGAGCAGTCGGTTCAGGCTGAGTCCGCTCTGGAACACTCACCTGTGAACATTTGTATTAGTCCGACCACAATGATGAGAAGTAAGGCCAGCAGTTTGGTGTAAGTGAAGACGTCCTGAACCAGGGTACCCCACTTCACGTAGGCACAGTTAATGAAAATAAGCATGCCTGCGAAACAGAATCAATATTTTAGAAAGGAAAGGGTGGGCAACCTTCATCTCACTATGGTACGCATATTACTGGTGCTTGAGCTTCTTAGTCGTACACAAACTCCTTTGCAGTTGTATTTTTGCTGGATTAAAACTCCTTTTATTCCACATAATAAATAAACTACAAAAGCAACAATGTCCATGAGAGGCGACCGTGTGATCCCTCTGCGTAAGAGCACCTTCAGTCAGTCTGTCTGGTCTGTTAGAGGCACCAGAGAGTGGAACTCACTACCACAGACTGTTAGACAGCAGAGCACATACAGGGCTTTTACACAGAACCTAAAGGAATGGATGGTAAACACATACACCTGCCCTCATTAATCCTCATTATCTGATGTATGATATGCTTAAGTCTTGTAAATAGTGTATTCTTGATTGTGTCAACACTATGTTAGTCTTGATTGATGTTGTCTCTGTTTTGTAATCTTGTCATGTTAATGTATGTACTTCAATGTATTTTAATGGCTCTTTAACATCACGGCCAGGGGACTACAGATGAAAAATAGCCTCCTTGGCTAATTCTGGCTTTTTAAACTCATGTTTTATCATGTGTTTTATTACATTGCATTGTCGCCTTTGAAATAAACTAAACTGAAACTGAAACTGAAACAATGTAGATGACTTAGCTTTGAAAAGAGCTGTAGACCGCGTTTAAAGGACAGTTCTTGGAAGACCAAATACTCCTGTCTGGTGGTACTTAGGGCACTTAGAATCTAGATAGGTGATACTCTCTGTCAAAGGTTTATGACAGTGCGAGTTACAATACATTTAGCATTAATAAACCATATATACTTGACGTTAATAAGTTACATCAAGTTTAGAAATAGCTAAGGTATTATAAAAAAATATTTGTGCCTGGCTTTATTGATAGGTCTTTGAGAGAAGGACTAATGTGTAAAGTATGCATGCTCTTTCACCCAAATACCAGCTCGACTGCCACACAAAGCCTACATGCAGCAGCATACAAACATAACTTGTATGCAATAGTGTTTGGACCATTGACTGTTTGGACAGTGAATTTAAATAATGTTCCTTCTCCAGAGTATTATAAATGATGAGGTGCACAATGCAAGTTTAAAGCTTAGAATTGTTTTTAATCACATTGGTGTAGATTTGCTTCTGTGTCAATAAAGAAAACATGAACACTAAATGGCTCACAGAAGTCTAAGGATGTTCAGATTATCAATATGACCATGTAACTCTAAGTGTATTGTCAGTGCTTCTTACAGAGGCAGGCAGCAGCGATGAGGCGCACCCCGTCATATGGAGGCTGGCAGGTTGGATAGAAAGCCTCCACCAGGTAGTTTGCAAAGGTAATGGAGATGATGGCTTGGCTAGCTGGCTCCACCAAGAGAATAGATGTCCAGAGGCGAATGAAGGCCAGAAACCCCCCGAAGGATTCCAGGATGTAGGCATACGAGGCTCCAGATTTAGTAATGGTAGTGCCAAGTTCCGCATAACATAGTGCTCCAAACACAGAGAAGAGACCCCCCAGAGCCCATATGAGCAGAGACAGCCCGTAGGAGCCGCTATAGAGCAGAACTCCCTTAGGAGACACAAAAATCCCAGAGCCAATCATGTTGCCAACTATAAGACAGATGCCATTGATGAGCGAGATCTCCCTTTTCAGCTGCATTTTCTCGTGTTTGGGCGCCTTCAGGTCCGCATCTGATGGAGTCCGTGATCGAGAACAAATGGTTTGGGATACTACTCCCATTGTATGCCTCAGATCAGCCATCTCCACAGGGCTACTGAAATGGAAGGAGAGTTTTAGACATACAAGACAATCTGCAGAGACCATAAAACACAACAGCTGTAGGAGATTAAACAGTGAAAAGCATTCGTACCACTTCTCGAGAGCCAGATCCAAGAGTATTGGGTCGGTGCTCTGTCTGTTCCAGCTTTGGGGATAGCTTACATCGGAGAGGCAGCAACAGGTCTGGAGATGTTGCAATGGGCACACAATCTAGGGACCACCACGACCAGTGTTTTTCCCAGTTCACGACAAGCGCACTCTCGTGTTCCGTGCTGGGCTATTTTGAGAGACATGCAGCCCTCGCCTCAGCCCCAGACAGCATTCACAAATACAAGGGGCTTCTCCTGAGTCGACAGTTACATTACAAGAGAATACATTTTTAGAAATCAATTTACAATGACATGGTAAATCACTGTGGCAAGAACACACCACAGACATTACACATATCCTTTTATTACATAGAAATGTGTAAGAGGAAAGTTATTTATCTTAAATGGCTAAATATGGAATTAACTGTGAATATTATATTGATGTAAAATAAAAAAAAACTTTTTTATCAAAAGGGCAAATCATATCTTCAATACAAATGAGTTTACAGATTTTTACAAGTTTCAAGGCTCCGTTGGTTGAGTTAGATCCAATGTTGGTATTGAGGCACTGTAACCTAGCAACGGCAGTGTTCATCCAGAAAAGCAGAACCATTAATTTTTGTTTTAGGATTCAAAAGTCCCAGATTATTTCATTCTGGAAACCATCCTAACAATGATGATGGCTTTATTTTGTATAGCTCTAAAACGGAATATAATATAGATATAAAAGGCATCTTTCAAACAATATTACAATCACTGAATATTGCAGACTGTTAATCCTTCTGACATTATTCCTTTCTTTAGAAATGTTATGAGAAACAAACAAAAGGCGGAGCTCTGAAACTTTATCAGTGGTCTACTGAAATTAACCTGGCAAGAGCCAGATTGATGATTGTGTAGAACTCTAACGCGTTCTTCACGATATATTCTCGAGTGTTTGTGAACTCACAAATACCGCGAGAATTCAGCTTGCAGGCAAGGTTATACTGAAATCAGTGACGTATGACATGTTGTATTTCTCCTACTTTAGCACCTTTTTTTAGGCATTTCAAATGTTATTATTTCTGAATTGGTCTGGTTTGAAGAAACTACACAATTTTCTTTTAACCATAGTATAGTGTCTTTATGAACAGTTCTGTTTCACTTTTTAAGCGTGAGCCTGTCTGCCTAATACACATGTGCTCAAAATATTTAAAAAGATGACATAAATAATATATAAACTACTACAATAGCAGGCATTCAGGTCTACAGTAAATCACAACCTTGATACTGATCCGTTGTTGAGTTCATCTCTGGGCTAATGAGAAGAGAAACAGTCTGTAGGATAAAGTTTGTGAGAGGTCGCTACATATTCCTGGACATAGAGGAGAGAGACAGCGAGGTACTGGGTCCAGCAGGTAAAAAAGAGACAATGTCAGCTGGATATGGTTTCAGACCAATTTGCTTGTTGAGATACAGCTTGGATACAACAACGCGGCAGAAGTCTTCATTGTTCCGATGACAGTTGTCCAGAAGCTTGCGCACCTTTGCAGTCCTTGTCTGTTGGTTCACAACCAGTTCGTAATCTTCCTGCATGATCAGGCCCTGAGCGATGAGGGCATCCATTGTCTGGTTCAGACATGCATCTGTCATTTGTGAAACAATTTCCTGTCTACGAGTATGGATCCACTCCTCTATTGGACCTTGTAAAGGTGGTGAGTTCCGCGGTGAACAACCCCCTGTAAAGTAAAATAAAAAACATGGATAAATACTGACACTGCACATACATACATAGTACCATGTCCACCATTAGTGCTTCCTATGCTGATTTTACCGGCACTCTGTGTGTGTGTGTGTGTGTGTGTGTGTGTGTGTGTGTGTGTGTGTGTGTGTGTGTGTGTGTGTGTGTGCACTTGTTTTCAACTCCTGGTGGGTTCCATAACCTGAGATTCCACTCACGTCATGGGGACTGGTTTTACGTGGTGGGGCCCGAACACCGGACCCCACTGGTCCAAGCTTAATAATCAATGGGTAATGCTTTTCTAACGGTCCTTATGCAGTCTCTGTAAAAATATGGAAAGGACCCCTGGAGGTTTACTTTCCTGAAAAAAGTGTGTTATGTGTCGGAACCCTGGTGGTGGGTTGCGGGATATCAAGGAGGGGCACACTGGGGCAATTTCAGTCCAGCAGGCTGGAGCCAATCATGGAGCAGCACAACAGAGGAAATCAGGTGTCAGGCTAGAAAAAGGTGCAAGTGTGTGGTTCATTAGGCTGCAAGAAATCATGGAGGAGCACACTGAAGCGCACGCTTACAAACCACTGGTAAGTGCTGACTACAAGTCATGACTTCAAATTGTTATATAGAATGATTACAAATTATTTGTTGTTTGTGCAGCTTAGTCAAGAGTCCCTAATTGATGAAGTCGACTCAGATTCTGACGATTTAACTGTCAAGAAGAAACCTGTAAAAAAGTATGGAAAAAGAAAAATCAAAAACACTTTTCTTCAAGACTCGGAAAGTGACGAACCAAAGGCAAATAAGATTGTTATCATGCAGCTGCAAAAGAAGAAAAATGGGGGGCGAGTTTACAGCAAGAGACACTTCTGCCTCTACTGTTCAATGTCCTGCCACAAAATGTCCCGTCATTTGACTAGAAAACATGGAAATGAAAGTGACGTAGCCAGAGCATTGGCTCTACCTGTGAAATCTAAAGCACGTAAACTTCAGTTTGATTTGATCAGGAATAGTGGAAACCGTGAGCAGAATTTTGAGGTTTTAAAGGCCGGCATTGGAACTTTAGTCCCAGCTAAACAGCCAAATTCCCCAGTTAAATCCAGTGAGTTTTTGCACTGTATAGACTGTGGGGCATTGCTTAAGCGAAAGTCGCTGTGGAGGCATGTGGCCAGGTGCCGGCTTTCACAGAAAGATGCCCAGGCTAAACCAGGTAGAAGTAGGGTCCAGTCCCTCTGCTCCCTAGCCCAGCCTGTACCGGAGGGCATCAGCAAAAAGCTGTGGTCTTTAATTTCGGCAATGCATCAGGATGAGGTCACGGGTGTTGTCAAAGCAGAAAAGGGGATTCTGAGACTCGGAGAGCACCTGTACTTAAAACACGGGCATGATAAGACTAAGCATGATTACATTAGGCAGAAAATGAGAGAAGTCGGTAGGTTAATTAACGAAGCAAAAACCGCAGGGAAACTGAAAACAATGAAGGATTTCTTTATTCCTTCCAACTTTAACCATGTGATTGATGCAGTCAGGTCTGTGGCTGGATATGATGAGGAAACAAATCAATACAAGACTCCATCCTTGGCCCTCAAACTCGGCCATAGCCTCAGAAAGCTAGCAGATATTCTTGAATGTGACTCAAAAATGGAGCATTGTGTTGATGAACTATTTATTAAAAACCTCCAACGAAGCCGGCTGCTTTTTGAGAAGAGGTGGGACGTCTGTGTTTCTTCTGCTGCCCTACAGACCCTCCGGCAAGCCAAGTGGAACACTCCGGACCTGCTCCCTCTGACTGAGGACGTTAGAGCCATGCATGCACATATTGAGGTATGTCGACCTGAATATGTGCAAACCCTAATAAGTGAGCCAACGTCTAAGCATTGGTCTAAACTGGCAGTTTTGACTCTTTGTGAGGTCATCATTTTCAATCGAAGAAGGGAAGGTGAGGTTTCAAAGATGCCACTGACAGCCTTTACCTTAAGAAGTAAGACTGGGATCCATTCTGACATTGCTCTGGGACTGTCCCAACTTGAGAAAAAGCTGTGTCAGCATTTTCAACGCATTGAAATTAAAGGGAAAAGAAGTCGGAAAGTGCCGGTTCTTTTGACTCCTGAAATGATTGCTTCGATGGAGGTGCTGGTGGAGAACAGAAGGGCCTGTTCCATCTCTGACCATAACCCATACTTCTTTTCCCGCCCGGGCGCAGACACCCACATCAGGGGATCAGACTCCCTACGCCAGGTAGCCAAAGAATGTGGTGCGGTGCATCCAGAGATGCTATCCTCAACCAAACTTAGAAAGCACATAGCTACTATGTCTACAGTTCTCAATATGAAAGAGAATGAGATGGACATACTTGCCAACTTCCTCGGCCATGACATTCGCATCCACAGGCAATATTACAGACTACCAGAGGGGACACTGGAGCTGGCCAAAATCAGCAAAGTGTTGATGGCCATGGAGCAGGGAAGAGTGACGGATTTCGAAGGAAAGAGCCTCGACCAGATACAAATTGAGCCTGAAGGTAATTCTTGATATTATTAAAATATGTATGATTTTTTTCCCCTAAAGGCCACTTGTATTTTTATTTTCTGTGCGACAGGGAGAGCAGTAGAGATCCTCTCACAAACGGACGGGCTAAAAGAAACTTCAAGCGGAGAACCTTCAACCATTCATCCAGATGCACCCCATGGTAGTGGCAGTGCCCCTTCTGGTAAGTGTACCAGGTGGGGGATTACAGCCAGGCTGCTTGGTCCTCACCCTGGGAGTGTATATTGCTAATATATTTTTATTTCTCTCCCTAGAACGTGTAAGAAAGCCATGGTCTGCATCTGAGGTGAAGGCTGTGGAGAAGACCATGACACCTTTCATACAGACTGGAAAGGTCCCTGGGAAGTCTCACTGCCTGGCCTGCATTAATGCCTCACCAGATGACCTTAGACATCGGACATGGAGTGGCATTAAATTCTATGTCAAAAATAGAATCACTGCAATTCGAAAACAAAATCTAAAATAAAATTCCTTTAAAATAGTTGTTTGGTTTCTATTGACTGTTTTGTATTACTTAAAGTCTTGGTAAAAAAAGATTATGTCTATGGGTCCCATTCTGAACGGCCCTGTCAAAGGGACCCACCAGGTAACAAAAACGTGTGTGTGTGTGTGTGTGTGTGTGTGTGTGTGTGTGTGTGTGTGTGTGTGTGTGTGTGTGTGTGTGTGTGTGTGCACTTGTTTTCAACTCCTGGTGGGTTCCATAACCTGAGATTCCACTCACGTCATGGGGACTGGTTTTACGTGGTGGGGCCCGAACACCGGACCCCACTGGTCCAAGCTTAATAATCAATGGGTAATGCTTTTCTAACGGTCCTTATGCAGTCTCTGTAAAAATATGGAAAGGACCCCTGGAGGTTTACTTTCCTGAAAAAAGTGTGTTATGTGTCGGAACCCTGGTGGTGGGTTGCGGGATATCAAGGAGGGGCACACTGGGGCAATTTCAGTCCAGCAGGCTGGAGCCAATCATGGAGCAGCACAACAGAGGAAATCAGGTGTCAGGCTAGAAAAAGGTGCAAGTGTGTGGTTCATTAGGCTGCAAGAAATCATGGAGGAGCACACTGAAGCGCACGCTTACAAACCACTGGTAAGTGCTGACTACAAGTCATGACTTCAAATTGTTATATAGAATGATTACAAATTATTTGTTGTTTGTGCAGCTTAGTCAAGAGTCCCTAATTGATGAAGTCGACTCAGATTCTGACGATTTAACTGTCAAGAAGAAACCTGTAAAAAAGTATGGAAAAAGAAAAATCAAAAACACTTTTCTTCAAGACTCGGAAAGTGACGAACCAAAGGCAAATAAGATTGTTATCATGCAGCTGCAAAAGAAGAAAAATGGGGGGCGAGTATACAGCAAGAGACACTTCTGCCTCTACTGTTCAATGTCCTGCCACAAAATGTCCCGTCATTTGACTAGAAAACATGGAAATGAAAGTGACGTAGCCAGAGCATTGGCTCTACCTGTGAAATCTAAAGCACGTAAACTTCAGTTTGATTTGATCAGGAATAGTGGAAAACCGTGAGCAGAATTTTGAGGTTTTAAAGGCCGGCATTGGAACTTTAGTCCCAGCTAAACAGCCAAATTCCCCAGTTAAATCCAGTGAGTTTTTGCACTGTATAGACTGTGGGGCATTGCTTAAGCGAAAGTCGCTGTGGAGGCATGTGGCCAGGTGCCGGCTTTCACAGAAAGATGCCCAGGCTAAACCAGGTAGAAGTAGGGTCCAGTCCCTCTGCTCCCTAGCCCAGCCTGTACCGGAGGGCATCAGCAAAAAGCTGTGGTCTTTAATTTCGGCAATGCATCAGGATGAGGTCACGGGTGTTGTCAAAGCAGAAAAGGGGATTCTGAGACTCGGAGAGCACCTGTACTTAAAACACGGGCATGATAAGACAAAGCATGATTACATTAGGCAGAAAATGAGAGAAGTCGGTAGGTTAATTAACGAAGCAAAAACCGCAGGGAAACTGAAAACAATTAAGGATTTCTTTATTCCTTCCAACTTTAACCATGTGATTGATGCAGTCAGGTCTGTGGCTGGATATGATGAGGAAACAAATCAATACAAGACTCCATCCTTGGCCCTCAAACTCGGCCATAGCCTCAGAAAGCTAGCAGATATTCTTGAATGTGACTCAAAAATGGAGCATTGTGTTGATGAACTATTTATTAAAAACCTCCAACGAAGCCGGCTGCTTTTTGAGAAGAGGTGGGACGTCTGTGTTTCTTCTGCTGCCCTACAGACCCTCCGGCAAGCCAAGTGGAACACTCCGGACCTGCTCCCTCTGACTGAGGACGTTAGAGCCATGCATGCACATATTGAGGTATGTCGACCTGAATATGTGCAAACCCTAATAAGTGAGCCAACGTCTAAGCATTGGTCTAAACTGGCAGTTTTGACTCTTTGTGAGGTCATCATTTTCAATCGAAGAAGGGAAGGTGAGGTTTCAAAGATGCCACTGACAGCCTTTACCTTAAGAAGTAAGACTGGGATCCATTCTGACATTGCTCTGGGACTGTCCCAACTTGAGAAAAAGCTGTGTCAGCATTTTCAACGCATTGAAATTAAAGGGAAAAGAAGTCGGAAAGTGCCGGTTCTTTTGACTCCTGAAATGATTGCTTCGATGGAGGTGCTGGTGGAGAACAGAAGGGCCTGTTCCATCTCTGACCATAACCCATACTTCTTTTCCCGCCCGGGCGCAGACACCCACATCAGGGGATCAGACTCCCTACGCCAGGTAGCCAAAGAATGTGGTGCGGTGCATCCAGAGATGCTATCCTCAACCAAACTTAGAAAGCACATAGCTACTATGTCTACAGTTCTCAATTTGAAAGAGAATGAGATGGACATACTTGCCAACTTCCTCGGCCATGACATTCGCATCCACAGGCAATATTACAGACTGCCAGAGGGGACACTGGAGCTGGCCAAAATCAGCAAAGTGTTGATGGCCATGGAGCAGGGAAGAGTGACGGAATTCGAAGGAAAGAGCCTCGACCAGATACAAATTGAGCCTGAAGGTAATTCTTGATATTATTAAAATATGTATGATTTTTTTCCCCTAAAGGCCACTTGTATTTTTATTTTCTGTGCGACAGGGAGAGCAGTAGAGATCCTCTCACAAACGGACGGGCTAAAAGAAACTTCAAGCGGAGAACCTTCAACCATTCATCCAGATGCACCCCATGGTAGTGGCAGTGCCCCTTCTGGTAAGTGTACCAGGTGGGGGATTACAGCCAGGCTGCTTGGTCCTCACCCTGGGAGTGTATATTGCTAATATATTTTTATTTCTCTCCCTAGAACGTGTAAGAAAGCCATGGTCTGCATCTGAGGTGAAGGCTGTGGAGAAGACCATGACACCTTTCATACAGACTGGAAAGGTCCCTGGGAAGTCTCACTGCCTGGCCTGCATTAATGCCTCACCAGATGACCTTAGACATCGGACATGGAGTGGCATTAAATTCTATGTCAAAAATAGAATCACTGCAATTCGAAAACAAAATCTAAAATAAAATTCCTTTAAAATAGTTGTTTGGTTTCTATTGACTGTTTTGTATTACTTAAAGTCTTGGTAAAAAAAGATTATGTCTATGGGTCCCATTCTGAACGGCCCTGTCAAAGGGACCCACCAGGTAACAAAAACGTGTGTGTGTGTGTGTGTGTGTGTGTGTGTGCGTGTGCGTGTGCGTGTGCGTGTGCGTGTGCGTGTGCGTGCGTGCGTGCGTGCGTGCATGGATGACTGAAACTCTTGTCTGTGAGCAGATGGGGATTGACAGGTGAGATTATTTCTATTGAACTGTAAAGCACTTGTGTTATATTGTTCATATGAAAATTTCTTTCTAGATAAAGTTTGATGGTTTTATGGATTACCAGATTGCGGTGGCTTGAGTATAGCGTTGTCTGATTGCGTCGGGAAAGTGGGGGTTACAGGAATGTTGAACTTGTCGTCAGGAGCATGGTGGCCATTCAGGTTGTTGGGGGGATTGGACTTCAGGGAATCTGGCGACTCTGGGTCAATGAAAGAGGAAGGCAAGCCTAAAGAAAAAGACTTCATAGATCAGGTCTCTTCACCAGTAGTCAACAAACAATAGCTCAGGAGCTGCCAGTAGCTCACCCCCTCATAAGTAGCTCCTCAAAGAAACTATAAATGATCAATATTCGTCTGACTTTTTTAAATGTTATGATTCAGACAACTATTGTAAATGTAAACTGGTACAAAACAGTTGGTTGCCTGCTCTACATTATTGAAATCAGCAAGTCATTCACTTGTGTTACCTTCAGGTGGAGAACCATGAGGGCTGAGAAACCTTGGTGGAGACATTTCAGGCTCTGGTGAGGAGCAGCACCTTCTACCAGGGATGGGCTTTTCCTGTGAAATTACAAATTATTCATATTTTATACCTCCCATCTTTAATATCTGTCACAGGAAAGTGACCTTACTATGTGGTTGGGTCCCCTAGGAGAAGCAGAACAGCACTCTGCTCTTTTCTAAAAAATAAAATTCCATTATTTGAGTAAATATAATCAATTGTTGAATAGTACATTGACCAAGAAAATGCAGAATGAAGCAATTATATTATGAAATTACACAACATCACTAAGACAAGCCGTCATAATGGACCATGCATCAATTTTTAAAAGGTTAACAGTAAGATTTTTCTGAACTGACCTTTGACCTTTTCAGCTCCAATACAGACTCCAAGACGTCAATGTCATCAAAGCTCCGGACCATTGGCTCGAGCTCCACCAAACACCCTGAGGGATAAGGTCACAATGTCATGGAAGAACCCTAAAGAGAGTTATGTTATATTGGTTTTCTGGACTCACTGAGAAAAGATGGTCGCTCGTCTGGGTCTGCAGTCCAGCCACTGGTTATCAAACCGAGCAGTATCTCCCTGTTGGGAATGTGGGAAGGTAAACTGTCTAAGCTAGTGTCAGGGCGAACACCACAGATCACATTGAACATTATCGTCATGGGGTTGTTCATGTCTAGACCACAAACACATAATTAATAAGGTTCCAAAAGCGTCAATGAAACTACATAAACAATAGACCTACCATCGTAAGGAATCAGCCTGGACAGTACTTCCCACATGATGATTGCATAGCTGTGAGGATGAAAAATGAAAAAACAAAAGTAAGTTTCCCTTCAACCTGGTTTTCCCCTAATAGACCAAGGGACTTTTACTAGCTCTTCTGTAAACTGGAAAATCTGCTTTGAGGAACTGGTTCAAAAGTATTGCATCATATGTTACCAGAACACAGACTACATCATACTTCCTTATTTTCAGTGATAACACGCCCTGGTGTTATAGTTTCATCCAAAGATTGTTCACAGTATTTCTCTGTATTTCAATTCAATGGGCTCTAACCTGTACATGTCGTGTTTAACATCAGCACGCCGGCCATTTTTGTTGGCCGAGGGCTCATACTTCTCCGGAGGCATGTAAATAATTGTCCCTCCCATCTCTGTGTGCTTCGATCCAGAGCCTTTACTAACGGACAAATGCCGCCATTTGGAAAGACCAAAGTCAGCAATCTGGATAAGAAACAAATTTTACTCTGGGTGAAACTTAAAAAAAAATCTTATTTAAGTATTGTAAAAAGCATCACTGACTTTGACGTGGTATTCTCCATCCAGCAGAATATTTTGAGTCTTTAAATCTTGATGTAAAAGAGGAGGGTTCATGTTGTGAAGATAATTTACACCAAGAGCAATCTCATACAGAATCCTCAGTCTTAGCGGCCAGGCCAATTCAGGGTACATGTCCTTCTGTGGGGAATGAGAGAGAAAACATCCAATGTACAAGCTGTAACTCAAGACAATGCCCTTTTAGTTGTTTAGAACACAAACAAGTGCCAGAGTATCAGTAAGCTACACAGATGACGCTAAGATGAGGCCTCCTGATAAGAGTATATAAAGGGGGCTAAGCTTTTATCAAATACTAAGTTACACACATTCTGGGTGATGGGTCATGTGCTTTGTAATTTGTCAGGACGTGGCAAGAAAACAATTAATATATGAAAAGATCTTTCAGAATCAGTTTGTTGTGATTAGTCAGTTAACTCCAACATTTGAGCCATTACTTTGTCCACAGCAATAACAATGTCACAAATAGGTCAAATGCTGACGTTATTATAAAAGATAAATGCAAACACAATCATTACTAACAAACGAACAGATCACCCTCAAATCACATCAACAGTGACTTTATAAAGGTTATCATCCCACACATTTAAGAGTTATTATTATAAATATTGCTATTATTTAGTATAAGTACCTCATGCAGAAGCAAGTCCAAAGAGCCATTGCTCATGAACTCAGTGACAATGCAGAAAAACTCAGGTTCGTTGCAGACACCAAAAATCTGTATAATGTAGTTAAACCTGGCCTTGTGGAGAACCTCCGCTTCTTTCAGCAACCCATTCCTCTCTCTGAAACACAGCATTGTAATAGACTTAAAGCATATGTTATGATTTGGTTAGAAGAGTAATTCACAACAGAAGAGCTTTGAACGGAGTTTTGAGAAGAGATGGTTCCAGACGCACAGTCATCAGAGGAGTATTGTACCTGTCTCCAAACGGGGAGTCCAGCTTGAGGCACTTGACGGCCACTGGGGTCCTCCAGTCCGAGTGCTGCGCCTTGAACACGGTGCCAAAAGCCCCCGCGCTGAGGTGGTACAGGTCAGTGAGCTTCTGGTAGGGGATCACGGGCAGAGTGCTCACCAGACTGCAGAGGTTCAGACAGCCCGCCTGTGGCTCCATGGTGCTGTGTGGGATTCTCACGCAGACTGACTCAGTATTTATCATTTAGTGAGCAATCTGGGAAAGCAGAACTGCCCCTTTCGGCCAACAATGAGGAAGCGCTCCTCCATTCAGCTAACACCGCCTACACAGAGCAGTCGTGCGGCTAACAATATAGCTAACAGGGCGTGTTGGAGGAATACACTTAATTTACACGAAACTAGAATATACTTGTGTTCTTGCTGACGAATTATTAAGATATGAAGGTGTACTGACTGTCTGGCGCCGGATAGATGTCCAGGCACAGACAGGGCACAACAGGAGCAGGTGGGTTTGTTATGGCGGAAGACGTGTGGGCAAAACCACTTCAATGTTGTAGGAATCTTTAGTTCTCCCTTAAACCAACGCACTGTATGAACACCACTTTGGAACTTTTTACGAACTGTATGGTTTAAATAAGTTATTTACTTTTATTTTGAAATAAAATTTAACAAACAGTATAAAATCATGCTACAGTTTGTGTAATCTTTGATTGTGCTTTTGTCGACATGGATTCCCACAAATGAAATGAACATGAACGTCACATAGCACATGATGTCATGTCATGAATGAAGTCTCCGCTGTAGACAATTTACAACAAATGCATTTCTTTTACAATTAACTATTTATTTTACTAAATCAAAGCATATTCTTAGTATGTAATGTTGATTGTCTGGTACACTAGTGGAGCCCAGTGTATTACTTAAATGCCAGGTAACATCCCCTGTCATCATTTACAAAATGTTAAAACTAATAATATGGCCAAACTGGGATGAAATTCGGAAATCTAATCAATAATTATCGTTAGTGTTGAGTTTGTATTGTGTTTTGTGAAAAGTGAAGTCTAACTTTTATTAGCTTGAGAATAATAATGTAATACACTGTATAAGATCACAAATTATTGTTCTGTAAATTTGACAGAACAATCTAGTGCCTCCTTTAAAAGGAGGCTCTAGACTATGGAATCAAGTAGACGCTTCAAATCTTGATATAACACTATAATTGTAAGTTTACATTGTATTTCAAGGGAAGTATGTTTGTATAAATGAAATATTTTGTGGATTTGGATGTTATCCTAATTAAATTAGGAAAACATCCAAATCAGAGCATTGTAAAGCGCTTTGGGACACCTTGGTCTGTTAAAATGCGCTATATGAATAAAGATTACTTACTTGCTTACTCATTTACAATAATGCATATAATTTACATTTAGTAATACTTTCAAGTATACAGTGCTTCTTTATATATTTGTTGCACTGTAATATTTATAAAATATGTTTCCCAAGAAATGTTTACAATCCACAAAAACAATATCCAGCAAGCCACCAGTTGACGTTCACTGACCTATAACAAATTAAGTAATAAAATACATTGTTGAGCTTGAGAATAGGTCTTGGCACAATTGCAAGACAAATAAGATAAAACAAAATAATCCAAATATGAACCTCATTCCTATAGTGTAGAATACATGAGGGAGTAGGGAAATCACTAACCAGCACTGGCTCGCATGAATAAACACTTGAGTGGTTTTGATGAGGTAGCAGAAGTCAGCCTGTAAAAAGATTTACAACTGCACCAGATATCATGGTGTCCACCTGTGTCCCACTGCCTTTCCCAGACAGCTGGATCAAAGAAAGGTGGACTGCATCAAAAATCCTTCCAGTGGATAAAGACAGACCTTTTGCAGGAGTGAGTGAGGCTGTGGTCCCCTGTTCTGCAGAGGAGGACTCTGAAGTGCAAGTATGGACCACTACGGTACATGGCTATAAGATCCTGAAGAAGAGGACCAAGTTTACGGTAAAACACATTTACAATCAAATAGTGTTTATTTAGGCATGAACTAAACAACAGCTCACTGACCCTGTCATATCTGTGTTATTACAGGTTTATAAAATCTTGGTAAATAACATCAGAGAAAGTTGGATTATTTTCCGAAGTTACTCAGATTTTTGCAAGCTCAACAAAAAGGTAAATGGTCACTCAATGAAGCATGTTAAAGGCAAAGTTACCAGTTTGTGTTTCTTATTGAATACTCTTATTACAGCTCAAAGATCTGTTTCCCAGTGTTTCTTTGCCCTTTCCACCAAAACACAGATTAAAAAATAACTTTGAGGGAGATTTTCTAAAACTTAGACAAACTCAACTTCAATTGTTTCTAGCAGAGTTGACATCACACACAGATCTGTATCATTGGTGAGTGTTGAGGCTGAGACTATTGGACTTTGGTTTATGAGGTTCACTTATACTTGTATATTTTTAAGTGACGTAGTAAAATACTTCCTGCATCAAGTCAACTCTCCAGATCTATTTGAAAGTCTCGATGAGAGTCGGGTGAGCTCACTTCTCTCTGTTTGCCAGCAGAACAAGGCTCTGTCAGTGTTGGTTCATGTTTTCATGTTTTGGGAACAGGCCTTTTGTGACTCACTGGAGGAGATGAACCACTGCCTCCAGAGGGCGCTCTCAGACAAACAGAGAAAGCTGGAGGTTTTGAGGGAGACTTTGGAGAAAAGAGATCATCATTTACAACAACTGATGAAGAAAGTCAAGTACTAAAATGTTGTGACGTTTTCGGTTTGTTTATGTTTGCTCGTGTTGCGGAAGCAGATTGATTACATTATTTTGTTTCAAATTATTATTTGATTATATAAACACAAATTCAGACAGCTGCCTTTAGGTGTCAGAGTGCCCGTGTTGACATTTCACTGAGGAGGACTGTTGAGCTTTCAGTGCACTCTGGGCATGAGCCTGCAGGCGCCGAGACTTAAAATGAGTGAGGGACATTTTTATTCAGTGGGATTATAAATTACCCCTTTGTTCTCTGTGTAAACCTGTTCTCACAGTTTAATGGAAATCAAGCATATTTATTTAGGTGTCAATATCTAAAAGTGAGCGTTCCCACTTTTATAAGATTGGGGTTAATGTGTAGATTGGGATTAGGGTACAATATGACGCAAATGGGTGATCATTTGAGAATAATCTGGAGTTATAGAGGTGTTGTTTTGAGACATAAATGGCAGAAAGCAATTTCTTTGTTGATATATTAATATATTGATATAGTCAAGACCCACACATTTAAAATAGAACCATAGGTGCTGTATTTTTGTATAAAATTGGGTAGTGCCAAGATAATATAGAATAAAGAAGCCAAAAACCAAATATCAAATCGTAAAGATGAGTGTATTGAGTGTACATTGTATCGTGGAATATCTAGCATATAGAATATACAGTCTATGGTGTCGCGGTGTCTCGTATCAGCAAACTCAAGATATCCAGTCATATAATAAATGCATTAATGTTAAAGGTTTCTCTACATTGTCTTACATGTTTTCTTTTTACGTTTGTCTGTTATTGGTTATAGACGTCCTCTAGTTTTATTAGTTGCAGAGCTCCACCTCTATGGCTCCACCTTGTGGCTGTTTCACGTCACGTAAAAAAAAAACTCAACAACGGAGACGGCGTTGCCATGACAGCAGATGCACATTCTTTTCCCGCGCATCATTGAGCACGTGGGCGGTGCCTCTGTATCTATCCGTATAGACCGTGTACGGCTGTACTGTACACATTGCTTTGTAAACGCGGTAACTGCACAACCTTTACCAAACTACCACAAACACAGCGGACACTTCACGGTCTGACACAGATCATCTATGAGCAGGATGCGCAGCGCAGCGGGGAAACACTTGTGGCTCCTGCTGCTTGTCTTTCCTCTGACGTGGGCCGTGTTCACCAAGACAGAGCCCCACGCCAGCGAACATAACACAGGTGAGTGTATTACAGTTTTCATTACACAGCCCTCTACCTTTAAGATAGCTGACCCCATGGCTATTTATTTGCAATCATCATAGTGACAGGTCGACCCAGCTCGCCTTCAGCGCTATCATTAGTTCGAAATAGAGTTTATTATTTCATTAAACTGTATTCAATTTTTTTTCTTAATAAGTGTAGTGCGACAGTAAGAATACCGATAAGTGTCAAATTTGGCTGAAGTGGTTGGCGTTTCTTACACAGAAACATGTCAATCTTTGCACTGTAGAAGTTGTACATTTGCTCTTGTCACAAATTAGTGTGACGGTCCTTTTTGTCTCGAATAATGTCAAACTTCTCAAATAGGTTTTGTCCGTGACATCTGATATTGAATATATTCAAGACAGTTCACATTACTTAAAGTAGTATAGGGAATTTTCTTATTTTTTTTTTTTTTCCAGATATAGGTATACTATTCAGAACATAATAGATAGATAATAAATTGTGCAGTATTTGACTCATTGATTTTGGACCATTAGTGCCAACTGAATATAGACTGAATAAATGAAGGTTGATTTGAGACATGTATCAAAATGATATTAAAGATTCTCTTGGTGATAAGTAAGATTCTCTTGGTGATAAGTTTTCTAGGGAAAAACATACATGTTCTGTCCGTGTTGATTGAATACTTCACATGAGGCCATTCTAGGTGGGACTCGTCACAATGATTTCAAATAGAAGCAGGGATATAGGGCAGTGGGACCCAAAGAAGCATGTCAACATCAGAATTTAAAAGCATGGATGAGTACCCCACAGGGTGATTTTTGCTATAAATTAAATAAATGATAGCAAACTAGCGACTTATTTCTGTTTTCTCATTATTGTAGTCTGGAGCCAAGCCGGAACCAGACATCTCTTTGCAAGAAGAAAGTTGATTCTACAGCAGGAAAGTCTTGTTCCAGTGAGTAATTCTGTGTTTTTGAAAATGACTGCGACAGGTTAGTCTGTTATAGGGCTCCTATGATTAAAAAAAGCACATTAATTAATATTAACAATTTGTCTCAAATAATACAAAATCAAATCCAATTCCACCCTCTAAAGCCATGTGTGGAAAGCACCTGCACAGACACAAAAGTAATAGGCCTAGTAAAGTAATGGCACCAGGTTTAGAGTGGACAACAGTAATCCTCAGTAAATGTATCTTATCAAATGTGCACCAGTGGGTCTGGTGATTGTGGGCAGATGCTGCACAGTGAGTACGGAGTAGATCCAAGGTACATCTGGATCCTCTATTAAAGCACAAAAAAAACATTTTTTTATAAAAAAGAAAGAAATCTGTTTATAAAAAAGTAATAACCTCTTTCAATATTGGGATGTTCAGTCAAAAGTCAATAGTTTTAGTATAAAAAGGTGTGAAAAGAATTTCAGTTTCAGTTTTTATAGCACGTATGGATCATAAGTTCTATTTAATATATTATTAACAGTAGTAGAACCATGACTATAGTTCCAAAAGCAGAGAACTTATTGTAGAAGGTAAATAAAGTTTGTTTTGAGCAGAGGCTGCACACAGCCCTCCTGACCCCCCCGCGCCGCTGCAGTCGCCTCATGGAGAACTGCTCTCGGACGCTCTGCTGTGACCCCTGCACCTCCTGCCGCTGCCGCCTCTTCAACACCATCTGCCACTGTCGGAGAACCAACCCCCAGTGCCTAAAAAGCAGAGCCTGAAGACCAGTCCCCAGTGCTGGGAGAGGACACTACATTGCAAAAAATGGTTTTGTGCATTTGGAAACTGAACTGCACCTTTGCAGTTTAGTCCAGGCTGAACTCTAAACAGAGAAAAACTAATCCGCGTCATTTGTTTTTTAGGAGGTTGTAAAATGTCTTGATTCATTTTCCTCATGGTGTTATGACATGCACATGATTGATCTCCTCTTGTCAGCAAATATTCTTTCAGTTATCAAAATACATTATTTTATCACTTCTGAGCTGTTATTGAGGTCTTTAAAGTGAGAGAATGGCAAGCAACAGTCAAACTCGCCCCTTCATGGCGGGACAAAATTAATTAATATGTTAATGAGTTCTTAACCAATCGATTTATCTTTTATTCTCATATCAAGTATAATAAGATAAATGTATTTTTCTTTCTCATTAAACATTTAGAAGGCAGCATTCCTTCTCCTTTTCAGGTGAAGAAAAATTGTTAAGTGTCATGGGTTAGACCCATACACAGTAAATAATAGAACTAGTTAGAACTCTATAAAAGGGTGGGGGTAGGATTTTGATTCACTAATATTAGTTATAATTAGTAATATTAATTATAATGTTACAGCTAGCCATGAATGCTTTAATGCATTGGCCATGTGTTTATTTACACAGGCAGACCATCAGATGTGTATTTATCTTTTTTAAATAAACATTAAGTTTAAAAAGCCTTTATTGTTGTTCTGTAACAATATACCTGAATACAGTTCCAAATGAGATTAGGGATGGAATTGAAACTTTGTCAATTTGTTGGATAAACCCAAACTATAGTTTCCATGCACCGAGAGCACTTACACCGAGGCATATTAACCACGATTGAGAAGGTTGTGGGTTTGATCTCATGTCGTCGTGGCCTTTTATGTGATGTTTTCATGTTTCCCCTGGTAACTGTGTGGGTCCTCTGGGCGCTCCGGTTACCCCACCCAAAACATGTTCATGAGGTAAAATACCCCAACTCAGACTGACAATGAATTTGGGCACTCCTATCATGTGGCTACCTTTGGTTAATATGAGAACCTGTCCATCTAAATTCCTATTACCAAAACCTAAAAACAACTTAAAAGGCAAGACAAAGTGCAGGCCAGAGGACGCAGAACAGTGTGAGTGAATTCACAACATCCTATGGTTTATCAATCAATGGTTTTTTTATTTGTAGAAAGTGATCCACGGGCCCTACACTTCCCACAGGAGAATGATGTGCAAGAGTTTAGAAGACAGATCATTAGTTATAAGTCTTAAATATGAGCATTTGATTATGTAATGTTATCCCTGCTGATAAAATAGTAAGAGCAAATACCACAGTCTATGGGTAGAAGGGATGTTTTCCAGAAATGTTTTCAAGATGATTCACGATCACATATAATATAAAAGAAATACTCAAAGTAATAATAGTTTTGTTATTATTGATGCTAGTGTTACTTGAAATACTTGAAATGCTGTTGATCAAGTCCTGCTCATTTACTGTTTGAGCCACTGGGTGCATTTGTCGATGGAGAACGTTTGTCCAAGTCTAATTCTATTACCTTGTGGTTTTCTATGTGACCAAGACATTATCTGGCCCAAATCAAATGGTGCATTTTTCTGGTTACGCCAATTGAAATAAGAGGTCTGTTGGAGCACACATTATGATTCTAAAATTCTTGTTTTTGTTCTGCATGTTGAAATCCCAGGCTCTCTAAACCATCGCCCATGCCAGTTCAAACATTTACAGTTCATTCCATGAACTCTCTGTAAGTTATCATCCGGACAGTTATAAGATCTCAAGCCCTCATCACCTAACTCATAAATGTGAATTTCTGGACTGGGGCCAATCAAATGTTTGATGTCCATTAATTATCTAATTGTTATGGATTTAAGCTCTGTACCGGATGTATTGCCCTACTGCACTTGGTAGCAACAAACATTTTATTTGAACAAGGCTTTCCAAACAAAGTACTGGTTAGTTTACAGTTTGGACTATTTTATCAAAACAAAACTATTAACAACATTGTATGGATCACTGAATGTGTCACACAGAGGCAAACGTCAAAGATTATTAGTTATTTTCCCATTATCCAGTAAAAAATGTGTACAGGTAATACACATCCACAGTCCACAATGAAAAATGTACATAAAACATAAGTATTATTTGTATTGCATTTTACCACTGATAACTGATCATCTTTGGCGTTAAAACTACAAAATACAATGCAGTTTTGCCAAGACATAATATCAACTATGTATGGGAATAGTAAAATAAAACACAGCAGATGATCAAACCAGTGGTGTGAGTTGCTCTTTGCTCTTTGTCATCCCCAACATCTATCACACTTTTCCTGAAACAACAAAGGAGGAACTGGGTGAACTAGAAAGAGGTCTGTGTCGGACATATTTCAGACTCACTGCACTGGCCGGGCGTCTCCAGCGGGACGTAGTTCTGCTGACATACGTGCGAGAAGGAAGATGCAAGATGGCACGGTGCGTCTCGGTGTGGACTCCTCTTGCACACAGACAAAAACCTACTGGGATCCACCTGAGAATAGAATGAATAGAAGAAAATACATAAAGCGGGGAAAAAAACTTGCATTCCTCAACTGTCCTGCAGGTGACAGTAAAAAGACGTAGAAATAGCACATTGCCATTTACACTGTACTTTTTTACCAACAGAAATTAGCTATAGAAATTGAACCAATTAGACCACAACATGGTGTCTCTATATTATTATAATGACTGTTAAATGTTTTGAGACAGGAAAAGTAGGTACCCCAGCTTTAAAAAAACAAAGAATACAGTTCCAGGGACAGATTGAGGCTCCTGAACTCACCACCCTGAAACAGGAGCTGAGCGGTGAGTCCAGGGATGAGAACAGAGAGGTGCAGCTCATCGCGCTCCTCAAAAATGTCTCATTTTTAACCGTAGTTTCACCGCATTCTGGCGTGAGCTGTAGATAACAAATAAGTGTGAAAGTAGGTTACCACGACTGCATGCTGTGTCTGTAATTGAAAATCTAGAGAGAAAAGACAAAGGGTTATAACTTGCTCTCACCTTCCAACTAGATAGAAAGTTCTTGTGATTGTTAGTATAAGCTCTATTCGGGAAAATAAAGTCATTTCCTGCTTCGTTGTCATTGGTTCCCATGAGACCCGTGCTTATGCCTATGCAAAACACAAGAACTTTCAGTATACATGATGAACAGTTTTTTTGTATACAATTGGATGTACCATGCAGCCACCCATCCAAAGTTAAACTGCACACCGCGGTCGACATATCGCACGACAAAGATACACCATCCTGATTGGACACCTCAATGACCTTTGCTGTTCGTTTGACCGATACACCGTCACCAAAGAATGTGTTTGTCCCAAGAGTGTTGCAGTTCACCTTCACCTGCACACACTTTATTTTAGAGCAATCGCGAGAAGTTATTGCATTCCACAGTTATAAAAGTTATACCTGTCCATTGAGTTGAATAGAGATGTTATTGTTATTCATTTCAATCAGGAGAAAGGATTTTGGGTTTGGGTTTAACATGAGTGTGAACAGGGCATCAACACTGACACCGCGCGCTAAGAGTAGAGGACAGGAACGTGGCAACTCAAAAATATGATTATCAAACGTGACCACAAACTGGTCGGACACCACAAGGGCTTGGTCTGAAAGAAGACAGCATAAATACTGTTAGCATTGGTTCATTTCAAGGTCTGTCTTGTGTAACGTACAGAGGAAAGGGCTGTCCATTATTTTCCTCTTGAGGCGATATAACTCAGCAGTAGGTCTGATAGAGGCCAAGGATTGCAGGGGTTTCAAGAGCCACTCCTCCAGGACAGCTTGCACCAGTTCAGCCTCATTTGTCCCGGGCCAGTGCAGCTTCGGCAGTGGCATGGACATGGACACTGAGCACTCCCTAAAACATATTACATTCTGATGTGTTATAGACCGTTAAGTAAAACATCTTATGCCAAAGTTTCTTGAGCTTTAACCATGTTGCAACTTAATCAAAAACAGTCCTGGAGTTGCTTTTAAATTAATCTGTGCCAATAACAATAATTTTATCTACAAACTCCCATCTCAGTCCTGTAATAGTATGATGTCATTGTACCACTATGACATCACGCCTAATGCTCAAACCAGTTTTCTGGCTCTAAAAAACTATATTTCCCCTTTGGCTAATTTGAAAAAAACAAAACAAATTCCACTCCTTCCTCTGGTGGTAGCATAGGCAAAAAAGGCTTAATACATAATACTGCATACGGATTAAAATAAATAAATAATAATACCTGGGGCTGAATTTGTAGACTGAGGCGAGTCGTTTCCTGACTCCAGACAAAGCCAATGCCAGTCTGTTCTCCAGCCACTGGTACGACTGCTGACCTGCCTAATATGACAGGGAAATAACACATACAGAATACACAACAAAAAAACGTTGTATTAAAACAATAAACAGAAAAATACACCATTAGCCTGGCCTTAGCCATCTGTAAACTCCGGTCAATAATCATTTCCCTAATTTTTACAATGTCTGGTACGACCAGGCTAATACATGATGCTCATGTTGTAGTTTTATCAAAAGTCTGTAAGGTTAAGACTTTTTTTCTCACCACTTCTAAACTGATATGAAGTCCAGTGATGCCAAGCTGAACGATGGGAAGAAGCTGAGGGCTGTCTACTGGGACCACCTCCCCCACAGTCTCCGTCCACACCGACACTGCCTCCCGCCACAGGGCCTCCAGCCTTTGCCCTTTCACATCCTGGTACACGCCGGCCAGTGTGGCAAGCGGCCCTGGGACCACAGGCAACCATGTGACGTTAAAAAGTCAATACATGTATTTTTGATTGAAAGTAAGTCTGTCTGCTGATTAACATACAGTAGCTCACATATGTTTACACATGCAGCTAGTGTCAAAACATGATGAGCCAAATGTTGTGTTGTTTATTTGAGTTACCTCTTCCATGGGGCAATGTTTGTTTTTTTTGTAAATTTGCAACAGAACTGAAAAATCGGAAATTTTCAGTAGCTCAGAAATGGGACAAATGTGGATAAATATTTACATTTTGGAAGTGATCTAAATCACGTCTGGGTCCAAATTTTTTCTTATCTTTGTATTATCTTTTTTACATTATCTTTAAGCTATTAGATCAATTAGCACAATACATGACTCAAATAAACAACTCCAAATGATGACATCTGTGTGGGAACCGCAGCCATATGACTCACGGCGCAGCTCCTGTTGTCCGAGCAGAGAGGCGTGCTGCAGCAGACTGAGGAACTGTGGCAGGTCTTCTGTGAGGAAACGACGAGCTGAGCTCTTCTGCCACTGACCCATCAGCCCTCGGTCGGCCTGCTTCACTGACAGCAGCAGCTCCAGACCTCGCAGTGCATCAGAGGGCAGTGTACTGACTCCCTGGACAAACTCACTGTCCCTGGACTTAGTGAGCAAGAAAATATGTTAGCTACAACATCAAATACAAATGATAATTTACCTTCAACGCCTTTACCTGTTGTCGGAATTCATTCAGAAGATGCTGCAATGTTTTGACTTTCTCCAGTAGCTTGCCTCTGATTTGTGAACCCCAATACTGAACTTGTGACTAAAATAAAGGATATATTTGCATACAGATACATTGAATAAATATTCAAAGTTGTTTTTACTGGTACTGTACCTCCACTGAGATTAGACTCTCCAAACAAGCGCATGCTTTAAGAGATAATTTTTGGTTGACTGTCCCAACAGAAACACGAGTGAGAGGTTGAGCTTCATTATCGCTATCTTTGGCCTCAATGTTTACATTTATGCTGTGATCTTTCCCAGTGCATGCTTGTACACGGATGTCTTCACTTTGCCCTGGACCTACAACGAAACCTTCATTTAGTTAAACTGTGTATAATTCTCATGTTATGTTACTTACCATGAATGAAACCCGCTGTAGTCTGAAGACATCTTCCTGACAGAGTGCTATTAAGCCACAGCTTCTCTCTTCTGTCCAGTTGGGCTTGTAGCATGATGCCAGACCCTCTGCTCCAAGTGAGAACAGAGCCCCCCACGTCAATGGACCAGTTCCCAAACCGAAACTTTAGAGTTCACAACAAAAACATTGTATATTGATCAGAAAACATATAAAATAAAAACAATTGGCCTTCTGTCTGGTATTTGTAAAAATTGCAACACTTAAACCATAGCCAGCCTTTTCTGCACCAACGCAGGAGACAATATGAGAGCAACAATGTGTCTTGATCCCAGGGTCTTTCTTTCATTTGACATAATGCAAATTTTTACTGCAGTTTGTGTTTTTTTCAAAAGGTAGTACTTCATTATGCAACTACTGATTAGCTGCTAAGTTGTGCCCAAGAGGTACAATCAAACAAGGGCATGGTGACCTCTGAGTGGGTTTCTAACTTCAGTTGTAAGGACAACATGTTCTCAAGGATCCAGATTCATCCACAAACAGGTGCTTCCAACATCTGTTTCTCACTACACTTGTTATCATAGTCTCTGTGTTTGCTTCTTCAGTGATAAAAGCAGCAATTAGTGTCTGTGAGTAAACGTTGAAATTATATATCCAAAATATTACATATATTAGATACACAAAGCTGCCCAATAGTGGCCCCGCAGAGATCAAGATGAATCGTGTGTATCATGTTTCTCTTACAGTATATTGGAAATATACGTTTTAATTGTTACCTCAGAAAACAACGATATGTTGGTTTTTTGTGTTGAAGAGGAGTTGGCGAGAGCGACTGTCACACTGCACTGATGAGGGCGCTGTGTCAGTGATAAACGAGACTGACTGTAGAATAACTCATCTCCAGAAGACACTCTGTGAGAACCAGACCACGACAAGCCCTATAGAGACAGAGACTATTTACTATATTTGCTTTTACATGTTGACACAGACTGCATGTTCAGTCTGCATAAATTACTTTTAATAATTGTAAAACTTTGTAGCACTGGTTATCCAGGAAAAAATATCTATATTCAAATTGTCATTGGATGCAAAACCAAATATAAATTCTCTTAACTTACAGGTTGAGATGGACAGATGCCCAGTAACAGGGTGTGATCCAGTCTGTCTCTGAGATTGGTTTGTAGTTTGAACAAGAGAGAGTGAGACAAACAGGGAGGAGGAGAAACCCTGTCCAGCCAAATGTTCACCTGAACACTATGCAATCCTCGCTGGCCCCTCTACAAACACAGAACAGATTTTCAGTCACAGGACATTACATATAACTTTGAGAAAAGGTGCTGGACAGTGAAATATTAGTCTCAGGAGTGTGCATTGCAGAGTCAGGGACAAACAGCTGTCCAGAGTTAAGGCAAACGTGTTATCAGATGCTTTCTATTAGTGTCGTCATAGTCATTACCTGATACTTCAAGCCTTGCTTAACACTCCTGTTGCTCCACCTGAACTCTGCATTCTGAGAATATGAATTATCCTCTTGAACTGCAGACAAGCAGCCTTTGACAGGCGATAGAGACGCCTAAGAACAAGAGCATCAGCATCAAGAGCTTTGGATCTACCAGTAACTCTCTACCCCCTTCATAGTGGTTCCCCAGAGGATTTAGAAATGACAAATAAATAGCTGAATATGTCTAAATCAGTTTGCCAAGGACAATTGTACGTAATGATTTGCCCACAGGACTAAATAAGTTGGTTTCAGATACCGACCTGTTGTGAGGAAAACACAACACATGCCTGCCCCCTGCTGGAGTTGTACTGTTGCTCTCTGTTAAGGTCCAGAGATAAATTGACAGCACCATTCCACATGAAGAGAGTCTGCACCACAATCACATTTATCATTATAGAACCACAAGTTATAAACATGTTGTTTAAACCATTTTGTTTAAGAAAAACACATGTGACAGGGCTTTTCACCATTTCCATTTTTTTTAAAGTCATTTTTTGGCACATTGTATATTTTGTTCATAACATATACAGTACATGTATACATAACCTTCTGGCTGCTGCGGTGCTGTCTCTCAGAGCTCTGAGACACAGAGGACAGAGAAAGATGACTATGTTTTATCATAAAAGGTTGCTTTAGCTCCAGCTTGGTCTCATTCAACTCCTCTGACCTTCTCCACAAACTCAGCATCTGGAGCTGAAAAAAGGATATGGATAAGACATAAGGTACAGTAAAGGTGAGAGAGGACAGTTTGCTATATTTCTGACCTGTTCAGGTTGACCATGTCTCATCCATTCCAGTGAAAGGCTGTCCGTGCGTCCTTGAGGAAAACGCTCCAAATTCAAATCCAGGTTACTCCAACGAGGAGCAGTGCTGATGTGTACTGAAGATAAAACATTGAATAGTTGTGCTAGTACTCGCTTGCTATGAGCCTGACCAAATGCTAGTGTTTTAATTACCCTTTATTGTGTGATTCCCCATGTGCAGCAATGGAGGAGCAGAGTAGAGTCCACTCAGGGAGACCTCCTGGTTTCCCCACAATGCTTCATGCTGAACCTGGCAGCTCCAGTCTCTCCTTTCATACACAGTCCTTATAGTTACCATCCTGGGCAGTGGCTTTAACTGTTACACAAATACTGTTCAAAATTAGACTTTTGACAACTCATTACAATAAATGACTTAGTAAATGTGAAGGAGAAAGAGTACCTTAGGGTAAGAGTGCTTCAGCTCTAAACCCTGTCTGTATCCACTCTTAGTGGTAACCACTTCTCCCAAGGCCCACAAGTGCTTACGACCCGATGACACCTCCAGTAAACTCGATACACCCGCCTGGGACTGGTTCACCTGAGCACAGCATGCGTACGCAGATTCAGATTCAGTTTGCTTGCCATTTACAGTAAAAAAAAAGAAAGAAAAAAGACAACAAAACACTAAAAATAAACACATTACGGTAAATAGGTAAGCTGATGTTATGTGCCCATAACACCAATTAATCTTGAATGTCTTTCTTAACAGTTGTATGCATTTATATGACGTGGAACAAAGATAATAATGCATTGGTTTATTAAAGCACCTTTTTGGACACCTACAGATGCTTCACTTCAATATGGCATTATTCATTCACTCCAAACACTGTGGTGATAAACTACTACTGTAGCCACAGCTGCCCTGGGGTAGTCTCACAAAAGCAAAGCAATCAGTACAGTATATGGCATTGGCCCCTCCGACCACCCCCAATCATTTGTTCACACACTAGATTCGTACTAGGCAATGCAGGTACACTGTCTTACCTAAGGATATCACAGTTCGGCACTTTAAAGCTAGTGTTCCCAGAGGTCCCCCATCACATTACCACATCAGATCCTGTCCTTCTTAGCTTCTGAGGTTTTACTGGAGCAGGCTCTCACATGAAGGTGGTGCCAAAATAGACAATAGATGTTCTATTCTATTCTATAAACTTTACAGTACAGGACTGTGAGAGACTACCTGTGTTTGGACACTGAGGTGAGATGGCAAGTACATCTGCAGCCTGGGGATCTTCTGGACAACTTTCAGCATCAGGTCTTTACTGTAGAAAGAAAGAATATAGTTCAAATTGTGAATGGTATAGCCACATTATTTTAGGGTTAGGCAACACTGTTTAACTTCAGTCTTTTGGTCAAGTCATTGTCAAATTATTGCTCCTATTAAAGAAAAGATCAACTTTATTGAACCCACAATGGAGAAATTTACATGTCACATTTGGCATTGATAGAATCACTCAGGTTGTGCAAAAAGACAGGAAGTGTTAAAGGATACAAATATGTCTCTTTTGTGCAGGATATATTATTTATTTACTATTTTTGTATTGAAATAAAAAATTAAACAAAAAAATCAATTATATTTGCCCTTTATTTGCTCACCTGTGAGGTAGCTGGTGTCCCTGAAGAATTAGAGCCAAGGAGGAGCTGAGTTCAGGATTCAGTGCCATGGAGCATCGGAGCTGGGACTCGGTCAGTCGCCCCCACGCTTCTATCTGCCCGAGAAACCCAAAGAGGATCCAGAATATGCCCAAGGTAAACATGTCCATACACAGCACATCCGCACCATGTTTGTCATGGCTCACCTGAAACACAGGGCTTCTCCGGCTATGAATGGTGTGTCTCACAGTGACCCGTGCCTCTTTGGATCCTCTGGTCCCACCCCAACCTCCAGCATCCCCCATCATCAGCATCCTCCAGGCGTGAGAGTGGACATCTACAGAAGCACTGCGTACAAGGCCTGCTCAAGAATACTACATTATTCAAACACATGCAAGAATACAATCTCAATGTTATAAGACTTACAGACCTTTGAGTTGAGCTGCCACAGTAGCAGCAAGTCTGTGTGGAGGTGTTTGGTTTAATGTTTGTGGAACATAGGAAATAGAGGCAGTGAAACGCCCTGAAGCTGCACTGACATTGAGGCCAGAGGAGAAAAGTCTGTGCCCGTCTATTCTGAGCTGACCTTTTGATTGAAGCTGAGGGAAGTATCCATAAATTGTCATCAAGCCCTTTAAAATAAATATAACATATGTAAACATTTAGGGTTAGGGTTAGGACCAGTATTTCCTTACATGTATGTACCTCTGTGATGACAGGCACGCCTTTGTCTTTTAACCAGGACCAACTGTGCCACACACTAGCTTTAAGCTCGTTAACCAAATACAAACATTTCCATTTGAGGTTTATTCCAGCATTTTTATTGTCAACCCAGGATTGAAGCATCAGTCCCTTCCCTTCACCAGATCGGACGTCCACCTGTAGACAGTGTGCTGGGTCAGTCTGATGGATCCAACAACATTTATGGACATTGGTCATCTGCCTCTTATGGATCAATACCAATGTGTTTTCTGTTCTATTTCTTGTGTTTGAACTGTTTGATCTGTGTTGGTGAATTCAACGGTTGCGTAAAGTCTTCAGAGATAACTACTGTTGGGATTTTGGGCTTTACAAGAATAAATTGAATTGAATTGTCCCCACGCCTCTCTGTTCAAAAGACTCACCTGAATACTGCTGTTACTGGGGACCCCCAGACTCCTCAGAGCATCGACAGTGTGTCTGCAGCTGCTCCGCACTCGCACTCCTTCAAACATCTTAACCACTGACAACTCTTGGTGAAACTGCCAAAGATGTTACACACCATTTAAAAAACAAACATACAGTAGAAAACATTTCAGTTAAACCATATGCCATATACCTTTGCTGTTCCCACTCTACTTTGAAAAACATAACTTAAAGTATTATTTCCTTGATTCTCAGAATGCATTGTTGTTGAGGCATTTAGTGGAAAACCCATATTTTCCAAAAGGGGAATGCAGTGGTTAAGCAGAAGAGTCACTTCGTTTTTGTTCTACAAACAAAACAATTTGATGAATTAGGGTTAAATTTGTACAGTTTAACTTTGAACTGTATACATGGGTATTTCAAGTTTATACCTTATTATTTCTGAGCGTCGCTGTAGCCTGTAGCTCCCTGTCATCTACGACCAAGAATACGTGAGATTTGGTCATCGCAGCGGAAACGACCAAAGCCCCTGATGCGTGAATACTGTGAGGGCTCCCCCATTTCTAACTCAATGACATTCGTAAAAATATCATTTTGTGTATAATTTGTTGTTGCTGTACATGTTATTTATTGTGTGTACCTCTGTGCAATTGTGGCTGTAGAGCAGCTGTGAGTGGAGGCCTTGTGTCTCTCCTTTAGCCTCTAACACACAGTCGTCCACCTGCAGCACGCCCTGCACATTGTACGGCTGTGGTCGGCTCAGACTGGTCACTCTCAGGCTGAGGCGTTTTGGGACATGTTTAAAAGCAGGAAGGTCATGACTGAGTTCACTCTCAAGATGCAGCTCAGGCCAGACCCTTGCATGTATGTGCAGGAGACCCCGTTTTCCATCCAGACTATTTTCCACAAAGGCTGCCCAGATCCCGTGAGGATCCCTCCACACTGACCCATTTACATGTGTCTGAAGAGAGGGGGAAATGGCACATAAATCAGAACCACAAAAAGTCCTCTGTAAAACAACACTTCATGTCATTGGTAAGTTTCAGAACATTATAAAGGCTTTCTACTAATCTTTATTTAACAAATAATTTTGTTTTCGTCATGATTTACATCGCTCCTCCCCAGTAGTCCTTGTTTCCCAAACAGTAGAACTGGACACGCCTGTGGTAGAGAGCACTAGTGGGAGTGGATAACTTCCCCTCAGAAGAAAATAGCTTTTTAAATTAACTGACTGAATTGACTCAGACTGATGGTTGATTCCAATGAACTCAATTGTAAATAAACCAATTTTGATCTTGGTAGTATCTAGATGTTAAATATCCATCATTGTCAATGCTGGAGTATACAGTATAACTTTGGAACCTGAAAAATATGTATGGAAATAAAATCTATGTAATTAGTTCCTTGCTCTCAATACTGATTATCACTAGTTTTCACATGCATGTATTTCAAACAGACCAGAAACTCTTTGATTCTTTGATCTGTTGTTGAGGAATTGAGAACTTAGTAAAGTCCTTCAAGACGCCTACTGTTGTGTTTTAGGGTTATACAAAACAGGGCTTTACATCAACTTCTTTAGTAAAAAATGGCTGCCAGCTCTCACTCAGCCAATCAAAACAAAAATGTTTAAACTCCACCTGTAAGACAAACTAGTAGAAACATAACTTTTTTATATCCCTGAATGCAAGTTACTAAAGACTCGTTTTAGGGGTTCTACAACAGTCCTGAGAGCAAATGCATTTTACGCACCTTTAACGAAGGGCAGTCAGACTCCACAGCCCACATCCACCCAGTCTTCTCATTGTCCTGTTTGACCCCGCTGGCTTTAAGGTGACATGACCCTGCTTTAATGAGGAGGGCCCCTGAATTTTGGGGACCCCAGGGCATGGTGGCCTCTACAGTGAGGTCCTGGGGCAGCCCTCTCCTCCTCAGCTCTGTGAAGGAGTGACTGAGAGAAGCAGATATATGTGAAGGAGAACAGGACTGCAGCAGGTCAACGCTCAAGTCCTGTCCATCTGCCCACAGAGATGACGAGAGGGTCAACCGACACGGGACACCGGACACAAGAGTGCTAACAACCAGTGACACCGGCAAGAGGCTGTGCTACAATATAACAATAGAGAGGGTGAGAGAACAAATAATTTAGATGAGAGGTGGGGCGAGGACATGTGTAATCAAGTATGATGAGACCGTACATAGAGTACTAGAATTTTGGATTCCATTACTCCTCTGAAAACTGTGTGTGAATTGAATACAGAGCATACAACATTAATGTCACTGGTGCAACATGTGAGAAGCCGTGGACTGTCATCATGGTCAAACTCCAACAGATTAAAATATAGATTAGAAAAGATAGGTTTGGAAACTGTAATAATGCCTTCTTTTCAAGGACAATAAATACCACGTACTTGTAGTGCCGGACAATAGCTAGTAGCATTAGCCGTAAACTTCTCCAAAGTCTTCTCCAAATGTCCTCTGATGTGACAGTTTCCCAGCTCCAGTCCCACTTCAATCCCCGGGGAATCAGGAGAGTGGTTCAGGGTGAGCTCTCCGTGACCAGGAAACCCCAAAGTCTGCAGGACGTCCCAAGACTGCAGCACTGAGGTCTTAAACCCGAGGGTGGGCTTCCATTGTAGCGACGCTGTGAAGTTACCGCTGCCTGAGTCTCTGGAGCTGACAAGGATGGAGCCCACCGCAGAGCAACAAGAGCGAGACACGGACAGGTTGAGTGACGTGTGAGGAAGGACAGTCTATTAAGAACAAAAAGCATTATTTAAACAACATTTATAAGATAGACTTTATTGATCTCACACTGGAGAAAAACACTAGACAAGTTGGGCCCAGAGCTCTTACCCCAACAGGACGACCCGCTACATCTGCAGAGCATCGGACAGAGAAGCGATCAGTGATGACATCCCCTGTGCAGTTCATCTACAAACAAAACAGGAATCAAGGCCAAAAAACCTTTCCTGAAGATTGCAAGATTAGGTTCACACCTTCAAATGTACAGCTAAGGTATAGATAAACACTAATGCTAGCTCCAAAGAGATGTATGATGATGATGATAAATAGGCTAAAGTAAGTAAGTTAGTTATCAATCTGCATCTAATAGATACAACAGAGATTTTACCTGCATTTCTGTCGGTACTACACCTTGTAACATCTTAATCTGGTGCCACAGCGACAGTGATGATAAAACAGAGCTGTTCATTAAGTCAATGATTACAGCGGCGTCAATCACTTTTTTGTCATCCAATGTTAAAGAAATCCCTGAATACAACCCATCTGGTTCAAGCTGAAAAGAATCAAAAATCAGAAAGTTAAATTGAAGCAGTATTCTATAATCTATTCTAAACCATAAATATAAGTATGAAAACAGTACCGTATAATGTGCTTTAGCTCGGACTGAGTTTGCAATACCTCTTTTCAGCAGAGCTTTCACTTTGTGCTCTAGTATTGTGTCAAGCTCCCAACGTTCACTTTCTCTTCCTGCATTAATCACAGCTCTAAGATGCTCAACTTGAGTCTTAATTTCCGCCAGACCTGATATTAGTGCGTCGTCCTGCCTCCACCCCACTTTTGCACTGCTGCTTAATGGCAACCCTTAAAAAACAAACAACTTCTGTGATGATGAGATAAGATGATCTACGCCACTGCAGTTCATTCTCATGTATTACCTGAGACTGTTAGGCTCTGAAAGTTGTGAGAGAGCCGAGTATAAACTTCACCCCTCTGTTGGTTTAGTCTGTGGCTGATATTGACACAAAGATTCTGAGCACCAGACCAAACACACAGCCAATCACGGCCATAACTCGGGTGAGAGCCTCCCGGTTTGTTTAACACTTCCTCCCTTGCGTCACTCTTTTGGTGTCTAAGCTCCACTCGGTAAAAGGCATCTGATACTTTCACCCTCAGCAGTCCTACAAGAACATTAGGGATGAGAGCTTGAAACAAATTCTCAAGATAATGATGATATATAAATAATCAACCATCCATGAGGTTGTCAGTCTTTTTCAGTGTGCCATACAACGCCACAGCAATCGGCAGAAAATGCAGATTTCTTAAGTTGTGGCTCAGGTCTCCTGACACTGTTTGAAGTCCAGACATGTTTTTGTGAGAATATTTAATATGAGTGAGTAGAGATTGGTGGCCTTGTTTGTGGGAGCCATACAGATATACACTAAAATAAGCACAATGAAATTGAAAGAAAAAAGAACAAGAAATAAAACAGGATTTGAAATGAATGTGCAGTTCATTCACCCTTCTGTAGACATGTTGGCACCTATATCCATAAACAGGTCTTTTGTTGTTGGAAGCAGACTCTGGTGCAGGTTTATTTTGAGGCCCACTGATTTCTCTGCTCTTTGTAAAGTGTGGAACACCTGCGCGTCCATTGTCATCTTGTCTTTCCCTTCCGCCCTCAAACGAACTGTAGTGCGGCCTCCTCCAGAGCCTGTAAAAATGTGTGCGGCGGCTCTGGCCTAGATATGATCAAAACCACAAAGAGGAGTTGAAGACAAGTTCAGACAAACCTCAAACCGCCTCCCTTTGAAATAGTACCACAAAATTATAAACTGTATAAAGACAGACAGTCTCACCTCCAACACCTTAGGGATCTTTGACTTAAAAGGATGACTCAAGGAGGAAAATACATCAATTCTGCTTGATGTACCATTAAGTTGAATACCGACCTGAAATATCACAATGGAACTAGATGTTTATGTAAAAATGTGTCTTAAAAAAAGAGTTTACTCACCAGACACTCTTGTCGTTCAATTTTTAGTTTCCCTTTGGCCTTGTAATCAAAGCCTGTGTTGTTTTTAATTGCCCAACATACATCGGCCTCCACTACAGCGGCGGAGGGGAGCTGCAGCTGTAACATCAATAACAGACAATAGTCAGGCTCCTTACATTGAAAAACTATAAGAAGATTGGAATTATTACAATAGTATTTATATGATGGCAATGATAAAAGAAAAAAAGCATACATACAAACATATTGGAGAAAGGAAGTGAGCAGTTTACCTGTAGCTGATGACTAAAGTTTGCGTTAACTTCAATTCCTATGAGTGGTGAGTCTAAATGTTTTAAATTAACTTGTCCATAAAAAGAAAGTTTGTCTTTTCCATCAGTGCGTAATACACCATAAATGCGTTTCTGTGTCTGGATTGGAACAGACAAATTCACAAGAAAGTGTTACTTGTGTTAGCCATGTTTTCAATTTCTAAGAGCGTACCTGATTAGTAAATAAATGTAAACACATTTCTGATTCAGATGGAAGAATAATGGTGTTGAAAGGATGAATCAGTGTGGAACAAAGCTGTAAAAATATGAAAAACAAAACAAAAGATTATTTTCCAATAATATTTAATTGTCTTTATTTTCACAAGGAGGAAATCTCTCTGGAAACTCACAAAAGGTTTGGGGGGTTGGTGGCCGATGGTGAGAGTGTGGCGCACCTCGTTCCCACTAACTGTGGCTTTGGATTCTAAAACATAGAGCCCTTTGAGGGTGTCCACTGTAAACGTCTCCTGGAGAAGGAGGCTATTGACAAAGACCTGAAAGGGCTGCCTGCATAGAACAAGGGCATAGAACTGACCTTATATTTCTTTGTCCTCAGTTTAGTTTTCATGATATGTGTTTACACAATAACGAGGCAAACAAATAAATATTAGATAACTACATAAAATACACATTCAACTAAAGTGGATTTAGAGAATAAAAGAGTGGGCACAAACCGGAGCTGAAGCTTTGCTATTTTCTGAAATATCTTTTTGTCCTTCTTCAGCTCCTCCACTTCTCCTTCCAACATAAACTCTATGGGATGCCCTTGGAGCTCACAGAAGGACATCTTAAGTAAAGCTTGCCTCCTTTTTAATTTCTGGAAAAGATAATATTATTACACTGATGCAGGTGTGTTTCTGTGTTATGGCCACTGAGGGTCGGTAGGTCTGCACCTTGTCAGCAGAGTTCAGGGCAGCTGTCACATTGGCGTTGTGTGTGCCGTAGCTGGAAGTTATCTCCAGGGTGTGGCTGAATTTAGAGGTCTCCAGAGAGAGCGCCCCGCCCAGGGGAGAGGTCCACAAAGACTTGAAGGAGCAGGACGCCTTCACACTCTTCTTTCCTGTCAGCACCCATCCTCCAGTCTGTCAACAGAGCCACAAACCTGCACTTTCCAGAGCCCACAACTCATGTGTTTACAGCTGACTTAAGTTTGCACTTCATTAACCACAGTGTTTGTGTCCGCTTAGAGCAGCCATTAACGCAGAGTGTTTCTGTCATTTGAACTTTCAGATAAAGAGCCTACTCATTAATCAGTATTGAGTTAAGAGAGGAATAAGAGCAACAAATAAAGTGTGCATTGAAAATGAGATGTGCGTGATGAGCTTTGTGTGTCTTGTTGTTGTGTCTTGTCTGTGTGTGTCGTGTCTGTCTGTGTATTGTGTGTGTCATGTCTGTCTGTTCCTTGTAAGTCTGGGTCTGTCTGTGTTGTGTCTCTGACTCGATCTGTGTTGAGTCTCTGACTCTGTCTGTTCCTTGTCTGTCTGGGTCTGTCTGTATATATCTGGTCTGTGGGATATTCTTGTTTGTGTATCCACTTTTGTTTTGCCTTTTATATTGATTGATGCCTGTATGATTTTTGTTGGTGGCAGAGAATTTGGCTGTAGTTGGAGCATCTTTTTAGTTTTGAAATGTCACTACCATGAGTTGTCAGACCTTGAAATAATGCAAATAAAGACAATTATATAAAAAATAAACATAAAATTATGTATAAATATAAAATAATATACGTAAAAATAAATTCAACATTAAACCTGAGTGAATTTCCATTACCTGTAGATATGTGACGTCCGGAGAGTGCACATGAACCCATGCCTCAGTCTCCCGCCCCCGCTGTCGGTACAAAGCCTCCAGCAGCAGGTGTCGGACGCTCAGCCATTTCCTGCAGGAGAGTTCTGAGGTGAACTGCAGCGTGTGGGGCTGCTGCCGGCTCAGCTTGTGAGAAGTGTAGATGTACACCCAGGGAGTGTCCATGTTAAAAGTGCCTGGAGAAAATAATGAGTATTAGTGTGTGTTAAAGCTCAGGTACAGTTGTTTGTCCCACCAAAGAGTCTTGTTTAAGTACAGGAACATTTTGTAAGCAAATCAGACCACAACATGCTGTGTTATCTTAAAAGAAAAGGTTTTATCTTTAACATACTGAAGGCTGATTGGCTGAGAGTCAATTGGTGAACACTAAAGAAGGACTCAAAATGTAGAAATGTTAAATTAAATGAAAGTCTAAAGTGAACAAACAAAAACATAAAATCCAAACACAATACAGAAACCATGGCAAAAACACAGGAACAAAGACCTTCGCAATGGACTAGCAACAAATGGGGAAGAGAACAGGGCACATACAGACCAGACACAGGTAGAGCACAACAAAAACATGAGAACAGGAAGTAAAACTAAATCAAAACTACAAGATAACTGTTGAAATAAAACCAAGTAACCAATAACAAAAATCTACACCTTGACACGGAGAGTAGGCTTGTACTGTCTTTTTCACTGAAAAAGCTGATCTTAAGGCCAAAAATACATGAATGTGAAAACTTATGATGCAACCAAAATGTTTTGAGAGCGAGTGAGATGGATTATATTACAAAATTGTTTTTTGTGGTTTCAAAGATAGATGCTCCTTAGCTTTAAGGTGCATTGAAGAGTTAATATTGTCTCATTCCAGTTGCCAAATTCCACTATGTGTGCGAGCACTATCCAGAACAGACCCAAACTATGATCTGTGCAAGAAATAAATACAATTACTAAGTTATACCTTACCTTCCCACTTCTTCTGAGGAGCGTTGTGTGGAGACCCTTTCCAGTGCAGCCCAGCCACCAGTGGTGTGAGGTTGTTGTAGTGTATTTTGAGGTGAGAGCTGCTCTCTGACCCAGCATGCATCAGATGAGAATGAAGCAGCTGCGTTCTGTAGTGTAAGTTCTTCTCCGGCGCCTGCAGACTGAACTAAATCATATCAAAGAGGGGAGGTCTTAGTTTTTCATATACTTTATCCAAGGATCGCTGATATGAACCCTGGGCTACCTCCAGAGTGTAACTGGTGTGGTTTTGGGTCGACTGGTTTTTAAACATCTGGCTCAGGATCAGCTTTTGTTTGTTGTTGATCTCGTCCCAGTGTTTTCCGTAACTTAAATCCAGATGTGATTGGAACAGGCTTGGACTCTCCTCATGTCGCACTTGAACCTGCCAGAAAAGATGAAAATCCACTGAATGCATCCTCAAAAGCCTTTGATAGGATGCAATTTAAGAGGATATCATTCAATTTGACTTTTTTGAGTTTTTTACCACGTTACAAGGTGGGGGAGACCTGGAGTCGTTTATAGATCCATTCACACTAATATCATAAAGTTACTCCTATCTAAAGCTCAAACCTGTTAAAGTGTGACATCCCATCTTATTTAGTTTTGGCAATGTCTTAGGTGAGATGACATTTTTTACAATCGCATAACTGTGGTTTCAGCCAGCAATTCACAAACTCAAAAAAAAAAAAATCTACACCTCCCTCTGGTGGTTGAATAGGGAGTTACAGGCAGAAAGTATTTTTACCCCTGATACCTGTTTTACCATATATTTTCTACTTAAGTTAGTGTTTCATATATACATAGTTTCATTATCCTTTTCAATAGACAAAAGTCATCCATAATATTTCTTCTTTTGGTAGGTCTTTTCTTGTTTCACACTGAACGAACTCACAGCCAGTCGCTAAGACAGGAGGGTAGACCTGTTATTTGCACTTGCCTTGTGGTTAATGGCAGCCGTGTTGGAACAGTAAAATTCATGGTCTGCTCTCATGATATAGGTGTGATTTGAGTCTCTCTCACTCTTCAGCCTCTGAGACGTGAAACACTCTTGCTGCAGGTGCCGGGCGTCCCCTAAGAGCATGTCAAAGGTCAAACTACTTTAAATAAACAACACTGTAAAAATATACAAGAGTAATATGCGCTGTTTAATGTACAAGAGTCTAGTATACACTCATGTGGAATCGTTAAAGATGAGATTTAAATCATCCACATCTTCCAGTCTTAAATATATTTGATATTATTATATTGGATAAAAAGACTGACATAAGATGTAACTATCCCATGTATATGTAGATGTATAGTATAAATTATAGAGATTTTGGTGTTTTACCTCCCAGTCCATACTTGAGCCTGAGGGCGGAGCTCCAGAGGGAGGCCTTCTGCTCCATGAGCCCCAGCATCCTGCCCCCCAACAGACCGGGCAGCAGCAGCTCCCCTTCCACAGAGAGCTGTTTGCTGCTGGAGTCCCGCCTGCGCTCCAGAGTCACTGCACACAATACTGTGTGAACGTACTGTGAATACTGCTTTATTTAGACCAGTGTGGCGTGGTATGTTTGTGTGCCTTGAGATATTGTTTGATGTACCTTTGGATCCACTATCACCGCATTGGTCAAAATAATGTTCGAAGAAAATAATGTGGGAAGATAAGAAAAACTTTTTTTAGGCTTATTTGATTATCATCTGATACACTTTCATGAAGATTGCTTTGTTAAAAAAGTCTGTGAGGTTTAGTTTTTGAATCAGTGTCAGCTGGGGGTGTGGTGAAAAGGCCAAATAATTGGTACCTGACAGCAAGGCCGTTTCTCTGAAAACATTTTTAACTGATGCTGAAACACTGGTCTTCCTGCCCAGACCACGAGTGACATTAGCAGAGAGGATCATGGGACCTCCAGTGTTGGACAGTTTGGCTTCAAGGTGATAGTTGGTCCTCTGCTCTGCTGCTATAGTCTGTTTATTAATCAAACCCTAAAGATAACATATATTGTTTTATTATAAGGGGAATGTTTCTAGCATTAAACTTCTGGTAATCTTACTTACCATGATATAAAAATGTGCACCATCAATAGAGATCTCCACTTTTGACGACCGGACGTTCTTGTTCTGTTTCATTTGTCCTGGAAGTTTTCAATCACTTGTATTACATTTATACATTTAATATAATAACCTTACATTTAACTTCAAAATTACCTTGAAGTTCAACTTTTTAAAGCATATGTACCAATACAGTCAACATTTGAATGGTCCCAAGTCACCACAATGCAAAACATCATATCTTATTGTATGTTGTTGGGACCATTGCAACTGTATATAAATGAAAATTGTATAAGGTGTAAAAAATCAATTAATTAACTTTCAAATGTAAAATTTCAAACTTTACTGCCAAAGGTTTACTTTGAACACAACCACTAAAGTAAGATAAGATTTGTTCTTGCTATACGATGTTACATCATGACCACAAACTGACCCTGTAAGATGATGGTTTTCTGTGGGTGACTGAACCTCAGCAGAACTCTGCTGGGACTGAAAGCCAAGTCCAGAGACATGTCCCTGGGCACAGAGGACTGAGGCGTGGCCAAAAGGAGGTGTAAGGACGCCTCAGTGGGGGTCCAACTGCCCCTCTGCAAGAAAGACCTCCAACATTTACACTGAGTAACTTACATACAAAGACTATAAACAGACTGGGGGTTTGAAAACATGAGTGGTCTGTCACCTGTGTAAGCACGGAGTACGCAGCCTCGAGCAGATAGTAGTGAAGCCCCTTGTCGAGTTTGAGCAGCCGCAAAGAGAAGTGCGAGGGTCCGGATGGGGGCAGAGACAGAGCGGGGTGGGACGTGTTTGAGCACAACTGCCAGCCCACCAGCTTTGACACTGAAGGGAACATCAAGTTTAACTATATACGATATACATTTTTGTCACAATTGAGAATGAATGAACTCACAAGTCTTTGGTGTGCATATGGTCTTCTGGACGCGATTTTTAGAGCCTTTTATTTCCTCTCTGTTGTCTCTGATGAGTTCAAACACGTAGGAGCTGGTTTTGTAAAAGCATAAAGCTGTTAAAGTTGTCTATACATTTAGGGAGATTTAGTTAAATACCAATTAGACCAGGTTTACCATGTATTGAAAATGACTGTTTGCAGTGCGGGTCAGTTATATATAATTTGGGGTTGCAGCCTAAAAAGGTTTGGGAGCCACTGCTGACCTCATACTTAAGTATTAACAAAACCAAGGTTTTGGTTAAAAAAAAAAGATAATTGCTCTAAACAGTCAATCTCCCTTTATATAGTTTGTAAGCTATTGTTTTTACATCCATGTTATATTTGTAGTAACGCTATGAACTCAACTGGGATGTATTCCACTTCCCAGTCGCTGGAAGTACCATTGGGCTGTTAAGTGATGACGCAAAATGACCGCACATCCGGGTCCAGGCAAAGGTTAGGCAAGTCCTATAGCCGAAGTCCTTAGTCCTAGCCATAGACTGTATATAGTCCTAGCCATAGACTGTATATAGTCCTAGCCCAAGTGTACTTGATTCAACATAGCTAGCAATGCTAAACAAAACAACTGTTAGCAAAAGATTCCCATAACATTACCAAAACTTTAGTTAACGTCAACAACTCTTAAAAAAGGTGAAAAAAGGTAGCTTTTCAGGTAAATGATCAGCCCCAAAGAAGTGTTTAATCTTTTTTTTAAAACCATGTAAAAAACCAAGTAATATATTATCTGGATAGGGTATTGCCAGCTTAATCCGGGCCCCGGCATGATGTAAGTGTTAGCTTACACAGGTTGTCCTCAGCCTGTAAAGAGCCAACAGCTTTTTCAAAAATGTTCTTCAATGGGGATTTTAGCATCCCTTGTCATCCTGAACTTTTATTTTTTATTTTTTTTATAAATCTTGATTTTTTGTTACTTTTTATTAATCCTCACATTTTTGCAACTACCTCGGCTTGTTGGCGCAGATTGACTGCTGCCATCTCCTATATCCCTAACACTTCAAGCTCTGTGCACTTTTTAGCTACATTAGGGAAGTGTAAATATTTTCTGAGTATTACCTTTGACAGGTGGTTTATATTGTTGTGTTGATAAAACCATAGATATATTTTCCCATAGAAAGCAGCTGGTTACAAACCTGAAGGAGATGATGTCCATGGCGTCCTCGGGGGTGTTCAGCATCACTCTGAGGTCCTGTCCTTCCTGTAGTTGGACACTTCCATCCAAACTCAGAGCACTCCTCAGCTCAGCGTCCCACTCCACTGCAGCCTGTCCCACAGCACTGTCCACTCCCATCCGGGCCACCAGAGCCACACGGGCACTAAAGGGAACAGTTTATACACAAATCAGCAAGAGCTGAGGCTGATACATTATGCGTATTTGTTTAGTGAATAGTCATTAGCAAAGTGGGTAAAGGAGTTTCCAATTATGCACAAAACCAGAATGTTTTCAGAGCTAGATGTATGTTTTTGCTTCTAATGAATGTATAAAATGTGTGGAGAGATGTAGAACAATTGACAGCATGTACATTTCTCTGAGATGACTTAACCCTACCCTAACCCTAAAGTTCTCATTTATTTTCTATAATAAGTGAAGCAGGGGTGCAACAAGTGAATGTATTAAATGCAACTAACCAATTATTAAAACAAGTTGTCTTACTAATTAGTATTTGAATAAGCTTAATCAGATTTTGTTTATATATATTTAAAAAGGCATTAGAAACACAGAATGGTTTATTTAAATGCTTTATCTCTGGATGTCAACACAGGTTTAAGCAGTGATAGGATTTTGCTTGATTTCTGCAGCAAATCATGTAAAAAATGTCTATAATAACTAACCGATTAATTGAAAGAACAATCCAACAACAAATTGTTATCATTTGGACACTCAGAGAAGCTTCTATTGAAATTATTCATTCACTGAGTACACAGTAGTCTAATCTACGGCTGTAGCCACAGTCTCCCATGGGGCCGACTAACAGAAGTGAGGCAATCAGTCTGGACCATAGGCTGGACCACGACCAATCACTCACACACCAGACACAGACTAGGCAAAGTGTCTTGCCTAAGGACACAACAACCCAGCCCTGCTCTGCTTTGCTTCTGACAGAATCAAGATGCAAATGGGCATAACATGATTTTAAATATCAGCCCTTATAACGGTAAAACTCGAGCAGATGTACTTGGGTTTGATGTATCCGTTGAGGGAGAAATGCGAGGGGTCTCTGTAGTGAGCGCTGCCCTTCAGACGCACAGACAGCAGTGATGTCATGTTGACGGACAGTTTGAGCGGCAGCCCGGACAGAGAGGGCAGCACCAGCTCCTCTGTCAGCAGCACTGCCCTGTGGCCCAGCTGCACCTCCTGACCCTGCCAACCCATCACTCTTAATAACAGCGAGTTGGATCATTGCAGAAGATGTAAGGCAGGGACGTACCTTGAGCAGCTTGATGGCGAGTTCAGCCATGCTCAAAAAGAAACTGTTCATTTCATTGTAGATGTCTTCACAAGAAAAGACACTGACTTCATTTCCAAATATCTTTATACTCAGCCAACATTTAGGCTGTTTTTTCTTCATTGTTGTCCTCCTAAAAAGCTGAAAACAGTCAAATAACAGTCAAATAACTTTTCGGACGGATTCCACCTTTACTCCATGAATACTACTTTGCTTTGTGTGGTACTACATACTTTATACCCGACATGAAATTGAATTAAAAAAAATTAACTCAAAAAAAGTAGATCAGGTCAGATCTGTGGATCATTGTGGTTTTGCACACTTTACATGCATATCAAATACTTATATAAGAAATATTAAAAACTACACGACAACCAATTAACTCACCCAGCCAATGTACCCTATGCTTTGGTGTAGAATAATGAATTTGGGACTCAGGTATAAATGACGCACTGAAGGTTTGATGAACCTACAAGAGGTGAAGCTTATTCTCCATAAGCTGTATATCTGAATGCAGGTATCTGAATGTATTAAATGAGTGATAAAATATATCTCATCTTGACTATGTTTTATCACTTGACTTTGTGACCATAATAAGCAGCAGCTACTCACCAGAGCACCGGCTTTTCTCAGATAACTTTCTGCTCCAGACAAACATGTTTCTTTATCACTCTCTCTGTCTTCCTCTTTTCTCCGTGTGCTTTTAGTCTCTCTTACTTTGTCTGGTCTTTGACTGGGATTTGACTCGGAAGCGTCATGACCAAAAATGTTTTTGAAGAACGGTTCAGCATTTTCTACACGAAGGTCGACCTAAAAACATCAAACAAGAGAAACATTTTCATCATTCTGTCTCCTAGAAGATTGACTTTTGTCCAACCGATGAACCATTACATGTGTAATTAGAATAATTAAACAAATATTCAAATTGGAACTTATGAACAAGAATCTGAAAAGGATGTTAAAAACTCACTTGAAGAAGGTTGCTGGCTCTGCCGTTAAAATAAACAGTGAGATTAGCAGAGACTGAACTTGGAATAAATGATTTGGGAGAGAAAACCACTGATGTTTCCACATTTGTAATTCCCATATCTACAACAAAGCACATCCACATCCAAATAAGTAAAAACATTGTTACTTTAGTTTTTGTGAACAGTTAGTTTGTTTACCTGAGTCAAAAGTGTGATCAGAGTAAGAGGAGTATTTTAAAAACTCTCCATCGAAGTCTTTGCTGATGATGTCATCTGGGAATAACTCCGACAGACTCTGCTTGAAGGGGTCCTCGCTCCTCAGGACACTGGACAGGTGGCTCCATATATATGAACCCACTGGACACACGAAGAATATCGTTTAGTTCCGAGAACCTTGTTGTTAGTACCTAAAGCGTGTGCTACTGGACCTTGGCTGGAGGTCTCGTTCCTGAGGAGGTCCCGGACTGTGGTGAACAGGTTTCGGCTTGGGCAGAGCAGGAGCTGTTGGTATGCAGCGATCCTGACCTCGGGATCCTCCTGGGACGCAGTGTACAGCTGCAACAGCACAGACCTCTGCAGAGAGGAAGCCCCCGTCAGTCAGGACACCACATCATCATGGACCCATTAGCACTTACTCTTTGATAAGTGTCTTCCCTTTCAATAGAAACAGCTGAGAATATAAACAATGTGATGGCTTTGCATGGTATTACAGTGGCCAACCATTCCTGTAGTTTAGTGTAGATGTGTTATCTTCTTTTGAGCATTTTATGTACTGGAAGAACACAACCATGAAGACAAAGATACTCTGTAGCCGTGTAAGGATATTCTACTCCAAAAGTCATCATTGGACAAAACAATCATTTGAGTCCTAAATTGGAATCCCTCCAACTATATTCCTTAAATGTTGTGTAAATTAGACAGTTTTAGGACTTTTTACTTGTTGTGGTAACATATGTCATATCCTCACCCCAAGTCCAACCAGGGATCATAAACTTTACCAAACTTAAGAAATGCACGGGGAGATTTTAAAAGCATTTTTAAGTGACACACGTATACAAGTATCTGACAAATGGGTTTATTTTAGTTTTTTTTTTTACAGGAACTAGGATTTTTGGTTTTAAGCTCTGAGTAACTGTATTATTATTCTACAGTGCCTTGCGAAAGTATTCGGCCACCTTGAACCTTTCAACATTTTGCCACGTTTCAGCCTTCAAACATAAAGATATACAATTTTAATTTTTTGTCATGAATCAACAACAAGTGGGACACAATCGTGAAGTGGAACTAAATTTATTGGATAATTTAAACTTTTTTAACAAATAAAAAACTGAAAAGTGGGGCGTGCAATATTATTCGGCCCCTTTACTTTCAGTGCAGCAAACTCAGTCCAGAAGTTCAGTGAGGATCTTTGAATGATCCAATGTTGTCCTAAATGACTGATGATGATAAATAGAATAGATGACACCTGTGTGTAATCAAGTCTCCGTATAAATGCACCTGCTCTTTGATAGTCTCAGGGTTCTGTTGAAAGCGCAGAGAGAACCATGAAGACAAAGGAACACACCAGGCAGGTCCGAGATACTGTTGTGGAGAAGTTTAAAGCCGGATTTGGATACAAAAAGATTTCCACATCTCAAGGAGCACTGTGCAAGCAATTATATTGAAATGGAAGGAGTATCAGACCACTGCAAATCTACCAAGACCCGGCCGTCCCTCCAAACTTTCATCTCAAACAAGGAGAAGACTGATCAGAGATGCAGCCAAGAGGCCCATGATCACTCTGGATGAACTGCAGATAACTACAGCTGAGGTGGGAGAGTCTGTCCATAGGACAACAATCAGTCGTGCACTGCACAAATCTGGCCTTTATGGAAGAGTGGCAAGAAGAAAGCCATTTCTCAAAGATATCCATAAAAAGTCATCCCCACTGTCAAACATGGTGGTGGCAGCATCATGGTTTGGGCCTGCTTTTCTTCAGCAGGGACAGGGAAGATGGCTAAAATTGATGGGAAGATGGATGGAGCCAAATACAGGACCATTCTGGAAGAAAACCTGTTGGAGTCTGCAAAAGACCTGAGACTGGGACGGAGATTTATCTTCCAAGATTCAAGATTCAAGATTCAAGATTCATTTATTTGGCCATGTGCAGTTAAAAAACCACATTGGAATACGTTCGCAAGAAAGGCACTCCGTGTGCACCGACAGAACAAAAGCACGACACAATGCAATACAAAACACACATACACTGAACATAAAACAATAAAAAAACAGCTGACACTGTGGCACCGATCAACAAAACAATACAAGGGGTAAAAGCAGTTTAAAAGCAGGTAAAAGCAGAAATTAAAATGCTCTGTTTAGGCACCTAACAGCCTGTGGGAAGAAGCTGTTAGCATAGCGAGATGTCTTGCATCTCAGTGACCGATATCTTCTGCCAGAGGGAAGAAGCTGGAACATGGCTTTCCCAGGGTGGCCAGAAGAGTCATTGATGATTTTAAGAGCTTTGTTTAAAAGTCTGGATCTGTAAAGAACCTCCAGAACAGGAAGCTCACAGCCCACGGTCCTCTTTGCAGAGCGGAGCACCTTGTTTAAAGCTCTCTTTTCTTTATCTGTGATGTTTCCAAACCACACAGACACAGAACCAACAAGTAAACTCTCAATGGTGCAGCGATAAAAATTAAGCAGAAAGCAGAAAATTAAGCAGAAAAAGCAGAAATTCCAACAGGACAATGATCCAAAACATAAAGCCAAATCTACAATGGAATGGTTCACAAATAGACGTATCCAGGTGTTAGAATGGCCAAGTCAAAGTCCGGACCTGAATCCAATCGAGCATCTGTGGAAAGAGGTGAAGACTGCTGTTCACAAACGCTCTCCATCCAACCTCACTGAGCTCGAGCTGTTTTGCAAGGAAGAATGGGAAAGAATTCCAGTCTCTCGATGTGCAAAACTGATAGAGACATACCCCAAGCGACTTGCAGCTGTAATTGCAGCAAAAGGTGGCGCTACAAAGTATTAGCGCAAGGGGCCGAATAATATTGCACGCCCCCCTTTTCAGTTTTTTATTTGTTAAAAAAGTTTAAATTATCCAATACATTTTGTTCCACTTCACGAATGTGTCCCACTTGTTGTTGATTCTTGACAAAAAATTAAATTTTTATATCTTTATGTTTGAAGCCTGAAATGTGGCAATATGTTGAAACGTTCAAGGGGGCGTTCACTGTACACTTACAGTATATTACATTATAAACTCTTCCCTTCCTCTTACATTCAAACTTACATTTTGGGAGCAGGGCATCCGTCTGAAGGCCTGAACAGCAGCGAGTCTCACTTCCACAGGCGCAGACTCACTGAGCGCACAGAGACTTAACAGAGAAATGAGCGATGGAGCAGGGACACCGGCATTTCCAACTGATTTTAAAGCATAGAGGAGCTGAGGAAAAAAACAATTCTTATTTTAACAAAAGGTTTCACAAAATAATAGGCTAGTTAGGTGGCACCGAGACCGCGAAGGACAGTCATCTCTAGAATGTATCCCAGGATGAAGAAAAATGGACACTAGGCCATGGATAAAGTGGAAAATAATTGATTAAAGAATGGAAAGATGGATAATCCTATCTGACTGGTATAAAGGGAAAAAACAAGCACTTACAATCTCTAGTTTTACCTCTTTTACTTGAATATGTTGTACTTCGTCACAGCTCCTTTCCAATGTCTCCACAAGAACAAGCAAGAATGATTTCACAGAAGACATTTCAGTGCAGGGAGAGCGTGACGTTCGACAAAGCTGATGGACCAAAGATGAAGCCACCAACATAGCGTTGAGACGAAACTCTGGGATTTCCAGTAGAGCCTACCGATACAAGTCATTGTTACAGTGAAACTACAGTAACTAATAACACTAAGGTCTCCTACATTGATTGAGTCTATCATCTGTGCAGTCGGATGAGGAGTTCTGGGTAAAGAGGCGAGAATGGCCTGTGACTGTTCCTCCTCCAGCTCTCCGCTCTTCATCAGCTCCGTCAGCAGCACGACACAATTTTCAGAGCCACACGATGACAAAGCGTCCAACAGCGGCTGCCTGCCACAGACATCAAATAATGACTTAGTAGTAGATCCATCATCAAAGTCTTTCCTACTTTTTAAAATATTTTTTCTTCAAACATTTCCTTTTAATGCAGTTTTGAGAGAGAAAGTCAAATCCAGCAAGTGATATAGTAAAACTGTATAAAGTATTTTCCAAGTACACTGCAAGTAATTCTGACAACCTCTGACTAATTACGTTTTTCTACCACGTTAACCTTTCAAATTAAATTAAATCCATAAAATGTCTTGTTAAGACAGGTCGGTCATCCATGTGCTCCTTCCTGATTAACTGACCTCCCTCAACACAGACGGCCTTTGTTCAGACGGAGCTGGCCACAGGCTGTGTTTTTATCCCATGTAAATCCTTTCAATTTAGGGCCGTTCAGCAAGAGATTTATCACTGACAATAATAAAAGAATAATATACAAACCAAACATTTTGACATTTGAAAGACGCTTCTTGCCAGAGCAGTTTCAGCTGAGACAGAGGCAGCTCTCGCAGCTGGAAAACAAGCTCAAGCAGCGTTTGTGATATCTGCAAATAAATAAATAAACAAACAAACAAACAAACTGAAACAACGCTTACATTTTTCATGTAAGTCCCAAGAGTAATTAAATCACAAAGGAAATCTGCTTTATAATGGCAAGTAAACAGACCATGATAACATGAGCCAGAATAGTTTAGACTAAGCTCCTTTGTGTGAAGGCCATGGAACCAGTGGCCTGTTCACAGTTCTGCCTCAGGGGAAGTCAAAGCACGACCACAAACACAAACAAGCAATGGTTGCCACTGTTGTAAAGGGAACCACCGAAAGGACTGAGGCGCTGACTGGACAGTTTACAACAATTCAACTAGAGTTCAACTAGATTCATGTTTTTTTATTTTTTCTGTTATTTAAACACACAAAAAACCTAAATGTACAAAGTTATTCATATTGCCTTGTGCACGTATCCGTAAAATACCTGGAATATTAAAGATGTATTGAATTAAAGGACTGAATTTGGAATGGAGATGTTTGAAGAGGTGACTGTAGGTTTACCAGCTGTTGATCACTGAGGCCACATAAGGTCCGGACCCTATGAGCCGCCTCTGGAGCAGAAGCCATGTTTCCTCTGGAGCCCTCGTCCTCAAACTGCAGGTCTGTGAGCTCCACAAAGCCTAAAAAGTCATTTAAAGGTCCATCAATTTTCTGATGGAGTCAGCATATAAATAGCCTATAAAGTCACACGTGTTTCCATTGTACTGTATGTATGACAAAATGTAAGTAAGTAAGTAAGTAAGTAATCTTTATTTATATACCGCCTTTCACAGACCAGAGTCACAAAGCGGTTTACATGTAGCCTGAATAATAATTATATAACATTTTAAACTGGATTGGACCTGGCTCTCTCTCCCTTGATGCCAGGGTTCCTTATCTCCAGAACGTCTGAGCGCAGAAGAGTATCCACATGGACGCACCAGTGAGTTCAGCTGAAGCACAACCACAGCTTTCACAAAGGTGGAAATTATTAAATTGTTCTTTGAATGCAACTGGATGCGTTCTTTCTCCTCAAAACTCGACAAGTTAAATTTTTACCAATTTGTTTTACTTTGGTTTCATCTGACCATAGGACATTCTCCGAATCCTCATCTGGATCATCCAAATGTGACCCCAGTAACCCTCAGACGAGCCTGAACTTGTTCCAAAGAATCACCATAGTGACTGTGAAGCATGGGGGTGGTAACTTTGGGGATGTTTTTATGTCCTGGTCCCTTACCAGGGCGATTGATCCGTGTAATGGAAGGAATAATGGGGACTATGAAAATTGCAGCTATCGCTCATCTTTTTAAGTGAGAGGACTTGCACAAACGGCGGCTGACTAAATACCTTTTTGCCCCACTGAATGTGACACTGCTGACCTGATGGTGGCGCTGTGGCTCCCGGCTGAGTTCTGAGCAGGACCAGAGAGGACACAGTTTGGGTTCTGACCCCTGGGTTTTCGGACATCGCCGCGGTGACAGTTTCGGTACAGTTCACCTCCTGCATCACTGCGGCGCCGTGCCGCTGGACACACTGCTGCTCCGCCCGCAGAGCCTGCAGAGGGGGAAAAACAACTTCTTCCAATTAAATGGTTTTGTTCTGAGCTTTGATGTTGTTCTTTCTCAGTTTTCTTGATTTCTCCAAATTTCAGAAATCTCTGGTGGAATGACAGATACGGAAATTTGTGATATTAAATTAAATTTACAGAAAGTAGGATAGCATTCTAAACTGTATTATAATCACTGGGAGATTCAGAATGATGAAGTTTGGTATAATTTACAAAAAAAAATTCATTTGACAATTGAATCTGATACACGTGACTTATTGACTATTTATTTATTCATTTAAATAAAAGTGTGGGGTGCTGTTTTTTAGGTATTGTTTTGAATTGTGTTCTATAAAGAGTAATAATAATAATAACAATATAAATATAAATATAAAGTGTGTAATAAAACACTGGAAACCTAAATCTCTGATTGGACTTACTCATGGAACATAAATACATAAATGCATTTGGAATTATCTAAAGAATAAATCCATGTTTTGTTCAAAAGGCCAAATATGATTTGTACATGTTTCCCTATCATTTAGGGACACATTTAAAAGAGGTAGACATAATTCAAAATTCAAAAATAACATAATACTCAAATCCAAATTACCTTAATTGCTGTGTTTCTCTGTTAAAGTGTTCTAATTATAAATTGTGACACCCATAGCCTGGGAAAAAGACGAGTCGGAAATCATCTCACTGCATCATCATTTTAGAACTTCTGTTTTTCAGGCACAAAATGAAACTACAGCGACCAGACTAGAGCTCTGGTCTAGTGCCTCCATCGAATCTGGGGAAGCTCACCGTCTCGTCAGAAACTGCAACGGAGTGAGGCCACAGCTTTTCCCGTCTGGACCGGTGGCACTGGTTTAAGTCCCGGGTCTTTAGAACGATCGATCCTCTCCTCTCGTACCTGCTTCTGCATGTCCCGTGTACATCAGTCTTACAGACAACCAGGAAAAGAACAATGTTAAATAGGTCGATCATGGTGAAAGATGGCCTTTTTCACAGCAATTCACATCAAATTATAATATGAATTCATGGGGAAAAGGCCGCGCAGAAACAGTCAAATCATGTTTTTTATGCATACAACCTATGAATATCAGACTGCATCAACATTAAGATTGATCTCAGACTATTGAATTTTATTATGTCTCTTTTTCGTTATTGTTGAATAAAATGTTAATAAAAAAACATTTTTTATTAACAGGTGGTGGGCCCTCCTGTGGGCCCACCACCTGCAGAGGGGTCCGTGGTGGCGAGGTGCAGAGAGGACTGGGCAGCAGTCGAAGGCGGAGACCTCGACGACCCAGTCCACACACCCAACATCTGGCTCTTGGGACGTGGAACGTCACCTCACTGGGGGGGAAGGAGCCCGAGCTTGTGGGGGAGGTTGAGCGATACCGACTAGAGATAGTCTGCCTCACCTCCACACACAGCTTGGGCTCTGGAACCCAACTCCTTGAGAGGGGTTGGACGCTCCACTTTTCTGGTGTTTCCCGCGGGGAGAGGCGGCGAGCTGGGGTGGCCATACTCATTGCCCCCCATCTCAGCCGCCACGTGTTGGAGTTCTCCCCGGTGAATGAGAGGGTCGCGTCCCTCCGCCTCCGGGTGGGGGACAAGTCTCTCACTGTTGTGACGGCCTACGAGCCTAACAGCAGTGCAGAGTACCCGGCCTTCTTGGAGTCCTTGGGAGGGGTACTGGACAGTGCACCGCCCGGGGACTCCGTTATTCTCCTGGGGGACTTCAACGCCCATGTGGGAAATGCCAGTGACACTTGGAGAGGGGTGATCGGGAAGAACGGCCCCCCTGATCTGAACCCGAGCGGTGTTCAGTTGTTGGACTTCTGTGCCAGTCACGGCCTGTCCATCACGAACACCATGTTCGAGCACAAGGGTGTCCATCAGTGCACGTGGCACCAGGACATCCTAGGCCGGAGGTCGATGATCAACTTTGTTGTCGTATCATCTGACCTTCGACCGCGTGTCTCGGACACTCGGGTGAAGAGAGGGGCGGAGCTGTCAACCGATCATCACCTGGTCGTGAGTTGGATCCGCTGGCAGGGCAGGAGGCCGGTCAGACCTGGCAGGCCCAAGCGTGTAGTGAGGGTTTGCTGGGAACGTCTTGCTGAGCCCCCTGTCAGACGGACTTTCAACTCACACCTCCGGGAGAGCTTCTCCCAGGTCCCGGCAGAGGAGGGGGACATCGAGTCCGAGTGGACCATGTTCTCTTCCTCTATCGCCAATGCGGCGGCTCATAGCTGTGGTCGCAAGGTCTCTGGTGCTGGTCCCGGCGGCAATCCCCGAACCCGGTGGTGGACACTGGCAGTAAGGGATGCCGTCAGGCTAAAGAAGGAGTCCTATCGAGCCATGATGGTTCGTGGGACTCCTGAGGCAGCTGTCCAGTACCGGCAGGCCAAGCGTGCCGCGGCCCGGGCTCTTGCAGAGGCAAAAACCCGGGACTGGGAGGAGTTCGGAGAGTCCATGGAGCATGACTATCGGTCGGCCTCGAAGAGGTTCTGGCAAACCGTCCGGCGCCTCAGGAGGGGGAAGCAGTTCTTTGCCAGCACCGTGTATGGTGCGGGTGGAGGGCTGCTGACCTCGACTGGGGATATTGTCGGGCGGTGGAAGGAATACTTCGAGGTTCTCCTCAATCCCCCCGTCACGTCCTCCGTCCAGGAGGCAGAGGCTGAGGATGTTGGGGCGGATACTTACATCTCCCTGGCAGAGGTCACCAAGGTGGTTGGCAGCCTCCATGGTGGCAAGGCGCCGGGAGTGGATGAGATCCGTCCTGACTATCTAAAGTCTCTGGATGTTGTAGGACTGTCTTGGCTGACACGTCTCTGCAGCATCGCGTGGCGATCGTGGGATCACACTCCTCAGCCTCCCCGGTAAGGTCTACTCCAAGGTACTGGAGAGGAGGCTACGTCCGATGGTCGAATCTCGGATTCAGGAGGAGCAGTGTGGTTTTCGTCCCGGTCGCGGAACACTGGACCAGCTCTATACTCTCCATCGGATACTCGAGGGTTCATGGGAGTTCGCCCAACCTGTCCACATGTGCTTTGTGGATTTGGAGAAGGCGTTCGACCGTGTTCCCCGGGGTGTCCTTTGGGGGGTCCTCCGGGAGTACGGGGTCCGGGGTCCTCTGCTGAGGGCCGTCCGGTCCCTGTATGACCGGAGTCAGAGCTGTGTTCGCATTGCCGGCAGTAAGTCAGACCTGTTCCCGGTGCATGTTGGCCTCCGCCAAGGCTGCCCTTTGTCACCGGTTCTGTTCACTGTATTTATGGACAGAATTTCTAGGCGCAGCCAGGGGCTGGAGGGGGTCCGGTTTGGGAACCACAGGATTTCATCTCTACTTTTTGCGGATGATGTCGTCCTGCTGGCTCCAACGAACCAGGACCTGCAGCATGCACTGGGACGGTTTGCAGCCGAGTGCGAAGCGGCTGGGATGAGAATCAGCACCTCCAAATCCGAGGCCATGGTGCTCGACCGGAAAAAGGTGCCTTGCCCTCTTCAGGTGGGTGGAGAGGTCCTTCCTCAAGTGGAGGAGTTCAAGTATCTCGGGGTCTTGTTCACGAGTGAGGGGAGGATGGAGCGTGAGATTGACAGGCGGATCGGTGCAGCGTGCGCAGTGATGCGGTCGCTGTATCGGACCGTTGTGGTAAAGAGGGAGCTGAGCCGAAAGGCGAAGCTCTCGATTTACCGGTCAATCTTTGTTCCCTCCCTCACCTATGGTCATGAGCTGTGGGTAATGACCGAAAGAACGAGATCGCGGATACAAGCGGTCGAAATGAGCTTCCTCCGCAGAGTGGCTGGGCGCTCCCTTAGAGATAGGGTGAGGAGCTCGGTCACACGGGAGGAGCTCGGAGTAGAGCCGCTGCTTCTCCACGTCGAGAGGAACCAGTTGAGGTGGCTCGGGCATCTGTTCAGGATGCCTCCTGGACGCCTTCCTGGGGAGGTGTTCCGGGCACGTCCCACCGGGAGGAGGCCCCGGGGAAGACCCAGGACACGCTGGAGAGACTATGTCTCTCAGCTGGCCTGGGAACGCCTTGGGGTCCCCCCGGACGAGCTGGAGGAGGTGTGTGTGGATAGGGAAGTCTGGGCGTCTCTGCTTAGACTGCTGCCCCCGCGACCCGGCAACGGATAAAACGGAAGAAAATGGATGGATGGATGGATAAAAAAAAGACTGATCTCAGACTCTTGTAGCTAAACCTGAACCTTACCAGGACTAGAACAGCACCCTAAAGCTGACGCCCAGTAGTAAATTATACATTGTCTGCATAAAGAAAAATCATATTCAATTTATTATTCATATTCCATCAAGTTTATTTGTAAATTGTTTCTATAGTATATAATAAGGGATTGTCAAAAGTGTAGTTAGGACAAAAAACAAACATGTACTGGAACGCTTTTATATTCATAACAGATCCCAGGAAGATTAGTCCCCTCCTTGCTGGGGTCTAATGGGGTCGTAAATATATTACAACAAAAATGACAGAAAACATATGTGACTGCTGTAAATGTCTGTTTCACGTATCCAGGAGCTTGATGGTCATATTGTATTAATTGGCTGAGAAAAAAAAAAAATTTCAAAGCTTTGCAGAAAACATTTGTGGTTAGTTTTAGACCGGTGTCTTTCCAAATGTAGACTTGGTTTGGACATGTTATCCTGGTTTAGTCCAGACCGGCAGTTTTTATTCCACCATTTCCCATGTGTTGTTTGGGCAAGTAAAGATGCACGCACACTTGTCCTTTTTGGTTCTGCTTTGAGATTAGTTTAATATTCCTGAGGTCGAGTGAGGGCACATTCACACTTGTTGGTTTGGTTCACTTTAACTGGACCAAGTCTGGTTCACCTGGAGAATAAATGCTTCACTGACTTTAGTGACTGGTTGACACATGATCCCTTGTTTTGGTGGTTTTACAGCCACTAGAGAATTTTTGCCCCTCAGCCAATAGATCCAATATAACCATACCTGCCGTATATGTGAAAACGACATTTAAAGCAGGTTATTACATTCATCTTTAATTCATTTAACTATCACCATCCATCATATCCATCATAATTAAAAAAGCATTGCAGCAAATACTGCAAAAAGCGTTAAAAAAACGAGAAACATTCTCAAATTTGGTAACATGTATCTTAATTTGAGCACATTCTGACAACCTTAAGATAAGATTTGCCAATGGGGCAAGCAAAATAATCTTGTTTTAAAAAGAATGTATCCCTAGGAATAAGAAAATAAAGCAACAGTTAAAATAAAATAAAATGAAATGGCGACAAATAAACTAGATATGAATTGTGATTTTTCTTTGTGCAAACATTGTTACCACTTATAATTTTAGTAGATCCCAAATAAAAAGGCTTAAATTAAAGGGTTTCAGCTTCAGGGTTTCAACTTCAGGGTCTAGCGGTAACGTTGTTGTTTGGTCAGAGTCAAAGGCCTCATATTGGTGTAATGAATAAATAGTTTTGCCTTTTTGGACTTTAACTTGGGCTACACCAGGAAGAGTACCAGACTAAACTCAGCTCAAATCAAATCCAGAGGACCTGATTTAAACACCAGAGCGTCAGATGTTGTACTTTATTAACATTCATTGGAAGTTTAACACAAAACTAAAGGATTGAATTAAAATCAGTTTTCTCTCACCTCGTTTTTCACCGAGTACGGCGCGGCTCGCACTGCAGTCTGGAGCATGCTCAGAATGGCTCTTTGAATGTTGATGCCCCACACCTGCTCCCCCTCCTGCAGACAGAGGGCCGTGACCCTGCCCCCCCAGAGGGAGAACTTGAGGCGCGCTCTCTCCAACGACTCCCTGGAAACAAAAACAGCAGATGAGTCTCTGGAGACCGACCACAGACAAGAGCGGCCTCTGAACTGCCTCACATTCACAGAGAAAACAGACTGTGAAGCAATTACTGCTAAAGACAATGCAACAGGGCATTGAAGCACTGTTCATGTCGACTCAGTGTTACACATTTGTTACACTTTTATTACCGTATGCTCTTCAGACTGTGCACTGAGTCTCTTTGAGAGGGAAGTGGCTTGATCTGTGGGTTTCTGATCTATACAATAAACAAAAAATATGTAATTAAAGATCGACACACATAAACCTGGAGCAAAACTAAGATGGCCATAAATGAGTCAGAGCTGGAACCTGCTTTTCAGCCTTGTTTAGTTCAAACCTGCATCATTAGATGACATTTGGAGACCACGTCTATATCAACGAGGCAGTCGAAGGCAAGTGCATTTCTCCCGGCACTCGCTCTGTGCAGGCTGCTGCTGACCGTGGTGTTGTATCTGTAGGTGAATCTCAGGCCGATGTGAGCGGACCAGTCAGAGACAGGGACGCCTGACAAAAGAGCAATATGACATAACGTACTTAAGATAAAAGCAGGGAAAAATACAAAAATATACAAAAGAAGATCATTTTCATGGTGCATGTGCATGAAGTATCTTTATAAAGACTTGAATTAGTAAAGGAATCCTAATCAGCTTCTTCAGAATAGTCACACTTGCCTCAGTTGATTAAAGAATACACATTTTGTACAGTCCACTTGTGGATCAGTATCACCATAGATTCCTCTTTAGGACTTTTGCTTCACTTTCTACACAGTCAGAGGCTTGTGTCGCATTCATCTAAATATCATACTGTCACAGAAATCAGCTCACAAAACATGTATCACCATAATGTCGATAATAATTACTCCTAATGTTGTAACAAACTGCATTTACAAAATAAACGTTAGGTGCATTTCTCACCAGAACAAGCAGAATCGCAGAGTCCTGTGTCAGCGTCAAACTGATCAGCAGCTGCACAGACACAGAAATATTACTCCTTCAACATCTCACATATTTAATCACACAAAAGTAAAAGTATCACTCACCTTGACAGTGTAAAAAACACAGAGCAATTGTCAAAGTGTAATGAAATAATAAAAACATGATGGAAGTTCTACACATGAGATGAACACCTTGCTGCGTTCTCAGACTGAATGACCACACTTGTACGAGGGCTCCTAAAGTGACCTACCCTCCTCGCAGCGACCAATCAGGAAATACCTCCATGGGAAACTACAAACACTGAGCGCCAATCGCAGCCACCTCAATCACAAACATAAATAAACTTTAGGCTGAGACAAGTTTCTACATGATATGATGATATTGGTAATTGTCTATTGGGAGGATGCAATTCCATTTACACTGAAATTGGTGTAGATGAAATGTGATGGAAGGAAGACCCCTTTAAATGTCCACATGAGGCAAACTCTCTCCATGAGCACATTATACGTTTTTATGTGTTTGTTTGATCATTATTGTTGCAGATATTCGATAACTCATAATCAGATTAGTACAGGAAGTCACACACTGAGAATTTGCTTTAGCTTATGATACAAAGTTTTAATAGAAGTAAAAAATAGACATAAAATCAGTGTACAGATAAGTGTCCAGAGGTTTGACAATTTGAAGTGATTGTGAAGGGCTGGGATCCAGTGACGAGAAGATGGTGGTTCTGGTTTGGTTGGATTGTAGTCTCCTGCCAAAGGGGGAGTGTGAGAGAGGGTCGGGAGTGAGTAAGTAATTAATCATCATTTTTATTTATATAGCGCATCTCACAAACCGAGGTCACACAAAGAGCTGTAAAATGTTGGTGTACCTGAAATTTCCATTCGCTCCACACACGCCGATGACAGAAAGAGAGATGGCAAACCCGAAACCTCTGACTATCACCATAAATGCATTCTATCCTTACATTAATTCTACTGCTCATGTTTTCAGTGGGAAACCGGCTTACTCTGAGGGAAACCTACACAGACATGGGGAGAATATGCAAACTCAACACAGAAAGGCCTAGTCTGTGAAGTGATATGACCAGACAAATATAGCTTATATTAAAACATTAAAATATTAAATAAACAGTTTAGATATGGGTATAAAACATGCATAAGTCTTACAGGAACATATTTGAACCGTTAAATCTATCATAAAAGGTTTCCAGCCTCTTTATCTCAGACAAATGGGCTCTGGACACTGCACATTTGGGGACATGAAAAACACAAAGGAAGATGTAGGACAAAAGTGTTTCAGGATTAAAATTCTATAAATAGAATGATTGACGACTTTGAGTGAGTTGCAATGTTTGTCCAAAGTGGATCATGAGTTCAGTAAAAATATATTTTATTTTAGATAATAGATTCTATAACAAATTCTTTGCATAATTGAATACAGTGCGGCTACAAGTGCATGGCCCGATAAACAAAATTATAGAATTAATTGGGCGGCACGGTGGCTGAGTGGATAGCACTCTCGCTTCTCAGCAAGAAGGTCCTGGGTTCGAATCCCGGCCTTTCTGAGTGGAGTTTGCATGTTCTCCCCGTGTCTGCGCAGGTTTCCTCCGGGTGCTCCGGTTTCCCCTACCACTAAAAACATGTACAATAGGTATGAATGTAATGAGTGAGTGAGTGGATGGTGTTGATTAGGGGCTGATGCACCAGTGTGTTCGGCGACTCGTTTCCGTCCTCAACGTGTGTGGAATGATTGGGACAATATCTGAACTCTGAACATTGTAAAGCGCTTTGGATGATCTTGGTCTGTAAAATGCACTATTTAAATAAACATTACTTACTTACTAATTAAATCCTGAGTTGGTAAGTAGTTGTTAAATATTATGTCTGGTCTATTTTTTTTACCATTTGTATCATATTATGCTCTAAACAACTGGACCAATAAAACTGGACCAAAACTTGAAAATGCACTAAATTATAGGCGCTTAAAAGTTTTTTTAATGATGGGAGATAGACAGTTATACTTTATTTTACACCTGCATTTACATTTACTTTGGAACGTATGCCATTACATGATCCAATCAGAGCACTGTATTCATAGGCTTAACAGAACTTTGCACTTTTTTTTACATGAGAAACCCCCAAATGCATGCAACACATAAAGTAATGTTTTCATAATCGATTCCAAAAGAAAAAGTAACTGTAAAATTAGTAATGATATTCTGTAATATTTTGAATAGCTCGTCTATTTTTTTTATTACAAACACTGATTACAAACATTACAAATGTCCAGTTGTGATCAGCCTAAAATGTTTTGGACGGTGTGTTCTTTTCTTCTATGAACCACAGTCCTTCTGGCTTCACTTTAGAACCAGCTCCAATGTTCAGACCTCTTTTCATCCCTGATCCTTCCCCCATCATTACCCCCTCCACACCACAACCACCACCACGCCCGTGCCCCACGCCAGGCACGCCGTGTTGCTGGTGTGCGCCGCGTTCACTGACCTCAGAAAAACACACAGAGATCGGCAGAGATCACGCAAACGCTTTCACATTTTTAGGCATAAAGTCAGCATGGTGAGGAAAGTTAATGTTGTGTGTTATTAATGGGAAGCGATTTGGCGCATGTGTCACAACGCTGTGCAGTTATTTAAACGGGCGAAAAATAAATAAACAATATAACGTTGGGAAAGCGAGACGACCAATGATATTATTACGGCGATCATATCAAACAACGGGCTTAAACATCGCTAGTAAAGACTGTTTACAAGGTAACCACTGAACAGTTTGTGTGCTTAAAACTATACACGGAACACTTTGTTAGTTTTACAGTCAGCACTGGGAACTAGTATTTTGTGGGTGGGCCGTAAACGCGCCTTCAGTCCGGACTAGGGGGCGTAGGTTTGACCGGCTCAGACACAATGAGCCGTCAGTCTGTGAGGGGACGCGTGTTTGCTTCAGCACTTTAGACTATTTATTTTGTTGCTTTTTCTATAAGATATAACCATCAGTGTGTTATATTTCCTTTGTTTGACGTCTATGTGCTTGTGGTCACGCTGTATGGCTATAACAAAGCCCGTTTGGACGCGGTTCTTTCGTTGAGTTTGTGGAAACGAGGTCGAGCTAAGCCCCTCCTGTCCTCCAGTGTTTCAGATTAAAACAAGAGCCAGAGACATGTCCTTTTCGGCCTCTTCTGACTATTTTGCCGCGGAGTGTTTGGTGTCGATCTCCAGCGGCCCGGTGCTGCACAGACCGACCCCGGTGGATGCCAGTGGCCAGGCCGCCGTAGTGGGCCCTGTTCCCGGGGACGAGGGTTCGAGTGAGGACAGGGAAGTGCGGGACACGCTGCGCCTGGAGGGGGCCAACATGATGGCTGTGGCGGGCATTCTCACCGACATCCAGGACAAGTTTCGGCCCATGTCGGCCTACTCTGAGAGCAGTAACTCCTCGTGTGGAGGCGAGAGCGGCTACACCACGTTGTCTGACCCCACCACCCCAACGGCGACCCCCTCTGCCACCCCGGTCCCAGGACAGCAGCGCGGGGCGGGGGTCCCCAGGTCCCCGATCAAACGACACCAGTGCACTTATGAGGGGTGCGACCGCGTTTACGGCAAGTCGTCCCACCTGAAGGCGCACATCAGGACCCACACAGGTACAGTCCGGTACAGTCCAGCACATCTCTGCCCTCGGTCCTGTGTTATGACACGTGTCTGGACATGACACCCACTCATAAACTCAATCGCCTGAACAAAAAGTTCATGATTCACACGCTTGCGATCTGGCGGCATATGTTGTCAAGGAGTTAGACTAGTATTTTATTATTGGATTATGATTTAAAGAGTGTCGTTGCATTCATAACTTAAAGGTGAGGCAACAAAGAACAGACAAGTAAAGTTCTCCGAAAACTGACAAAGAGGTACACTAACAAAAGAACTGGGCAGGACATAAACCCTGTGACGAGGAGCTTCCTCTACACTGTATTTGCATATGAAATGAACGTAAGACGAAACCACGAGTTCAGTGTCTTACGAGCAGCCCATAAGAGCCCAGTTAATTTTACTGTGTTGAGGTATGAACCTCCCATCAAATGAATAATCCGCAAAATGCGCTGTTTGACTGCAGTGCGTCATAATAATTTTAAATGCGAAAAGTATTGTTGTGTGTTTTATAATGTATTCAATGTGACCAAATACACTTTGCTCATCAAAATGCGTGTGAATTCTGGTGTTCAGAATCACAAGGATTAAGAGCAGGAAGCGGCTCTGATCGAGGGGTACGCCCACAGACGCCGCTCCAACGTGGCTTTGTGATCTGAAAATGGCAGCGAGCATCCTCCTCTTCCACTTTTATGTAGCTGTCGTCCCTCTTGAACTTAGTGAATGTTGTTTAAGTCATCGAGTTGAGATTGAGTTACCTGTGCTGAGAACAGCTCTGGGCAGAATTCACATCTGATCTATCACTGTTTTGAAACTAGATGTACAATAAGACACAATATGGTTTAATGACCTGTGATTGCTGGCTTTAGGAGAGCGGCCTTTCCCGTGCACTTGGCCCGACTGTGAGAAGAAGTTCGCCCGCTCCGATGAGCTGGCCCGCCACACGCGCACTCACACCGGGGAGAAGCGCTTCCAGTGCCCGCTGTGCGACAAGAGGTTCATGCGCAGTGACCACCTGATCAAGCACGCTCGCCGCCACCCAGACTTCCAGGTCACCATGCTGGGCCGCAACAAGGGCCCCGCACTACCGCACTAGTGCTCCAGCTCCAACAGACCAATGCTGTGGTCCCCACGTGCACATCATATCCATGTGCAGCAGAGTAAGGGTAATTTCAGAGAATTCAAAAATGTATGAATTGTGCTTTTATATACTAAAGTTTGGGCTTGGCTGCACTTTTTGTCAAATATATATTTATGCAAGGACAAATGTGTGTTGAGATATAATGGCAATGTATACATTCCATTATATAATCTTAATTACACGTTTATTAAATGTACAAAGGGACTGCAATGTTATTTTTACATTAGGAAAGCGTAATTTCTCTGTTTATCTTTAAAAAAAAAGCCATCTAATACAAAAATAACCACAAATGTATATTCAACAAAAAACACAGCGTACCTCACATTCTGCAGCCCCTTTGTTCTTAACACGCTTTTGTTGGTTTCAATAATTTCACTAGAGTTGAGAAATGGAATGATAAAGTTTCGCCTACAATGTTTTATAAGAAAAAAACTCTGGATATGTCACATTCAAAATGAATTGTTTTGAGTTTTTTGTAAGTTGTTGCATTTACTCTGTTTATTTACATAGCAAGTAGCTAATAGCAGAAGAGGCAGTGATTAGAGGCTTATATTTCTTTTAGGTTGTTTTTTAATATAGTTTTTCCAGGTGTGCATCATTTAGTTGTTGATACATTCCTTTATTATATATTTAACTTTTGAGGCATGTTTATTTCTTACACAAGATCCAGTGCAGACACTTTTGAATTGTCACTCAAGAGTGTAGACCGTCTCCTCACATAATACAGTAGTATTATGTCTAATTCTGATGCAAATGTACATAAGCTTTAAGCTTTTGATGTAGAGGAGTTGTAATGCTATTAGCAGAATTATACGTGATGAATAATTGTAGTCCTTATATTAGGGGTGAGCGTAAACGATAGGCTTTTCCTGAGTGTTGCCGTTTGATCTGGATACTCGATAGTCTCTGAGTTTTGTGTATGTGATGTTGTACTAAGTATTTCAGGAGAAAATCCCGTGGCCTTCTGACGCGAGCGGGACGGGTTTCAGGATCAGGTGAATGCGCCTGGTGTTTCTTTACAACTTTACAAAAGTCTTATGTTTAACTGTTGTAACTACCGGTGTTTGCAATGATCTTAATCACTAAAGGACCTGTAGCAGAAGATGATGTAATGTTCATTTGGTGTGGAAGTATCCAACATGTCCAAAAAGCTGCAACACATGCTAAACATCACCCTTTTTGTCAAACTAGCCCACCAGTTTTGGTCTGTTTATAAGTTCAGTTTGTGGAAATGTTGGATACAAATTTTCCACGCCATTTATTTCATTTTACTGTATTTGGAATTTAGAGGTGGGAAGATTCTTTTCAATATTGTGTAGACGAATTATGTTTTGTCAACGCAATATTTTACGTGTTTTAGATTAACTTTTAATTTAAACTTCAAATTTTACATTGAAAGTGTTATCGCCCACCTCTAACTTCAAGCTAAGTAAGTTTACAGACAAAAGGCCAGAGCAGAAATATCAGGGTTGATTTTTATGCTTTTAATATCATGTCCACACTGTTCGACACAATACTCCTCTCAGTGAACACTTTTTCAGGAAACGCGAAAGCCTTAACCTCTGACATATGTTTTTGCACCAAGTCTACAAATTAATCAGTATGTATAGTATATGCCCCATCAGGATAATTCTCATTATGCAATATGGCACTTTTTAACTTACAGGTTTAATTGGCTAAAATTGTGTAGTAGCTTGCACTGTGACTCTACTGTTTGAGCAAGTACTTTGGAACTGTGTGTTTTAAAAACCAATGGTTTGAAAACTGCCTTATCCAAGTGCTTTACAAACCATAAGAGTCATTTTACTTTCAGTAGTTACGTTCTCCTTTATTTTGATTTGTTTACATTTATGATTGTAGGTTCCTCAGACCACTTTCATCTCAGTCCATTCTTAAGAGCCAGTGTCTGGTTGGACAAATGTAAGTTTCTTTTTACTGCTGTTCATCGTTGCTGCTGGCAGTAACTGATGACTGCATGGGCTGTTCCACACCAAAATACATTTTCTCTTTATATTTAGTCAGAAAGACTTTCAGATGGACCGATCTTCACACAGCTTTTATCTCACAACAATAACATACCTCAATCCTTCATGTTCTTTCATCTGTACAAATCCATCCAACTTTTCCTCCTAAAGTCCATGATCAATGTAAACTTGGATTTCAGAAGTTCGACCAACTATGTCTGTAGATGAAAATGTTTTATATGCAATTTCACAACTTCATTTTGTACCTTCAAGCATTGCATTGTTAGATAACTGGAAAATGGCATCAGCAGCCACTGCAGCAGGGCGTACACTTTTCAGCATATTCACCACAGAAAAGGGCTCAATCCAAATGTTTTCATATCACTAAATGTGGATGATGAATGATTCCACCCGTACAGTTTTCTGTACTGCCTCCTAAGAGACATCACCACACTAAATACGCACACTGTAAAGAAGCAAATGTTTTTAAAATGTCTAGTTGTGAAACAATGATTTCTCTGATGGAAGCTTTAGTTAAAGTGAATATCAAGAGGACTGGAACTAAATTGCTGCAACAAGCTGTTGATTTTTACTCTCAGGTGTCTTATAATAAAACATTGGAGTTTCAATTTTTCCAGTGCAACACCGAAGTACAAGCATGTTTTTTCCTGCTTTAATTTATTACAAAATTTTCATTGTGTGGTTTAAATATCATAACTCTTTTGTGACATGGAACTGGACTAATATTTGTTCCATTTTCTTTTGCTTGATATTAAATACTAGTGCTTTTGTAAATAAACTATAAAACGAAGAACTATCTGTCTTTGTGTTTGTTTAATTCATTTCACAAATAATGAATTATTTCAGGATTCAGATCAACTGTAGACTCCTTTTTCCTGTAAGTATCTAGCATAAAATCTGCTCTCATGTTACATTAACAGCACTAATTTATTTGTATGTTGTCGGCGTGTCGTAAAGGAGCATCCATGATGAATTGGCCACCTGAATTCAACCAAATGACATCCTTCCTTGAGCTATACAATTGACCAGCATTTGTCAAGTGAAATGTAACGTTTATAGATAAGTAAGGAACCATATCATTCGGTCGACGTGTATGCCGTAAGAATCTATTAAATGAAAAGAAGGAATGAGGTGCTTTGTACGAATTTGAACGCAGCCACTGTTCTACCCGGACAGTCTTTTCAGTGACACCCCGGTACATCTTAACAAGCATGTTAGCTGTTTACCATTTGTTTTGTTCCATGATTCGACAGTTATCCCCGATTAACAGATTAAATTACTACATTGAGTGGTAAAGTAAATGCATGTTAACCAAATATGACTGATATATCTCCGGGCGATAACTGGATCGATCTACATCCTGTGGTGAGTGCTCTCAGGTACATGTCCCATGGAAGTTTTATGTGTTTTTGTTTTCCTCAAAGAGTTTGTGTTATAGTTTCGTGAAATGAAAAGCCTTGGGATCGAGGACAGCGCTCAGATCCACGCCGCCTTCCTCGCGTATATGGACCTGACTGAGGGTGAGACAATAAGGCCATTTCTTTTACTGTGTGTGTAAAAAGCTCATTCAGATGGACAAACTCATCCATTCATTCAAACATTTGTCAAGCAGCAGAGAAACATGCTTGTCCATTTATTCACCACCAGATGTCACTCTTGGACTGCAATATCTTGATGCTTCAGCTTTTCTTATTATTTAAATATAGATTTGACTTTGGTGATGGCGCTGGTGGACCCATGGTGCATTGGGAGTATTTATAAAGTCGAATCCCAGATTTTGTGCCTGTAGTAAACAGAAGCAAAACATTTATCAGTAAAATGGAATAGACAAAAAACTGAGGACATTCAAAATGTAACTATCTAATCTAAATTGGCTAATTGCAACATAAGTCTCTTTTGGTATTTTTCGTTATCATGGGTTTGTTTTTACACTTAACTTTGGGCGGCATGGTGGATGAGTGGATATCACTCTCGCTTCTTAGCTAGAAGATCCTGGGTACAAATCCTGTCTGAACAGGGTCTTTCTGAGAGGAGTTTGTATGTTCTCCCCGTGTAGCTGTAGGTTTCCTCCAGGTGCTCTGTTTTCAGTGGTAGGGAAAACCGTACACAATAGGTCTGGCATGCACCTTCTGTACTGGCAACCGCACTCCCTTCTCTCTATGGAGTGAGAGACAAATACCCACAACAATAGTAAAGCACTTTGTGAAAGATAAATAAACATTACTTACTTACTTATGTCCACTTCTAGTTCGTCACTGGAAAGAGGTGTCCTGTCTCAAGAGCTCGGAGCTGCAGGTGGTTTTACTGGAGGCACAGGAGAAAGACGGAGGACCTGTGCACACTGTGCTTCCGCTGCCTGACCATCAGGCCATCACCCACAACACGTAAGAAACTGCTGTATGCGACCGGACAAGCTGATATGATTTACTGTATTTGGCTCCCTGCTCTACAACCATTTATTAAAGAATAAAAAGAAAAAGAAAATGAGAAACAGGAATATGAAAATTATTATCTATATCGCAAAACAACTTAATCTTCTTATTCAGTCAAAAAGCTGCTCACTAATTTAGACTTGAAGTTTTCGTCTTTCAGGGTTTTAATTTGAGCAAGTTCTATAGGTTTTATTTTTCAAGGTAAAGGGGCACATTTTATCCCGTTTGGCAATTATAGTCTGCAGCGCCCGGGAACCCATCTCCAGGTGTTGAAGCTCGGCTTGGTCAGGACGACCAGAGCTGGAGGATTTTACCTAGTGGTCAGAAAGGACCTGTTCTGACCGGGATTCGAATCCATCCTTCTTGCTGCGTAGCAGACCTGCTAGCCACTCAGCTACCGTACTGAGTGGGACATGGAAATTTGACTTAGTGGAGCGTCTAATGGCAGCTGTGGCTACAGTGGTTCAAACTGTGGAATTAAAAAATGCTAATTGTACTGCAATGCTCAACCTTCGCCACGCGGAGAAGTTCCAGTTGATCAGGCTGATCCGAATCACCCTAAAAATCCAAAAACTTGCTGTTTCCCATTTCTGATGTTTCAGTCCTTTAGGTTTTTTGCTAAGACACAGACAAATGAGTCTCTCGTGGTTTTGTTTTTCTTGCCCTAATAAATAAGTATTTCACTGGTAGTGATCTTGATAAAATGTGGCGAAACAAAATAGTTTGAATTTATTTTTTAATAGTGGTAATGTTTTGATTTTCAATAAATTTATTACAAAACAAACTTAAACAATACTTAAACTTGTTGGACATTTCCAACCATTAAGAAGTGCAGTTAAATGTAGTGGGGAAGACGATACAGATACATGCTATGAAGTGTAGCAAAGTAAAATATAAAAATGCACTGGATCAGTTGTTTTTTAAGTGTGTGGTTTTTTTCTTCCCATCAGCATCCGCTGTGTGCTGGATAGAGGATTTCCCATGCTGCTTTGCGCTGTGGCATCAGACTCCACTCTCGTCTACCAGAAGGTCTGTGATGGTCTGGTGACACCGGAGCCCCCCGCTGGACCCTTCCAGGACGTGGGGAGGCAGCACCGGAAGAGGAAGCACCACCCACAATAACATTGGACTCAAAAATAACTAAAAAACCCTATAATTCTGCATTTTCAAATAACTGTTTTTTTGTATTGATATTATGACATTAAAATATTAAAATATACTAAACTTGTTGACTTTGTTATTGCTGAATGATTGATAATTATAGATGCATAGATTTGTAGTGTAATAAACAGGGTTTGTGTTTTTAATTTTATTAGTGACTAATAAACTCACTACTGAGATTAACACAAAAGGTTGAGGTTATTTATTATTCAAATACAATGTGATAGCCTGGTCTTACCACACCATCATACTAATTACATTTTGTACTAAGGGAAATAATAATTGACCAGAGTTTACGATTGGCTGTGGCCAGGCTAATGTGATGACGGGCACACAAAAACACAAAGCTGACCAAGATGTTTGCTAATATATATTGGTGCATCCCCTCTACAGAGGAATACTTGGTGTTTGACATACAGTATATCTTGTATACTGTATGTCTGAACTGTTTTTACTGTCTTATATGCAACTGATGCTAAGGTTACCATGACAACTCAAGTTATAACTGAGTATATAAAGTAGCGGATCAACTTTATTTACGTATTTTGTGTTTTGATGTCTTGGACCAAAATTTAAAAAAAAAAAAAGAAAAGGAAAAAGAGGGCTGCATGAGACAGCTTAAAAGTTAAATCAACTGGAACTGTAAATGATTTTGTGTTGATAGGGGGCAGACATAAGTTTTTACTTCTTTCTGCTCCTTTTCATTCATGCTAAATGCTGTTGTTGAATTTGTTTTTAAATGAATGAAATAAATAAAAAAATGAAATGAAATGAGTATAACTGACGCTTTGGTTGTCATGGCAACTCAGATCATTTTTTTTCTGCCGTTTAAGTTTGTTTCTAAAAGGAGAAATGGAGAAGTATATTAAAGTATGCTGTTATAAAGAGACGTTTTTGCAGCTTGGAAAGAGTATAATTCTACGATTGGTCTAAGGCGGACACGATAACCTTTTTATTTAATTGTGTCTTTTATTTTGAGACCTGTATTTTGAGATGTGTGATTTACTGTATGGAAATTTACAACAAGCTCTCCTTTATCTTTGTAGTTTTCACAGTGTTCCAAATGACTGTAGGAAATTAAATGCTGCTGGACATCAGTCGAGGCGTTAAGTCCTTTTTTTTGGAGATAAACGTAGTTACAATATATACTGCATTAGTCGGTGCACTTTCCTTGCTCATGTGGCAGCCAGTCTCCGTCCATGTTCTCCACAACCACCTCCAATCCTCATTTACATTACATTGTTCTTTGTCTAGCTCCAGAACACACTTGAGGAAAATTAAATGTGCTGTCCACAACTTGATGAAATAAAAAAAAGATTTATTTTTTTACAAAAAAATGCATGGCTGTAATATGAATGAAGGCTGTGACAATAGTGCATACAGTCAGTGAAGTTACAGTTTTTCTCTGATGTGGAGCACGTGCATCTGCTAAGGATCAGATATGATAATACTTCAACCCTGAGTCTTTTTTTTAGATCTCAACTTTATCGCACAAATAATTAACAGAAAAACACAGTGAGCGGGCAAACCAAAAGTAGATCCAAGATATGTATACTGTCTGTTGGAATATAAATCTTTAGAGGCACCCAGAAAAAAAAATCTGCACAATGCCAATCTTTTGAGCTTCTCCCAAGTGTTAAATACTGTGTTCATTGCTGACAGCTTGGCCTTTCAATCCAAGATTAAATGTTTGTCTTCAACAATAATGGCTTCATGACGGAGGAAAATATCCACTTATTGGAATAAGAAGTCCATCACGGGGATGGTTTGTAGTTCAGGCAAAACTGCAAAACCAGGACAAAACACGTGACGACACGACAGTCCCTTTAACGAATGAAGACTGCTACGTCAGATCATCTTCTTCAGAGCAGTAGTCTCGTCCCTAAAATGACATGCATCATGAACAACTCTGGGAACTTAAAAGTGCACCGTGTACACTTTCTAGTGATAACACAGTGATACCTATAATTATTATATACATTATATTATAATTAATCATACTATAATTACATAATAGATGCTACATTTATACAAACTGTACTTTACTGGGTATCAATGACTTGTGTTTATGTTGATGTGTGAAAATTCTGCAGGTTTTAAATAAAAAATCTACGCTAGTGTGGACTCTCTTTCCCATAGCAATAAAAGCAGATGTATCTTTAAAGAAGGAGCCAAATAGTTGTAAATGAAAATGAAATATAACGATACCTTGTATTGTATCATAGTTAGTTACAGAATTATTTAAGGGATAGATTTTCTTACCTTTGCTATTTTTTCATCCAACATCTTGAAAAACTCCTGCTGACTCTCAGACGAGTGGATGCTTCTGTGGCAACATGACATTCTCAGTATCAGAACTACGATCATCACCAATAAAAGCTACAACTTACAGGATTTTGCCGTCTCCATTTGGGTCCGTCTGATCCAGCTGGTGACCAGCTCCAAGCAAACAGCTCTTTTCCTGCACATTTATATTTTATATTTTATTGTTACCAGTATATAAAATAATCTTTGCATCGTTATTTCATAAATAACCAAGTGAAATAGAAGTGTCCCACCGTGCTGTCCTGGCTGTCTCCTCCTCCTTCTTCTCCATTGATGTACTTTACTTTTTCCTCTGCTTTCATCTTGTACTCATCTATGACGAAGAGACACAGCAGGTCATTGAAACATGGCAGCAGATTCAGAACTGTGGCTTTCCCGATTGTGAGATGAATGAAGGATCTTTCATTTTAATTATATCTTCTGACAGCTTCAACACATGCTTCATGTTACTTGCAGCTCATTTAAGGCTTTATTATGTTGCCCTTAGGGTTATGATATTTAAAATCCAGAAGCTTAAATAATTATGTTAATATCCATGATTACCTCGATGATTGGCCAGTTAGCAAACAGTAATGAACCCACCCCTAACTTCAAGTTGAGTACTTAGATCTCAGACTCACCAGAGAGGAGGTCCCCATTGCTATGGGCTTTGCTGTTCTCCTCCTCTCCACTGGGAACCGCAGACACCTGTTTGGCCGATGTGCAGCCCATCTCCGATCAGTCTCCTCAGCCCTGAGCTTCACACATAGTAAACCTAAACAGAGGAGAACAGTCTGAGGGATCCATGCATTTCCTAATAAGCAGCACAGATCTCTCCTACAAACTTGAGCACAGTGTATACTTATCCTCTCTTACCAGGTCTTATTCTATAAGACCTTATTATCATCATGGTGAGTGGGGATTATACAAGTCTTTATTTTGAAGAATGAATAATTAAAATGCATTTCGCCAAGTGCATTACCGTGCCACTACACCTTGAAAGCTTCACGTCTGGTTTATCTCACACCAATTCGATTGATAAGCCTCAGGATCACCAGATCGGTTGGACATGCATGTTACAAAAAAGCTCCAGTTCGAGGTAAAGGGCCATAACGACAGGACGTGGTGCAGACTGCTCTTGGGGAACACCAATCAGATCGATGCCAGCTGCTTCACAACAATAAGGCCTTTCTGTCGGATTGCTGTGCCAAGCACCGGTCCATTATTTCAGATCTCTTTCTGTTACATTATTCTAGGCATAAAACAGCCCCTCAGCAACAACACATCACAAGTCTCGCAGCTGAACAGTTTTGTGCATGATTTGTGAGCGGTGAATCCAGAGCATAGGTCCTGAGGAGAGGTGTAGCGGTGAGATGCTTCTGACATCATCAGCCTCACTACAAAACCAATACCGCGATTTGAAGAGGACAACAATAAACACGGGGGAATCCCATGTTTAACACCATAACTAACGATTGGGGTAGTGCCAGACAAAATGCACAATGCCACAGAGCACAACCTTTCTGAAACAGCCACGTAACCACATGAGGCAAGATGAAATCAGGTGAACTGTAGCTAAATAACAGCACATTACCTTTGAGCTTCATCCATGGCCCAGGCGCAGAGTCTGGTTTAAAGATGCGGGGATGGAGCCGATAAGCCGCTGTCCTCCGCGCTGATGCGGACCGTCTGTCTGCAGTCTGCTGCACGGACACAGACTCAAGGAGCACCGCCGATCGAAAATTATAACATATAACATGAGCAAAAACAAACAATTCACAAACTAGTATTTCAAACATACCCAACGTGTGTACTGTGAAACTGTGCGCACGTTACATTTATGTAATAAATCGTGAAAATATCAGCAGTTTGTTTCAGCACGAGACGGTTTTGGTGGCGCACCTTCAACTTCCGCCCAGTCCCAAAAGAGCGTCAAAAGTTCTTAAACTCAACTTAGCAGGTTTGTCTCGGTTTGTCTCCACCTAGACTGGACAATAGTAGTCTGCATTGTTATATTTACTAATATGATTTTATTAACAATGCTGGCCAGAGTGGCGGATGGCTTGCCGCTGTCTGCGTCCATTCAAGAAGACGAACAGGTAAAACAACTATGAAGCTGGATCTGTTTCTGTATATATTGTTTTTGTTTTCGTAGAAATTCCCTTAGATCATTGGTACTAAAATAATATAAATAATGACGCGTCAGAGTCTGGAAGTTGCTCTGCAGGTGCCTCAAATGATGAGGGCAGGCTGGACACTTAATTCTTGTTTATAATGAGCTATAATGGGAATTCATTTTAAAGTATATTCTTCATAACAGCTACAGAGTTCGCTTTTCCAGTTACTGTTTTGTATTTATTATTCATCCTTGGGAGTTCTGAATTATACACAATAAAAACAAAGGTCTGTACAAAAGAGTGAACTGTTTTAATGTCATTGTACAGTATGAGAGGGACCTCCAGCAGTACCAGAGTCAAGCCAAGCAGCTTTTTAGAAAACTGGATGCTCAGAGTCCAGATCGATGCACTTTGGAGGCTGGAAATGTTAACTTTCAGTAAGATCAAAGGTCAATAACTAAATGCTTGCATGTAGATAAGCATCCTATTTACCTGACACTTTTTCAGTTACTTAATAGCAGAGGGCGTATGCTACTTGTGCCTGTGTGAGGCGTCCTTCCCCAAAAAGATGGCTTTTGGATATCTGGATGACCTCCATAGCCGGTTCTATGATCAGTATGGAAGGAAGGTGCGCAGTGTCACCAGACCATACACCTTCATAGAGTTTGGTAAGATTACTTTTTTTGCAATAACTATACATAAAAATAAAAACCTCCTGACATAACTATTGTTTTGTTATGTTTATGCAGACAATTACATCCAAAAAGCAAAAAAAATGTTTGCGGACAGCAGGGCAAGGAGAAACCTCAGCAGTATCAACACCGAGTTGCAGGATGTCCAGAGAATAATGGTTGCCAATATTGAAGAAGTTCTGCAACGTGGAGAAGCCCTTTCTGGCAAGTGAAATGTGATCGTGTCTAACCATGTCGCACATATTCAGTGAGTAAAATGAAAGTCTCTTTTCTTCAGCTCTGAACACAAAGGCCAGCAATTTGTCCTCGTTGGCAAAGAAGTATCAAAGTGACGCAAAGTACCTCAACACTCGTTCTGCTTATGCGAAGTTGGCTGCAATGGCAGTGGTTCTCCTGACACTCATAATCTATGTGCGGTTCTGGTGGCTCTGACATGAGCTTTGAGGACTTGACCGTTTACATATTGTCCATTTATATGGCTCTCCAGACAGAACCAGTATTGCTCATTGTATCGGGTTCAATGTTTCTGTTACATGTCTTGACTGTGAATGAATGTTGACCAATTATAGGTGTTTTTTTTATATAATAATGGGTATCAATATGCAGGGGCTGTAAAAATCTACTGATACAGGATTTATTATAATGTTTACAGTGATGTTAAATAAAGTTATTTGCAAAGTGTCCAGGTGTTACTTCAATAACAAACATGGAAATGGTTCACAAAAGTCCAGAGCAAGTATTTGCCACACGCCATTAAGTCCATGTGCCCCAGTCCCTTCATAAAAAATTGCATCAACGTTCAAAACCTAATTCACTTGTTTTTAAATATACATATCCAGCAAGATCAAGTGTGTTTGAGTTTCCTGAAGACCAACACACGTGTAACCAGTCCCACAGCCAAAGGAAGATATACTGTAGTGACGCTGTAGCTCGACACCTGGAAGCAGTGTTTCTTCAATCACTTTCCACCATTATGCCACAAGATCAAAATCATCTCTCTGTAAAAACAAAGAAATTAGCGTCTATCCAGAACATTAAAGGAATAGTTCACCGTTTTTACATACTGACATATGTTCTTACCTCACCTTAGACTAGTTAATATGTACCTGTCTGGTCTTAGTCCGTGCGCTCTGTCATGCAAACCCGTTTGCGCTCCCGTTTTTGCTCCGTTTGCATGACAGAGCGCACGGACTAAGACCAGACAGGTACATATTAACTAGTCTAAGGTAAGGTAAGAACATATGTCAGTATGTAAAAACGGTGAACTATTCCTTTAAGAAACTCGCAAACAATACCTCATCGTTATAATTCATGACATGCTGCTTGATCTTTGACAAATCCACCCATGTAACAAAATCTTCCATGTTCCTGTCAAACATATGATACATGTATTATCATTAGTTTGATATGTTTATATGAGACATTTTCAGATGTGTTACCTTGATACAAGAAAAGCTGGGTCTGTAACAATTTCTGGACCAACACGGACATCTGAAACTCATGTAAGGATCTTTCAAAGACATCAATTACACTCATCAAAACTAAGCAACTAAACTACTTCGATATACATTAAAGGATACGTCCTTGTTCAATGAATGTGATGGCCATTTTTAGGTTTTGAGCCATGCGAAGAGTGAGCATGATACTTGGCAGCCTCCTCCTGCATGACATAACAATGTTATAACATTTAAAAGGTAATTTTTCTTCTTGAATGACAGTTATTTCTTTAATACCTGCAAAATGAGGAGGCAGTGACTTTCTCGGTGAGTGCTAGATTCTGTTTGGTGGGAATCAAACCAATGTTGTATCTGAAATTAACAAAATATGATAAGCAGGTGATTGAAAGTTGAATTTAAATAATTAACTTACAGTTTCTCCAGAAGCCTGTGTGTGCTCTGAGCTCTGAAACCATCCTTCTCATCCAGGTCTCGGATTTTCTGAGCCAGATCTCTGATGTTACGACTCAGCTTGTTGTATCTATGACAGAATCATGAGGAAAAATACATTATGCTTTTGGGGGCAATTGGAAATAACTCCCCCCAGATTCAGTTCTCTACACTGTCCAAAAACAGCAGTTTGTTTTGGTCAATTATCAATTTGGGTCCGTGTTGTGTGGAACAATGTGTCTTGTCTCTGTACAGTGTTGCAAAAGTGAGGTTCTATGTCTTTCTTATTGTTATTTTTGAGTTCTGATTAAGTGCAGTCAAGAGTTAAAAGATAAACCCCTTGGTACCTGGCAGTTTCTGAAAACAGACACAAAAAAAACAGTAGAAGATTGAAACATTGGAAAAACACTACGTGTGCAACGCCATCTCCTTTACCAATAACAGAGCCTGTGAGGAGTAGAGCCACAACATCTTTGACAGCAATGAAATCTGCTGAACATTTCGGCTTAAATTTCTTGATATTTGTAGCCGAACCAGAACGGATTACTTTACTATCGCATTCTCTGCCATTGCCAAACTACTAACAGCAAATTTGGCCCAAACTCTTAATGTCACCAACACCTACCTACAACACCCGCCTCCCCTGCTCGCTAAATGGTCGGATGGGATACAACCGAGGTAACTGCAGACACTGGGACCAGAGATGTACATGAAGGGAAATTAGAATTGACTGTAGTTTAAGGATGGCTAAGGACAGGCTAGGTGGACCCTTGTTTTCTAGAGTCTACCTAGGATGTGCAATTTCTAGAAAATAGAAACCAATCAATTAATCGCGTTATCTTGCATTATTTTTGTTTCAGAAACATGTTGAAAATAGGTTTGATTGTGGCCGCTGTACTAAAACAGGTCTTGTTATGATAAAAATAATGTCTCGTTATATCTCAAATCATGAATGACAAAAAACGAGTAAAACAAGGATTTTTATTGGGGCCTTTGTGACAAAGGTGATAGTTATACATTTGTTGTTGACAAAACTCTATTCAACCCTTATTAGCCATCCATACACCCCGGTCAATCATCATTTCCTTGCAAGAGTTAGAAATGTAATTTGTACTTTGGTGTGGTACGACCAGGCTAAACTATTATGGTAACAGCTGAATTTGTCTGCATATCTGGCAACCTAAGTCAGGGAGAGGGTGCAGTAACACTTTGGCCAGATTTGTACATATTGCTCCTATAAGATGTTCCGGTGTTGTTTTTTTGAACAATAAAATGACAAGGCATGTAAATATGAGCTTTAACATTCCTAACAAGTAAAATCCGTATAATCTGGATTTAAAAACTAATTACTCAATACCGAGTACGTTTCTCCTATAAGACTAACGCATGTAATTAGGAAGAAAAAGGATATATATATATATAGAAAATGTTGATACAAAAGGCATAGTCCGCTCATATGTAATGAATGACGATCAGATTCTTACTTCATGTAATCCTCGCGCTTCTCGATACGGTATTTTCGTAACACTTTCACCTCATGGATGTTATTGTCCACTTCCCAGTTAATGAAATCTACCTTCTTCAGCAGCTTCTGCTCGTGAAATTTCAGTTTACGAACCATTGTATCTGTTTGTGATTTCACGCCGCTCGTGGAGTAGAACCAGGAAGAAATACAACAACACGTGCTACTGCTTCTCTGAGTTGATCAGGGCGTGCCGTGTCTGAACTCTAGCGCCCCCTAGCGCTCAAAGACCGTTCAGAACGTTTGATTTTAGCACTCTCCAACGGTGGATACTACATGGGAAAAGCACTTAGATGAAACAATAGGATGAAACAGCTAGATCACGGACTGGCAGAAACTCTTTGTCATTATCCTGTCCAGGGTTCTAAGCAAGGACCACAGACTGGGACCACGGAGAGCCCAGGTGACGTGGTCCTGCAGATCCCCCACATCTGCTGCGCGCTCAAATGGAGAAAGTGCATTTACATTAGGAGTGGGACATGTTTGGGACAGACGTGTGCAAAGCGTCTGTACAAGGAGCTGCTGCCATCACACTCTCACCGTAAGTTCTTCATTCTTTTACGCGTTAGTTTTAATTTTATAGATGAAAAATAAATTAAACAATTAGTTTATTATTAATACAATAATTACTTGTATCAATAATCATCGTATAATTGTTATTATTAATTTGTAATAATACAAATGTAGCAAGTTTGTTGTTGACGTTGTGATCTTTCATCTTTTGATTAGGAAAACTAAAGTAGACTAAGCTATGTGTAACGGGTGTCACCAGTGGGTGTCGCTGGTGTCAGCCTTAAAATAGGAAGTTGGCTACGTGTCAGACAGGTGCCAGTTTCTGTGGGCGGCCCCATGGGGCGGCCAGAGTGTTTGCTGGGCCCATCTGTGTGTGCGTGTTTGGCCAAAGTTACGGTGAGCTTTTAAAATAGTTTATGCAGTATTATGGTGATGAAATTAATTGTTTTGTTCTGTGGTAGGGAGGCCGTGCTGTTTGCCATTGGGCAAATAAAGATCTGTGTGGAGCTGTGTGTGTGGGGGTTGCGACGCACAGGTAGCAAGTTTTTAACAGGTTTTTTCACTATTAGAAAATGAGGGGTTAAATATGGAAGCCCGTTTCCGCCATGTAAAAAAAAAAACCTACAGAAAGTCAAAATTTTGACTTTGAAACTCAAAATTTTGACTTTGAAACTCAAAATTACGTATGTGTGTGTAAGTATGTGTTGTTGTCTGGAACGGTCTCTGGTCATCCCTGTTATAGATCCATGACCATGGGTCATCCTCTACCTGCAGATTATGTGAAGATTTTGCCTACAGACAGTGACCACATCCATGAAGTAGCAGCAATAATGTTGTGGTAGTAATCGCGTTAAAATGCAAACGGTCACTCCGTTTATGATTAGAATCCGCTTCAGAAGCCTCTATTTAGTTTATCCTAAACGGACTGTGGAAGATTAATAAAAGTCAAAGTCATTGAGCATCAACTGGTGACATCTGGTCAGTATCACGGCTATCGATGGATGCACCAGAAATGCAGTGAATATTATTGTGACTGACAGAGAGACCGTTCGCGATGACAGGACAGTGAGAGAGGTCTGCAGACAGAGGCCGGAGAACCACAGACAGAGGCCGGAGAACCACAGACAGAGGCCGGAGAACCACAGACAGAGGCCGGAGAACCACAGACAGAGGCCGGAGAACCACAGACAGAGGCCGGAGAACCACAGACAGAGGCCGGAGAACCACAGACAGAGGCCGGAGAACCACAGACAGAGGCCGGAGAACCACAGACAGAGGCCGGAGAACCACAGACAGAGGCCGGAGAACCACAGACAGAGGCCGGAGAACCACAGACAGAGGCCGGAGAACCACAGACAGAGGCCGGAGAACCACAGACAGAGGCCGGAGAACCACAGACAGAGGCAGGAGAACCACAGTCACGGGCACTGACAATATTACCCTTTTGGAATTGCGATCAGTGCATTGAAGAGTATGTGACGGATGGAGCGAGCGTGCGGGTAATTGTTGGCGTATGAGCAAGAACACTGAGACATACAGGGAATAAGTGCCTTGTCTGATTATTTTATTGTGACAAAATAAAGCCCACGACTCTTTTAGCAACAATCCGGAGAAATAACTCCGCAGATAACAGTGAGGGTCTTTGAAAAGGGAGTTAAACCCATTATAGATGCATGAATAAAACTCCGTACTCAACACGTAGAAAGCGCATCATTTCAGCCGTGGAAATACTCTCTCAGCGTCATCGTCTGGTCAGACGATGATTGGATTGGAATCATGCAGATTGGATTGGAATGTCTCGATGGCTCATTTTCCTTTTGATTTATTATAAAAACGTATTGCTCACATTATTTGTTACTATGTCGAAATAAAAAGTCGTTTGATTTAAATGTTGTATATATGTAAATTGAATGTAACATAAATAAATAAAAAGGCAGCTCCCCCCTGCGTCCTACGGCCGCGGTCTGGGGCTTAAACAGGAAAGTTTTACAGAATCAATCAAACAACATTATTTCTGGCTACTTCATGGATGCAGTGGTCACTGTAGGCAATATCTTCACATAATCTGCAGGTGAAGGACGTCCAGAGACGTTCCAGACAACAACACATACGAGTTTTCAACTGCACATGTGCAGTTGAAAACTCGTAATTTTTAAAGTCGTAATTTTGAGTTTTAAACTCAAAATGTGGACTTTCTGTTTGCTTTTTTTTTTTTGTTTTTTTTTTTTTTACATGGCGGAAACGGGCTTCCATAGTTAAAGGTAAAGCTCTCTAAATGTAACTTTTTTCAGAGACGCGTTAATTATTTGGGTCATGTGGTCTCGCCGGAAGGAGTTTCCACGGATCCTGAAAAAGTGGCAGTAGTAAGGGAGTGGAAGAGACCAAACAATCTGGCCGAACTACAGTCATTTTTGGGTTTTGCCTCATACTATAGACGTTTTATTGCGGGATTTTCAAATATGGCTGGCCCTTTAAATCGCTTGGTAGCAAAAGTGCTCCCCCCAGGTAGACAAGGGAAAACCCCAAAGAAGCCTGTTGCAGATTTTTGGGATGATGAATGTGAGGAGAGTTTTCAAAGGCTTAAAACTGCCCTAATAACCACCCCTGTTCTTGCTTACGCAGACTTTCAGAGGCCCTTTGCTTTGGAGGTTGACGCAAGCCATGGAGGTTTGGGTGCCGTATTATCCCAATAACATGGTGGTAAGTTGAAGCCCATTGCTTTTACCAGTTGAAGCCCACAGAACGTAACATGAGTAACTATAGTTCCATGAAGCTGGAGCTGGTTGCTCTTAAATGGGCTGTTAGAGAAAAATTTTGAGAGTACCTAATTGGAAATCAGTGTACAGTTTTTACAGATAACAATCCTCTTAGCCATTTGGCCACTGCAAAACTGGGCGCTGTAGAGCAGAGATGGGCCTCCGAGCTAGCCTCGTTTGATCTGAATATTAGATACCGCCCTGGTTCCCAAAATGCAAATGCGGATGCTCTCTCCCGCCTTCACCTACCATCTGAGGAGAGAGTGGAGGTTTTTGGGGTTCAGGTAGAAATAAGTGCACTCCCAGGTCTCGATGTATCAGATATTTCCATGTTACAATCTCAAGACCCGATTATTGGCAGCTTCCTAAAGTATTGGGTTGAGGGGAGGATGCCTGGGGCCAAAGACGGACAGGAGCTCAGTAAGGGTACAAGGGAGCTGGTGCGTCAGTGGGGCCGTATAAGGAGAGAGGAGTCTGTGCTTTACCGGTGTTTCCACAAACCTGACGGAGAGGGAGAAGCTAAGCAGCTAGTACTGCCACAGTGCTTAAAGGAGCGTGTCCTTCGTTCTCTGCACGATGAGCACGGTCATCAAGGTGTAGAGCGCACGTTACAGCTGGTCCGCTCCAGGTACTACTGGCCAAACATGTGCAGTGATGTTGAGGACTGGTGTAAATGTTGTGAGCGATGTGTAATGTCTAAAGCTCTGCAACCAAAAGTAAAGACCTTTATGGGATCAGTCAAAGCATCCAGGCCTCACGAAATTTTGGCCATAGATTTTACTGTGTTGGAGCTCTCCACAGATGGCAAGGAAAATGTTTTGGTCATGACAGATGTTTTTTCAAAGTATACTCAGACTGTTGCCACTAAGGATCAGCGTGCCAGTACAGTAGCAGAAGTTCTGGTAAAGCATTGGTTCCAGCCATTTGGTCCTCCAAGTCGAATTCACTCTGACCAAGGGAGGAATTTTGAAAGTAGTCTGGTTCAACATCTTTGCAAAATGTATAATATTGAAAAGAGCCGTACCACACCTTATCACCCGCAGGGCAATGGTCAGTGCGAACGGTTTAATCGCACCTTACATGACCTGCTGCGAGCCCTTCCCCCTGAACAAAAGCGTAGGTGGCCTCGGCATTTGTCTCAAGTGACTTTTGCATAAAACACCACAGTACACCAGTCTACTGGCCTAACCCCATACTTTTTAATGTTTGGAAGAGATCCAAGATTACCTGTTGATTTTCTATCTGGCGGGCTTGAGGAGACAGAAATTCCGTTAGATGAATGGGTGGAGGAACATCAGAAGTCTTTAACAACAGCTTATGAGACTGTCCAAGCAAGGCTGGAGAATCAAAGGGAACAGAGGAGACAGAAGGAGCAGAATATGTCTGTGGCTGCCGATTTTGAAGAAGGAGATAGAGTATACACGAGGAACCATTCAGTGAGAGGGAGGAATACAATTCAAGATTTTTGGGATCCCACTCCTTACCAGCTTGTTGTACCCGCAGCACCAGGGGGGTTGTGTATTCGGTAGCACCTGTTGGCCAAGAGGGACCAGTGCATCAGGTGCATAGAACAGAGTTACGGACTATCCCTAGTAGTTGGGAGGATGATACTCCTGATGAGCGCAGTGAAAGGGAGATAGAAACCGAAAGTGCCACTAATGTGCTTGAACTAGAGTCTGAGAATGATGGGATGTTCTCTGATGATGAGCTGCTTCCAGGCCAGGAACCCACTGAGGAAACTGGCACCCCCTTAGTTTTTGAGCCTCGACGGTCCTCCCAAAAGACTGCTGGGCAACATTCAAATCCACATAGGCTGCCACAATCTGTACAGGTTACCAGACCAACAGCAGAGTTCTAATTTGAGAGGTATCCCCCTCTTTTCATACATCGTTGGGTTGACGATGCTCGTTGTGGGGGAGGAATGTAACAGGTGTCACCAGTGGGTGTCGCTGGTGTCAGCCTTAAAATAGGAAGTTGGCTACGTGTCAGACAGGTGCCAGTTTCCGTGGGCGGCCAGAGTGTTTGCTGGGCCCATCTGTGTGTGCGTGTTTGGCCAAAGTTACGGTGAGCTTTTAAAATAGTTTATGCAGTATTATGGTGATGAAATTAATTGTTTTGTTCTGTGGTAGGGAGGCCGTGCTGTTTGCCATTGGGCAAATAAAGATCTGTGTGGAGCTGTGTGTGTGGGGGTTGCGACGCACAGGTAGCAAGTTTTTAAAAGGTTTTTAAATGATTAAAGTTTTGTTTAAGATATTAAGGGTTTTGTGTTTTTCTGTTTTACAGTGGTTTTAATATTTGCTGCCTGCTGTCCTTTTGAGTGTATTTTCATTTCTGTTATTCAGCCTAGCTCATTAACATTCAGAGCTTTGTAAAGGCGTCTAACTTTTATATTTTGGGTCACTTCTCCTTCATAGTAATAAAATAAATACTGTAAATATTCATACCAGTTTTTGCATGTCTACTTATTGCCCGGCTCTGGTAACATATGTACTTTGACATATTATGATTATTTGGTTGTTATCCAGTGAAGTAGTTGAAATTTGTACCTTAGGCTAAACATAAGCGTGATGAATTTAGAAACATATGTCTTATTCAAATCTTCACGTCTGGTGCATTGTAATGTTTAGGGAGTTTACATTACCCATTTTTGCTTGACCGATAATACAGTCAGTCTAAATAGCCTTGTTACTAGCAAAAAAGTAGTTTTAATCCATTCAAATATGTGCCCTGTACCTGTGCAGTCAGTTTTCCACTTCTCCCAGAGAAAACAAGGGAGGGATTGTGGTGCTGAGGCACATAAGTCCTCTATGTGACGCCCCTCTGCCAAAGCCTGCATTTTAAGAGAAGTGCATGGTGGACTTTGACCTTAAAGGCTGAAAAAAGAACATTCTGTAAAACATTGCTGCCTTATAGTGTGTGCCACAGTGTGACTCGTGGTGATGTGAGATGTTTTTGAAGACGGCGAGGAGCTGCCAAGCGTGAATGTGTGTTAAAAGTATTATTTTATTGTGTTAAGAGGATTTTCCACTTCCAGGTGGATCATCAAGACTATTGGTCCTCCCAAATGTCAATAATTCTGGTGATACTCATCAACTAAGACCAGAGTGTTTTGTTCAAAAAGTGGAGAAGGTGGTTGTTTCTTAAAATTTGCAAAAATCCTCCTAAACACCTTTTATGTTTAACACAAATAGTTGAAACGAGTCTTTTTGTGTGAATGGTTTTATACAAAGCACTGAGATGCCAGAAAACAGTGCTCTTAATTAGATGGTGGCTCTAGAGGAGAGTGGAGCAGTGGAAGCGTGCTGGGCCCATAACCTGGAGGTTGATGGATCAAAACCATTCTCTGCTATTAGGAAGATGACTCTTTTCATTTAAGCCCAACCTTGTCCCAAAGTTTGGGGCGACAGTGGCGCAGTTGGTAGAGCCTTTGAACTTGAAAGTCGTGGGTTCAAGCCCACAGTGAGACCTTCTCCACTGACTCCACTAATGTCTGCTGTTGTTGTGTCCTTTGGCAAGATACTTTGCCTATAACGGGCGTGGAAGTAATGTTCGCGGTGTGCCTGTATGTGTATTCATCAAACTGAAATTTCCCTACTGTGGGACAAATAAAGGACCTTCTTCTTTTACTTTCTTTTCTAAAGATAATTATATTTGTAGTAGTATTTCAGTTAATTCATGCAAATATTTGAGCGCTCATAAACTACTGGCTTCTGTTGTGTGAGCTTACAACATCCTTATTTGCAGATCCTCTCGAAGAAGAAAATCCAATACCTGTGCTCACATTGACGTATGTGTTCTGCTGAGTTGGCATAGTCTGTATCGTCATAGATCCTGAACAAACTGTCAAATACGATATGACTGTTGTCCATTGCGTCTCCCCTTTTAGTTGAATAGGTTTGTGTAAAGAAGACTTTCAGTGCTGACAGTGGAGTCAGCATTATTGGGATAATTTATTTCAAAACCAGCTCTATAATGTGTTGTGTAATGTATGCTTTATGCTGTCTTGTTTGTGCACATTCCCCACTTGAAAGGGATAAACCCCCCCACATGAGTTTCAACTGGATTTCACTCAATAAGCAGCCATGGGTCTTGGTTTTCATTCCATTTATTGGGTTTAGGTGAAAAACCTCAAAGAGAACAGAAACATAATCCTTTTTTATGTAAATAAACTGTATTTCTAATTGCCATTTTTTTAAACAAATATTGTTCCTGCCTAGTAGATCAAAATAGTATTGTATTTTAAATAATATTTGCACCCAAATGAGGTAATCTATATTTTAACCTGGTTTTAAGATTTTACATATCAGTAAACTGTTTAAGACCTTTTCTAAACAGTTCTGCATTCTTATAGTTTGTTATATGGTATAGTATTTTTATAGTTTTATTGTATTTGTAATTGACATTTAGCCATATGTTCAAAACCTCTTTTGTAACTCATATTTTCATAGATATTTTTTACAAACGTTTGAACCATATTACATTATTTTAGCTTTTATCAAACTAACAACACAATTGGATACATCATAAATATAAAGTTTTTATTTTTCTTATGTAATATACTGTTGCAATGGCATGATCAAATGTATTCTTTATTTTTTTGAAAAGTAACTGGATTCTGAACACTACCAATAGAAAAAAATTGTATGTATGCCTGGTACATGGAACTCCCCAACACTGCTGTTGCTGTTGCGCCGAGAATAAAGTTGAATTGAACTGAAATGAACTCATAACCTTTGTAAATGATTGTACAGTTTCATCTGCCAGCACTCTCCTTTTCTCTTCCTCTTGTGATTATTACATATAATATATCTTTAGTTGACCACAGCACCTCAGCTGTTGAATGACACCACGAGCGTTTATACTAGCTCTGAGATCAAAATCATTCAAAGACTGCTCACATAATTTCACATTTTGTCCTGTTTATGGGATCTTTAAAGTTAGTATTGATTCATATCTGATTTGAGATACTTTTGATGTCCCTAACAGGGTCCTTCCTCCGTGATGGCACCACCTCTGTCCCTGAGGCTGAAGTACATGTCTCTGGGGGTCCTGGTGCTGCAGACCACCTCGCTGGTCCTCACTATGCGCTTCTCTCGCACTCTCAAAGAGGAGGGCCCCCAGTACTTGCCGTCTTCAGCTGTGGTGTCGGCTGAACTTCTCAAAATAGTTGTGTGCACTCTTATTGTCTTTGTGCAAAACGGTAAGTGTCCTCAGTTTTTAGTGATGCACGTAGAAATACAGAAGAGATGTAAATATTGAGCTGGAAGTTTTTTTCATTATCCCTCTAGTTATTTCTCGACAACAACATACATACACGAGCACAACAGCACATAATCATTAGCACATTCATAATAAAACAGTTGGACCAACATGTACTGTATGTATAATTATGCTTTTATTATATCAAATGGTTAAAATGTGAAGGTTACACCAGAGTGTCCATCAATGCATGTTGTAAAAAAATAAAAGATAAATTGAGATGCATAATCTTGAAAAGGCTTCCCCTTCCAAACAGCATAGAAATATATATGAACAATAAGGTAAGGGTGAAATTATTATTACTTATTCATTTTAATTGTAGCGACTGGGTCACTACAAGATCAAATTTACTAAAAATATAAGCAAATTTTCACATAAAAAGTAGTATAATACACGTTTAAGTAAAACTATAATTGTTGAAGCATTGTATATATTTATAAGTAAAACATTATGAGCATTGCCTTTGAAACGCTTATTATTGTAGAAATGTTTCATACTGACACAACATAATGACCTGAACTTAGGATCCTGGATAACCACTCTAAACTACTTTTTATGTTGTAGGTAGGAGTAGAAAGTACAGATAGTTTGGTAAAAATGTAAGGATTAAAAGTCAAAATTTATCAGAAAACTATGTATTATTCCATAGAATACACCAGGAAACATTGCCTCATCATTTGCCTCATAAGACTTATATTAATGTACACATTGACTCACTGGGTGGTCCTCTCTGGCAGATTTGAAAGTTGGAGCCATGAACCAGCAGCTGAAAGTGGAGATTGTTGACAAGTGGACAGAGACACTGAAATTGGCCATTCCTGCAGGAATCTACACGCTACAGAACAACCTGCTTTATGTGGCTCTGTCCAACCTGGACGCAGCCTCCTATCAGGTTACTCTCAAATATGCTGTGTCCACTTTTCTCTATTACACGATTCATTATTGTAAAGTCCAGCTGTCTAAATTAAGTTAACACTGGAGTACCTTACTTTGAAACCACAAAAAGTGCACCAATTCAATTCTTGTTTCGCCCTAAATCACAACAGCAGTTATCTCGGAGGACTTAACATTTACATTCGTTAACACAGATAAGAGAATTGAACACAAATCTATCACTAGTTTTCACATGCATGTATCTCTAGCCTCTGATCAAGATCAAATGCTTTAAACAGATAAAGAAATGTTACTTAAGCAAGACTTCATAATTGAACAAACACAATGTATTTATGAAACAAAATACATTGTGAAATATGATTATTAACCAAATATTTCAATTATCTTTTCACAAGTTAACACCAAGTTTGTTTTAGCTCAAAATGTTAAAATATCTATTGTTTATATTCTGACCTCAGTGTGTGTTGTATTCTTGCATGGTCTCCTCTGATGAATGCCAACAGGCTCAAACATGCAACAGCTAAAGCTATAGAAATGGCATTTTTAAATTCTTCAACAATACATATCTTTTGCATACATATTCTGCATCATTCTTGGTCGCTTCAGCAATATATAACTACTTTTTTTAAACTTATTTTTCACTACGACCTTGATTTGATTTGATTCGTGTCCATAAGACTCACCGCTATTGACACAGCTCATCCCCACACATGTGCATTTGATTATTATTAGATTATAAATAATAAAACCGGTGCAGGGAAGTTACGATGTCAAATAGTAGTCGCAGTAGTTCATCTGTGCATTTTGGTTCACAAAGCCATCATCACTTTCATAACAACAGTTGAAGAAAGACCATAGACATCAGAAAGCATAGAAATACATGATGATTTAATATGCATTTGACCACACATTTTCAAGATTCATTCCATAGTGTCCGTACTGTTGGAATAATTTTGTTCAGAATTTTAGCTTTGTCGTATGCTCAAAAATGAAAATATGTAATATCATTTATATTATTATTACTACATTTATATTTATTTATACTAAATTCTACTTAATGTTTCTGGTGGTTCCTGACATTGTTTCAGTTGAAAGCCACAGCCTTAAAGAAGAAATTTAATGCATAATGTTGGCTATTTAAACTTATAATAAGACTGTTCACTTTATCATTTCATGTTTTAGAAATGATATCTTCATTGGAAAATGTATGGTGACACAAGTATCAAGGGTAAATAATGCTATTAGCCTGCCCTGTCCCTGTGCTACCACCACAGGGAGGTGTAGAATTTGAAGATTTTGGGAGGATCTAAAAACAACTCCAAATCTGTTTTTGAAGAGGGAACAAAGTTGTGACATGGTTAAGCGCTCAAATAATTATATTTATTTATTGGCAATATATTTTAAAGCCTACTATTGTAGAAACAGTATGTGTATATATATTATCACGTATGCTTCAGGCAATACCTTATGAATGGATTCTGTATTAAGCTCATGTATATGTTCCAAACAGGTCACATACCAACTGAAGATCCTCACCACGGCACTTTTCTCCGTCTCGATGTTGGGAAAGAAGTTAAGGACCCCCCAGTGGCTCTCGCTGCTCATCCTAATGGCTGGAGTGGCTTTGGTGCAGGTGCAATACTACGCAATAATAACTCAATGATACACAATACAATTTCTGTTTAACCAGTGAGTTCTAACATTAAAATTACTTGTGTTTGAGCTGCAGTGGCCCCTGGAGTCTGTGGGGGACTCTGAGCAGAAGGTGCTGTCTTCCACGTCTCAGTTTGTGGGAGTGATGGCGGTGCTCATGGCCTGTGTGTCCAGTGGATTTGCTGGAGTTTACTTCGAAAAGATCCTCAAAGAGACTAAACAGAGCATCTGGCTTAGAAACATACAACTGGGTGAGTGGAAAGAAATACGCAATTACATATAGAAAGTTAGCTATGGTCATAAGCTTTTGTAGTGATTGCGAATTCAAGGTCACACGAGAGGAGCTTGGTGTAGAGCCGCTGCTTCACTACATTGAGAGGAGGCAGTTGCGGTGGTTTTTTCAGGGCATGTCCCATTTGTAGGAGGCCTGTAGAAGTCTCAGGACACGCCCTGGGAACGCCCTTGGAATACCTCGAATGAGCTGAAGAAAGTGTGTGGGGAGAAGAAAGTCTGGGCGTCTCTGTTCAAACTGCTGCTCCCACAACCCGGCAACAGATAAAGTGGCAGAAAATGGGTAGATGGAAGCTAGATTAGTAAATGTGTTCGTTGTTGGTACTCATAATGGTTGGCCTTGCATCTGTGCCTCAGACTTGGCCAGATTCCTTTCACTTCCCCATTTACTTTTATTTCACAACAGATGTTTTGAATGTGATGTTCAAGATTTGAGGATTTATTTGCTATTTGCAGTAAAACCACTTTGGAAAAACTGCAAGACTACCCCAGTGTGCACCAGACAGAAAAGATAGTACACACCAGCACTCCTGCCGCGTTTTAGCGACTTACAGACTGTGTGCTTTCTTATGAATACTTTTTTATACAGATATATTGTTGTGTGTCTGTATTAGCAGCAGACTGTAGACCCATATACAGTAAGATAACACAGGAACACCTGAAGAAAATGTAACAGAATGTCTTTATCAGTGCCTGTAATCCTTGTGCACTCAAACTAAATTATACGTTATGGGTCTTTGCGCCTCCACTACTCTCTCATTATGGCTCTTTTCCTGAGTTTTTGTCTTGTTTTACGACATAGGACAAGCGCCGTGCAGGGGTCAGTGGCCACAGCGCTGTCATTAAGAGCAAGAGAGAGTAAGGGGAGGGGCACTGGGACGGGGGCGTGGGAGAAGAGATTGTGACAGGGATGTTTTATGAGTTCAGACAGCTGCCCCTATAGTGAGTTTGGCTGGGCAATCTGGGGAATAATACACATCACAATGTTTTACCTTAAATCAGGGATCTCCAAACTTTTTCAATCGGAGAGCTACTTTTATACAAGAGAAGAGGCAGAGAGCTGGTCCTTTTTGCAGTTGTAATAAAAATGCATGTAATAATTACGACAAAACATGGAGAACACATGTGAAATATACCATATAAAGGCGGCACGGTGGCTGAGTGGATAGCACTCTCGCCTCTCAGCAAGAAGGTCCTGGGTTCGAATCCTGGTCGGAACAGGGCTTTTCTGAGTGGAGTTTGCATGTTCTCCCTGTGTTTGTGTAGTTTTCCTCCGGGTACTCCGGTTTCCCCTACCACTAAAAGTATGTTCACTAGGTAAAATCCTCCAGCTCCGGTAGTCCTGACCTAGCCTGGTTGTACCACACCTTAGTACAAATCACATTTCATACTAAGGTCTGGATTTTCTCCATTGATCTCCGTGAACAGGTCGGAGGGGTTAACTCCTTTTGCAGATTGAAACGATTGGATCTGAGTTTACCGTGACATATGTAATGCTCCCGAGTGTGTTGTTAGCATTTAGCATTTAGCCTAGCCATCTCCTTTGCTGCTAACGGAGCCCGTGGGGAGTAGCGCCACAATCTTGACCAGCGATTACATTTGCTAAACATTCCTCTTGCTCCGGCTTCAATTTCTTGATTGAAGCAGACCGGATTACTTTACTATCGCATTCTTCGCCATTGCCAAACTACAACCTGCCCGTTCGGCGCAAACTCTTGACGTCACCGGCACCGACCTACAACGCCCGCCTTCTGCGCTCTCTGAGTAGCCGGTCGAAATACGACCGATTGTATTCGCTAACACAGGGACCAGACCCAGACGGTTACATGCAGTGAAATGATGATTGAGCGGAGTGTACGGATGGCTATGGCCAGGCTAGTCCTGACAAAGCCGAGCATTAACATCTGGAGATGGGTTCCCGGGCGCTGTTACTACGGCGACCACTGCTCCTGACGTAAGCCTTAGTGGCATCAGGATGGGTCAAATGCAGAGGACAAATGTCCCTACGGGGACAATAAAGTGCACATTTACATACTGTGTAACCTTATATTAATACTTATAATAGTTATGTTATGACTCAAAAGTAAATATTTCAAGATCATGTGTTCAATTCTAAATCCTTTGGGGAGCTACCTGATAGGGGCTGGCGAGCTACTGCTATATCTCCTGAGCTACTGGTTGGAGACCCCTGGCTTAAATGGATTCATCTTGATTATTTGATAGATGTCTTGATTTCTTTTCATTCTTTCTACTAAACACAGAAAAACTTAATAATAATTCTCCTTGCCATACTTTGATTTGAACCTCTCAGATTATTTCTATGAGTAATTTGATCTTCATTGTTCTCCTGGAGCTGTTTGTGTGTATGATCATTAGGGTTATAACTTTTTTACAACCTCATATCCCTGTGTCTTTATGTAATTAACTTTTATGAAAAAATAAATAAAATACCATTTTTAAGTTATTTTAATGAAAAAAACTCACCCACAAACTGATTTTTAAAAATTCAATATTCATACTATTCATAAAAATGTTGACATCATTCCAAGCAGATTCCAATCTGAACAAAAATGTTTCTAAAGGATAAGTATTTATTTCCAATTACAAATTATAAACAATTGAATACAATTTAAAAAGAACATTTTGAAATTACTGTGTATTAAAATGGATAACAATTAATATATGTAATATAGCAAATGTTTACCTGGTGTTCCTAATAAAGTAAACAGAGCCACATTGAATAAAATTCAAAATAGACACTACATGAAAACAGTCTTTTAATAAAAAAAAGGCTTAGAGACTACAGTAATAATAGAAAGTGCTTTGTGTGTGACCTTTTTTAATATCCCAATGGAATAAACACCATTTTGGGCCATTATAAGCAAGAGTTCATCCATTCCTACTACAGGAAATCAAATTTGAAAAAAAAAGTCACAAAGTTATAACCCTAATGATCATGTGCTTTGTCAATTCTTGTTGATATTTGTTTTAAAAATGATCAAAAAAATAGATTGAGCAAAGTTGAGATCACAATCTTTTAAGACAAGAAAGTACATCACAATTATATTTAACAGTATTTCCGGAATAATGTCTTTTCTCTCTGGTCTGTATATATAAGCATGGAAATACAACTTTATTTCATATTACCTAATAATGATCATTCTTCTGGACTTTATTTGCACTTTTTCGTCCACAAAGACTTAATCTCTGTGTCTACGCTCTTGTTTTGAGCATGATAGGTTCTTGTGGGATTGTACCAGTAAAAGTACAAGTTTTGTGGCAGTGAATCTGAAGTGGTTGAAACTCTTGAATTTCAGTCGTAAATCATAGAAATGGTTGTTTTTAGACTCCTTTATGACTCTTCTGGCCACCCTGGAAAAGCAATGTTCCAGCTTCTTCCCTCTGACTGAAGATATCGATCACTGAGATGCTGTTTGCAGTTTGAACAAAGAAATTTAATAGTCTTGCGTTTAATCTGTTTTTGTTGATTGGTTTCACAGTGACAATTGTTTCCTGTACTTTGTAGGTTTTAATTTATGTACTACTCTGGTGCACACTGGGGTACTTTTGCACATGTATTCCAAAATACTTTTACTGCAAATGGCAAATAAAGTGAATCTGAATCTGTTTGATTTCCACATGGTCAGTGTTAACTCTCTCCTCCTCTTCACCAGGTTTGTTCAGCTTCATCATGGGCTCCATTGGGATGCTGGTTTATGATGGAGAGAGTGTGAGCCGAGCAGGCATATTTCAGGGCTACAGCGCCATCACATGTGTGGTTGTCGTATTGCAGGTAAGAGTTGCTTAGTTGAATCAGGACAGCCCATATTAGTGTTTAGTGTTGTCAAACAGTCTAAACATTAAAGTAGTACTAGAATTTAATATGCTGCTATCCAGAATATATAACTACAATATGTGTTTATAATATTTCGGGTGTTCATTTTGACATGTTCAGATGAATTATGTTAAAAAAACTGCTTTGAAGTGGCACCTTTTCACTTCCGCATAGAAACGCTAGGGGGAGCCAAAATGGCGGCGATGATGTAGGAGAAGGACCTCTCACAGCAGCAGCAGCAGTCTTAGCTGGAATCTGTAGGAGGTTTCACTGTCATCTGAACAAGGTATAAACATATTTTCATCCGTTTTGTACATAATAGTGTGAAACTCTTAACCTTTTAGCCTTATTTGTGAGATTCAAGCTAATTAGTGTTGGGCAAGTTACTCTACTTGATATCATAAAACATGCTAACAAGGCTAATATTGGTTTTTACATTATGCCAGTCTCACTTTGGTTGCCTTAGATTTATTTACCACAATGTACATTGTAATATTCAAAAATGCTAACTCCTATTAACTGTTTAATTAGCATTTTATAAATGATTGCATCACATGTAGTCTATGTTTTCAACTTCTGCAGCTTTTTGTTCATAAAAGTAAAATATTTATTTAATTCAAGTTATTTTGATTAGCATTTATGGATATTACAATGTACATTGTGGTAAATAAATCTAAGGCAACCAAAGTGAGACTGGCATAATGTAAAAACGAATATTAGCCTTGTTAGCATGTTTTATGATATCAAGTAGAGTTAGCTAACTTGCCCAACACTAATTAGCTTGAATCTCACAAATAAGGCTAAAAGAGTTGCGCACTATTATGTACAAAACGGATGAAAATATGTTTATACCTTGTTCAGATGACAGTGAAACCTCCTACAGATTCAGCCCAGACTGCTGTCTGCTGCTGTGAGAGGTCATTCTCCTACGTCATCGCCATTTTGGCGCCCCCTAGCGTTTGTGAAAAGGTCCGACTTCAAAGCTGTTTTTTTAACATAATTCATCTGAACATGTCAAAATGAACACCCGAAATATTATAAACACATATTGTAGTTATATATTCTGGATAGCAGCATATTAAATTCTAGTACTACTTTAATATAATTTGGCATGTAACATTTGCAAATGTATATTCATACCAGAGTGGTGGTTCCTCGGTTTAAGTAGCGATTTTTCCAAGGGGACTCACACTCCTCAGTCCAGGGCCTCTACCTCGAGAGGAGCAACTGAAGTTCATAGGAAGCTGCATTTGCCTTAAAGTGGGTTCCCAAAAACACTCGCTTCTCAGGATTCTGTCTTCAGAATCCAGTTACAACAGGGTCTTTTTGAGTTTGCATGTTCTCCCAGTGCTCCGGTTTCCCAGATCACTAAAATCATGTACAAGAGTTCAAATCAACCTGCTCAAGTCCTGAGTAAGATGTTTTGCACTACTACCAATAGAAACCCTAGTGGTATTACAGAATGGGTCAAATACAGAGGCCAAATTTCATTTGGGAAAAGTAAACTTAAACGATAACCTCATAGTGTAATAATGCAGTGATGGATTATAGTAAGTAAGTAAACTTTATTTATATACCGCCTTTCACAGACCAGAGCCACAAAGCGGTTTACAATTGTGGGCATTTGTCTCTCACTCCACACAGAGATGGGGTCACCAGTACAGGAGGCACATGCCACACCTATTGTACACATTTTTAGTGGTAGGGGAAACCGGAGTTTAAAAATGTACAAATGTATAACAACTATTTTCACAATTCTTTTTTTCTGAATTGTGAATTAGAAAAGGATAAAACAAACTTGAATACATCCCTAATAGAGATGTTTTTGTGTAATATAAAAAATGCATGATGAAATATTGTTTATTCTGAATACCATCAAAAGAAAAAGTAATGGATTGAAAATCAAAATAGTTTTCTGAATATGAATTGTTCATCATTGTTGTCCTGTTACATGTGTTCCATTACTCCCCAACGCAGTAAACAGCTTGTTTCCACAGGTGTCTGGGAAGGGGGACTGTAGTGCATAAGAATGAATTCATCCTGAGGCTGTAATCATTTCATTGTTGTGCTTCAGGCTCTTGGTGGCTTGGTCGTAGCAGTCGTCATCAAATATGCAGACAACATTCTCAAAGGGTTTGCAACTTCAGTGTCCATCATTGTGTCCACATTAATCTCATATTTTATCCTTGCTGACTTTAATCCAACGAGGTAATCATTATTGATTGTATAAAATCAAATGGCTTCCAAGTTGCCAGGATTCTATTTGATCGGATTATTTCTGTTTATTTTCCAGTGTATTCTTTGTCGGGGCCCTGCTCGTCATTGCTGCCACATTTCTCTACAGTTATGAGGTCAAAACCCCCATAGCAAATGCAATGACGGTATAACAGAAAGGTAGATGTTACAAAGACATTGAGATTAAGAGGATCCCTGCTTGCCAGTCATTTGGTCAAGCATCAATTGTGCAATAAAAATATTGTTTTGTATGTCGCGAGATATGAGGAATGTTGCTGTGAAGACAAAGTCTTCAGGTATTCTTCTATTTATATTATGTTTTAAGATCCAATCTGTTATTGATGTGAGTAGAACTCATCATTATTATTCTTTGATCCTCTACAGTAATTCACCATGTTTCACTTCATGTATATACACTTTATGTACTGTCAGTTTGTCATGTGTTATTATGCATTTATTTATGAATACAGTGGGTATTAAAATGGAATGGTATGTATCTATTTATATTTACCGGTTTAGGTTTTTGTATTTTACATATTTACAGTGCCTTGCGAAAGTATTCGGCCCCCTTGAACCTTTCAACATTTCGCCACATTTCAGGCTTCAAACAAAGATATAAAATAAATTTTTTTTGTCATGAATCAACAAGTGGGACACAATCTTGAAGTGGAACGAAATTCATTGGATAATTTAAACTTTTTTAACAAATAAACTGAAAAGTGGGGCCTGCAATATTATTCGGCCCCTTTACTTACAGTGCAGCAAACTCACTCCAGAAGTTCAGTGAGGATCTTTGAATGATCCAATGTTGTCCTAAATGACTGATGATGATAAATAGAATGCACCTGTGTGTAATCAAGTCTCCGTATAAATGCACCTGCTCTTTGATAGTCTCAGGGTTCTGTTTAAAGCGCAGAGAGAACCATGAAGACAAAGGAACACACCAGGCAGGTCCGAGATACTGTTGTGGAGAAGTTTAAAGCCGGATTTGGATACAAAAAGATTTCCCAAGCTTTAAACATCTCAAGGAGCACTGTGCAAGCAATTATATTGAAATGGAAGGAGTATCAGACCACTGCAAATCTACCAAGACCCGGCCATCCCTCCAAACTTTCATCTCAAACAAGGAGAAGACTGATCAGAGATGCAGCCAAGAGGCCCATGATCACTCTGGATGAACTGCAGATACCTACAGCTGAGGTGGGGGAGTCTGTCCATAGGACAACAATCAGTCGTGCACTGCACATATCTGGCTTTAATGGAAGAGTGGCAAGAAGAAAGCCTTTTCTCAAAGATATCCATAAAAAGTCTTGTTTAAAGTTTGCCACAAGCCACCTGGTGCTCTGGTCAGATGAAACCAAAATCAAACTTTTTGGCCACAATGCAAAACGATATGTTTGGCGTAAAAGCAACACAGCTCATCACCCTGAACACACCATTCCCACCTCAGCTGTAGTTATCTGCAGTTCATCCAGAGTGATCATGGGCCTCTTGGCTGCATCTCTGATCAGTCTTCTCCTTGTTTGAGATGAAAGTTTGGAGGGACGGCCGGGTCTTGGTAGATTTGCAGTGGTCTGATACTCCTTCCATTTCAATATAATTGCTTGCACAGTGCTCCTTGAGATGTTTAAAGCTTGGGAAATCTTTTTGTATCCAAATCCGGCTTTAAACTTCTCCACAACAGTATCTCGGACCTGCCTGGTGTGTTCCTTTGTCTTCATGGTTCTCTCTGCGCTTTCAACAGAACCCTGAGACTATCAAAGAGCAGGTGCATTTATACGGAGACTTGATTACACACAGGTGCATTCTATTTATCATCATCAGTCATTTAGGACAACATTGGCTCATTCAAAGATCCTCACTGAACTTCTGGAGTGAGTTTGCTGCACTGAAAGTAAAGGGGCCAAATAATATTGCACGCCCCACTTTTCAGTTTTTTATTTGTTAAAGTTTAAATTATCCAATAAATTTCGTTCCACTTCACGATTGTGTCCCACTTGATGTTGATTCCTGACAACAAATTTAAATTGTATATCTTTATGTTTGAAGCCTGAAATGTGGCGAAAGGTTGAATACTTTCGCAAGGCACTGTATTTTGGGAACAACCTTTCCCTGTACAGCCTCTACAGCCTCTGAGCCGATGGAAAGGGATCAGACAGAAAGGCAGTTTTGACCTTGCTGCTCATAGTGTGAGTGTTTGTATCAAAACATTGCGCTTTTTAAATGCAAACTAAATGAATAAATTAAAGACTTTTAATATTCAAACTATGAGCTCTGAGCTTTCATGTGGCATCAAAGTAGTACCAAACAGAGCGTGTATGTACGCACACACGCGCACACACACACACACTGTTGTTTTTCTAAAACAGTTGTTGCACATTTTGGAAAAGCAACCAGGGGCCGTATTCCTAAAGATTCTTAGTGCTAAAAGTTGCTCCTAGTGGCCAAATTCTAAGAATTTTCTTAGAATCTTGACCAACTCTTAGAATTTCCCCTAAAAGTGACGAGTAGCTCCTAGTTAAGATAAAAGCTATTCCTAAAGAATCCTAGCTCTTAAGAGTGCTCCTAAGGGGAGATCCCTTAAGAGTTGAGAGGTGGACTTTTAGCGACTTAAAAGTTCCCTAAGAGCTCAAAATGGTGGACGGTGGAGACAGGAGAAATATTCTATACACTGGATGACAGTGAATCAGTGAAACGCTACAGATTGAGTCGAGCAGGAATTATGCTTCTGTAATATTTAAAAGTCAATCATGTGACCAGCTTCTTATAGGCTGGTCAGCAATAACAACTCATCCATTTTACCCTTGTTACACAAAAGTAGGTAGAAATGGTGAAAGTTGAAAGAGAGAAAAATAACCAGCATGGTAATAATAAAAGCAAGTAAATGTAACTATTATTGCGTTAATACTGTACAAGTGGGCCTACATTTTCACACATTCAGTACGAATGAATGAATACTTTATTTTGAGCCATGGCAAACAAGAAAAAAGGACAAAAACAAACAAAACAACAGAATAGAAGTACAAATACACAGTTTTGTTTTATTAACAACAATCCAGCTCAAAAAGGAGTGAGAGAGGTTAAGACTTTTAAACTCCCTTGTACTTGATTTGTACATTGTATGTATAATATGTTTGTATTAATATTGTTTCCTTAATGCCTTATACGTCTGTCAGTATCACAGCCTTTACTAATCCTAACGTTATCACTATCATCATTTATCCATATAATATTTATAATAATAATTTTCTTTTTCATGTATATTATATATAGAGTAATATTTAAATTGTATGTATATATACATAAATATATATATATATATATATATATATATATATATATATATATATAATATAAAATTATAAGTGCTCATGATATATACGTACTATGTATTTGTTAGAAATTGGTGCTGAGCAAGCTCTGATGATGTGGTGTAAAAGTCTATCTTACTATTCACAGTATTTATGCACCATTGATATATCTGACTTTATAGCGTTTGGTTATTATTTACAATAACACAGTATTCCTAAGATTAGATTCCATTATTGAGTTTGTCCATTTTAGGGCCCTTATTTTGCCCATTATCATCAAAAATATGTTTTTACTAACTTTTAAGATCAACCAATCACAGCGTCTGAAATGATGACTCATACCTAGCAACGGGGTCGGCCACGCCTCCTCACTAAGATAAAAGTTGTTGTCAATTCCTTGCTCAGAGTTCTCCAAGAGTGTTCTGGAATAACTTTTAAGCTAAGACTCCTAGCTAGGAGTTTTTAGGGTAAGATAGGAGCTCTCTGAGAGGACTCTTAGAATCTTTAGGAATACGGCCCCAGGTCTCTATAGCAACAGATGCTTGGCCAAGTGACACAAGCAGACATCCTGCATTCACAAACCCTTTTCTCAGTATTTACACTGGAGTAAAAGTAGCAGTCTTTATTCAACAGGTACACTCAAATACTCGTTGCATAGTTGTGGATGTAAGAAGAGATGTGTGTTTGAAAGGGCAGATGGTAAAGGTGTAGCAGGAACCTGTGGAGAGGCACAGATGGACCATGAGTCACTGAGGGCTACAGGGCCAAAGACTTCTTCAGCACTCTTAATACACACATGTATGTGTAACAACTTCAGATTCTCGTGGTGCTTGAAAATTAATGTATATATTGCAACATGCGTGCCTCTGTAGTTCAAATACATCTTTGTTAGTCTTAACAAAAGTTGCTTAATCTTGTTTGCAATCTTGAGTCCCAATTCTAGCACTTAGAAACACGTGTCCCTGGACAGATTTCCTCCCAGCACTTTTCACCAATCCCTGTCCTATCCCTATTCCCAACCAGTTCTGACAGCGGGATAGAACTGATTTTGTGGAATTAATATATTATGGCTGTTCATTTAACTGTCTTGAAGGAAATTTCCAGTGCAGATATAATATGACAAATACTCGTTGTTTTACTCACATTAATGCCTCTTGTGATCCCCTGAGTGAAGATAAGTCTTTGACAGTAGATGGATTGTCTGCCCTGTTCCAACAGTAATCAGTTTCTGGTTTGCCTTCACTGCGTTGTTTTTAAATTGTGGGTGGCATTTTTCCAAGTCATTTACACGGCACTCGAGAAAGCAAATTTATTTACTTGCCCAAAGAGGAGAAAGTTTCAAACAAGTTACTATAGTATTTGGTGTATTAGCACAAATCCTGTGAATCTGTGGCAGATACAATCAGATGGAAGCATGAGTTAAATGTTTAACTAATATCTGTATAATACTGCGTTCTATCGTGTATATAGTGAAAATAAGTTTTACTGAGTGTATTGAAGGCCTTGGTTGGCGCTGATGAGGTTTTACAGCCTGCAATCAAAATGTCTCCAGGTAACAGGAACAGGTATGCAAAACAAATGCTTTACAGCTGCTCCTCAAGAGCAGACTCTGCTCGTTCATGCAATAAGATCTACATTAGGGTGCAGGGTGCAGTTCAGTCTGGGGCAAAACTTCAAGGTAGAAAAAACCTTTATGTCTAAATGGCAATAGAGCTGTAAAGCAGTCCTTTGACCTGAGTCAATTCAGTAAAACGCTCTTTTGCAAAAGTCCCTTGTAAATCTCTTGAAGCTCTGTTTATATATTGAACCATGCTAGACTTTCTTTTTTCTTCTCCCTGATCCTGATCTCTCTTCCCTGATCCGACGTTTCTTCTTACATACTACATTTATGATAAAACAATCATTATTTCATCTGTGTACCGCCTTCACTTATTTTTGGTGGTATGACGACAAGTGGAGCCCCCCTGCGTGGCCTCCACATGAGTACTTGAGCGTCATTGGCATTGGGCCTGCCCAGTGCGTTTGGGGGAATAGGCTCCTGGTAGTTCAGTATGTGTGGCTGTTCCTGATAGGGACGCCCCAACAGGGAGGCTCGAGACCCCAGAGGCATGTCAGGGTCCACTGCAATGTCCACTCTCATCCGCCACCGCACCGTCTGTAGGACAATCCTTTCCTGTAAGTCCACACCACAAATTAACACTCGAGTTTATCTCTTTGAGTTGCTCTACAGCTATGTTGAGACTTCTGGTGTATCTTACCTTTGTGATGGAGTTCATAGCCACAAGCCAGGTGATGAAGCTCTGGTCGCGGGTGATGTGGGTGAGCATGGGGGTGTTGCTGTTGCTGATGGGGACTGCCCACGTGACGCTGGGGTAAAAGTTGTCGTTCATGCTGACCGTGAGGCGGGAGGGTTTGGAGGTGGGTCCGGTCAGTGTCACTGTCTCTGTAGTATTGCCGTACCAGGGATAACTCACACCGTCCGAATCACTGATGGCTTTGACTCGTCCGTCACGCAGCTCAGACAGCTCCCAGCTTGACCTACACAAAGACAATGAGACAAAAGGTGATTTGAGGCATGGTCCAGTATGAAAACATTATTAGTGATTCAAAGGAAAACAAGAAGAGACTTTAAACCAGAGTTATTAGTACAAATTGAATGTGCAATATATCAGATACAGGTCTCACAACATCATACAACACATATTTAATCAGTGCTGTGTTAGATTCACATCATGGGTTTTTTGGGGGGATTTTACAACTTTCCCATAGGGACTACAGTTGGAAACTAATTGTTTAGCTAATATGTACATTCCTATACTGTCAACATTTGACAATACAGACCTTAATTCTGTATGGTCAACATTCATATTTTAGTCACTAATTGAAAGGGACAGTGCACAGCTACATTTAGCTCAAAGACAGCGTTTGGTTATACAGTAGCTACACGGTTAGTTTCCATCTGCAGTCCTTGCTAACATAACAAATAAAAATTATAACAATCAAATCAACATAATAATTGTATGTATTTTCATTTTGGTGTTGTATTTAGCTGTCAAATGTTTCTATCTACTATTTCAGATGTTTCAACGCGCGGGCGGCACGGTGGCTGAGTGGATAGCACTCTCGCCTCTCAGCAAGAAGGTCCTGGGTTCGAATCCCAGTCGGACCAGGGCCTTTCTGAGTGGAGTTTGCATGTTCTCCCCGTGTCTGCGTAGGTTTCCTCCGGGTACTCCGGTTTCCCCTACCACTAAAAATATGTCCAATAGTTCTGGCATGCGCTTCCTGTACTGGCCCCGCTCCCATCTCTGTGTGGAGTGAGAGGACAAGTGCCCAAAAATTAACAATTGTAAACCGCTTTGAGACTCAGATCTGCAGTGAAAAGGCGGTATATAAATAAAGATTACTTACTTACTTACTTATTTAGATAAAAATTACAATTGAACAAAATCATTAAAGCCTTAAGCTATTCCCAAGGTTTATAGCTCTCACTATTGGTTTGTTAGACATAAAACCCCATGTGTCAGGTGTATGGGGTCAGACAATGTGCTGAGCCACTTACATGCCAATATCCCCATAAGTGTTGTAGAACTCCATCTGTGTACACGCCTGAATCCAGCCGACAACCCATGTCTCGTTGCGAGGGACTGGTGGCATCACTACGCCGGCTGATGCTCTGAAATACGGGGTCTTGTAGCGCAGCACAATGGGAGAGTTCTCCTCTATGACTGTAGGACACTGGTCGATAGAGGCTGACACTTCATACACCACGATGTTCTCCCGTCTGATGCGGGGCTTGCAGGCGATGCTCTGGAGGCAGCCCATTGCGCAGGCGAGCAAAACGAGCAACGAAGGCAGCCAAATATTCCTGCACTGTATTGACATTAGTCCTTTAGTTTTGCAGGTTTACTTGACAAGGTTTAATTAGCTTCTGAAGGAGAGGTCGAACCAAATGGACTACGTAAGCACCTAACATGATGTTTGGGGGATGCTCTTTGAGGGGAACAAGTATCGCAGCTATCCGCAGCCTCCTCCCCCTGGTTTGCCTGCTCGATGCCGCACTGCCCTTGGCGCTCGTACCCACAATCTGAAATCCGGCCTGTCCTCGGATCGTCCGCTGCGCACCCTGCTCTTCCCCTGGCCCCAGTCTCGTCCGAACCTTGCCCCTTGATCCTGCTGCTGTGCGCCCGGCTCCGTGCTGTCATGTCAGGCAGCGACAGGGCAGACAGGTGCGCCAGAGGAGAAGCCTTTTGTCTGCTCTTCTAGTACTTCAAAGGAGCCACAGTATCCTTCTCATCCTGCGACCTAGATGTGGACAAAACCCTGGGCTCGTGTCTGGGTAAACAGGGTCGCGGCTGGGGTTTTAATGCATCCCGGACATTGTGTTTCCATTCCCAGAGATGCATGAATGGTGCATCGTGAATGGAGGAACCGAGGCAGCAAAAATGTCCAGAATAAAGTCACATAGATACCCACAGCGGTTTTTGGCTACTTCACTTCGCCTTTACGCGGTTTCAGCGGATTTGGTTCAGAGTCAGAGCATCCTGTAGAGCCTTGTGTTTGGTGGAGGTGCTGATGCTGGAGAAACAAGGGCGGGGCGTCACCCGAGCTCTGCAAAGCAAAAAAACACAAGTGCGTGTGGGCGCGACTACGTGGCTACGTCACGTGCAGCTGCCTCTCCCATTGGCTGTCGCAGCCAAAGCGGAAGTGCCAGCGTTTGAGCCGCCGCTGACACGCATTCACTGCACTCATCGAGCCGCCTTTCCATCTGCCCTCTGTCCGGTGTCTTGTGCCCTCTGTCCTCTGTCCTACCGGAGCAGGGACAGTTTATGTTCGGCCGTTTTCTCGGGTTGTTGAAGCAGGTATCGCAGATGATGAAGCCTCAGGTGGTGTTTGTGTTGGGCGGCCCTGGCGCAGGCAAAGGGACCCAGTGCTCCAAAATAATAGAGGTACGAAGACGATCAAAGCCTCTCACTACCATTACTATATATACCCTTCTAATCTAACTTTGGCTAATGGCACATTCTTCTCTGGGGGCATGGTCTCGTTTTTAGGCTCAATAAATATATGTACAGACCACCGGATGTCCTCTATTTCCGAATTAGCCGCAAGTAGCCACTAGCATCAGGATTCATGATACATCTGGTCTTTAAAACCTAAGTTGGCACTAGTGTTTGTATCTATAGATGTGCCTAAATATAGATATGAATAGTCTATACACTGTATCTTATATGCTCTATTACATGTCCAGAACATGTTAGTATATCTTGTCGTTGTTATATATTATACACACTATGTTCCAGTGACAATTTAAACACGCCAGTCTTAATCTGAACAAAGCCAAGTCCTGGTAGGAAAGTAAACAATGGACACTCCCACTCACATTCTTAGACACACAGGTGCCGACGTGGATGTACAGTCATTTTAACCACCACCACTTTATACCAATATATCCATGCTTTATACGTATATTTAATCTAAGAAAAAAAAAAAAAAAAAGCAGTACAAATAAGGGATCTTGATTTGACTACATTTTCACTGTTACAATTCTGAGAAATTTCTCATTTGAAATAAAGTGCTTAAAACTTACTGTGAACTGTATCTGAATGCTGAACTTTCCTTTCCATTAGCTCATTCATTTTTTGAAAGGTCTTATAACATTTGTTCATTCAGGGATTTCCTTATTTTAGTAATGTGCAACACAAATAAGAGTTTATTGGAGCAGTGTGATTCTGATTCTTTTGCAGTTGTACTCTATATTGTTTATAAATGTACTTTTGAAACTTGTCTGGACAATTGAGGGATTGACAACCCTCTCATCTGTGAGTGTTGAATTATCCTGCCAATTAAAACAAATATTTAAACATGTAATATATAGAACTACACCTACACCCACCTGTCGGCTGGTGACCTGCTGAGGGCAGAGAGAGAGAGGCCGGACTCTGAGTATGGGCAGCTTATCGCAAACTACATCAAAGAGGGAAAGATTGTTCCTGTGACCATCACAATCAACCTCCTAAAGCAGGTATGTCGGCATGGTAACATTTGCCTGAACGTTATTTCATATTTATCAAGAGCTCTGAAGTTTACACATTTTTCTTGCACCGATTATGTTTCAAGGCAATGGAAGAAACGATGAAGAAAGATGAGAAGAAATTCAGATTTCTTATTGATGGCTTTCCACGAAACGAGGACAATCTACAAGGCTGGAATTCAGTGATGGATGAAAAAGCAGATGTCAAATTTGTGCTTTTCTTTGATTGTAGCAATGAGGTCAAGAATTTTTACATGATTTTTTTCTTATAGTTCTAACATTGTTAATTTTGAGAAATGTTTAATGTCAGTTTAATACAGAAATGACATATTCAAAGTGATAGCAGTTGAATATGTAATGTATTTACAGGTCTGCATTAATCGATGTCTAGAACGAGGGAAGAGCAGCGGACGCACTGACGACAACAGAGAGAGTTTGCAGAAAAGGTAGAGCAAGGCCAGTGAGAGTTTTCGTATTTTCGTTTTGCTCAGGCTTGACCCATTTCACTCCCGTTACCTGCATGTTCGTCGTTTGACCCAATTCCCGTCTCCTTCAAGTCTCCTGTGCAGCCTGACCTTGTTAATCTTTTTTTTTTTCCTCTATTGCAGAATCCAAACCTACTTACAGTCCACACGTCCCATCATCGATCTGTACCAATCGCAGGGAAAGGTGCGCACAGTGGACGCCTCTCGCGGGGTTGATGAGGTCGGTTTCCTTTGCATAAGCAGAGTTTGGATGTGAAAGAGTCCTTTTGTGTGTGGGGGATGTGTCTGGTCTGATGAATATCCCGATTCATAGCTCCACTCTGTCAACGTTTAGATAATATCAGCGACTGGGACTAAGGCTGCACCAATATAGATGTTTCGGTTCCAAACTTGATGTGAGATGCAAAACGTTAAAGGTGGAAAGATTGAATTTTTTCCCATCAAATTAGGGACAAAAAAACAAATAAGTTTGTCAAAAAACAACTTGTTATGATCACAAGTTAAAACTTTTTCGCAGCATGCGATCCAGGACCCACCCTTCGTGCAATTTGGATCTTATTTATTTATCAGTGGATTTGAAATGTAGAATATCTATAAAACCTTCAAAACCTCTTCTCAAAAAAGATACTGGTCTTTTGAAGCTGACAGATTCGAGTCAGTATTTTGAAACGCTGCTTCCACAATCTTCAGCCCATCTATCTCAATGTGATGGTGTTCTGGCAAACGGCCAACAGATAGCGCCACTTCTATTGTTTTTACTATTTCCAAGCAGCGTTTCAGTCCAAGGCAGTTGATTCAAAATGTTTCACTGATTCAGGAGAACATCGATCACACACAGCACTGTCTCATTCATTGGATCTGTCGGGTTTTCTCCGTAATGTGTTTTGGGGAAAGTAATGGAAATGTTGAGGCAAGACATAACGGTTGAATACACTAATGAATAATTATTAATCACGTTTTTGTGACGCTGTAATAATGGGAGTTGTTTCTTTGGCTTGTAATTAGTTGCTTTTGACCCTCTATAACACAGAAATAAAAAGTCAGCATTCTCACCTGCACAAGGTTTTTCATGTTGGGCAGGATGCAGTGATAGCATCTTTGTTCGTTACACGGACCATGACACGGTGAAAGAATGCACGCTGGCTGTAGTTGAGGTAAAGTTTACCTCAGAACAAATGCGTTCTGACCCATCATTACCGCTTAATAACTTGTTAGAAAAGTCTATCAGCTTAATATGATGAGACCTGATACAAGAACCAACACACTTAAAGAAACAGAAAGTCTAAAAATGCACATTAACACACTGTTTACCGTCAGCTGTTACAGCAAAAACAGTTTGTTCAAAGATTAAATGTATTTCAAGTTTTATTAATCAGTTTTGGCACTAATTAAAAGTTAAAGCTAAACACCTTTTATAAATTAATTGTTTTTTATAGAAGTTGGGGTGACAGTAGCTCAGTTGGTAGAGCATTGGCCTTTGAGCCTGAAGTTTGTGGCCCACCACGGGACTTTCTCCACCAACTCCCACTGATGTCTGCTGTTGTCCTTAGGCAAGACACTTCACCCCCATTGCCTAGAATGAGTCTGGTGTGTGTGTGAATGGTTGGTGGTGGTCGGAGGGGCTGATGGCACATACTGGTTGCCTCGCTTCTGTCAGTGTGCCCCAGGGCAGCTGTGGCTACCGTAGTAGTTTATCACCACTGTGTTTGGAGTGAATGAATAATGACACATGTGAAGCGTCTTTGAGTGTCCAAAAAAGCACTAAATAAATTATTATTATTTTAAATAAAAGTTGACCTTGAATGTCTCTTAAAATTCCAGTGGTAATGGTTCTGGAAGTTAATCAGCGATGATATTTGTTACACTGGGTTTGTGTTTGTGGCTTTAGTTACAGAAAGAAAAAATTGTCAACTAATGGAAAATTAATATTTTTCCACTAGAAATAGTTTATGGGTAAACTGTAATAATGGGACAACATTTATCATATGGTTATTATTAGAAAACATGCATCTCAACCAGTGACAATACCAGTCAGCTTTCCTCATTGTCGTTTAGTTACAAAGCACATTACATTTGTATTGTAATATAATATTGTACCCTGCCCCCACATTGTTTATTGTTGTGTGTTGTGTTCATCAGGTGTTTGCTGACGTGAAGGCCATCTTGGACAAAGAAGGTTGACTTGAGTCTCCACGCAATGAAGTTATTATTCTTTTCTATATTGCTTCTATGAATTTCTGTCAATTCAAATGTTTTTCATAATTTTTTTGTTTTCCAATTTTGTAACTTCTGCACTGACATGAGTTTGTGTACATTATAAGTGTGATTAGAACTGCCATAGCTACTTGCTACCAATATTTGAACCCAAACAACTTAGTTTAGGTTTTCTAAGGGACAATTAAGCACTTAGTGGGGGATTACGGTAGAATGGAATCAGTTTACATATTTATGTAATGAACAGAGAGCCTATGGTAATTGGGTTGGACTTAGGTTTCAGACTGAACAATTGTTCTCATGAATAAAGTGAAATAATTCAATCTTCATAGTGTGATCTTCTTTCTCCACGAAATTTCTTTCAAACGTATCAAATCCACTTTCTAACACGCGTCAACAAAACAATGCTGCTTTTACCAGTTTCAACCAGCAGAGTGCGCTCTAAATACATTAGGAAAGTATGCTGCAAGTTTTAGGGGGCAGAAAAGTGTCACTGGCGAGTATTATTACTTCGTACTTCGTTCTGAAAACGTACTCCTTCCTTTAAACTACATATCTGTACGTTCTACTCTGTGTAGTGTCAGGTGGCGACTCAACATAAAAACAGGTTTGATGAGGTGCGCCATGCTTCTAAGTTCAGATAGTTCTACATGTTTTGTTTAGTGCTTTTATCTGGCCGTTTCCATGATGTAAATCAGTGTCTCCCAAAGTGGGGTCCGCGGCCCCCTGGTGGGCCGCGAGGGTACTGCAGAGGGGCCGCGGGAGGTCATACAAAAAAAAAAAAAATTTAATGTTAAATTTATAATCTTTTGTTTGTAATATTGAAATATTTGTGTTCATTATTTGACTTGAATAATCCACTGTAATCATTTTTGTATTACAATGTTTGTAGCAGAGGCTATTTCCCCAAAATAAAATAACCAGACGAGCCTATTCTTAATGTTGTCTTCTTGGTTATTATTTTGGGGGGCCACGCAGACCCGTCAGATTTTTAAGGGGGCCTCGGTGTTAATGAGTTTGGGAATGGCTGATGTAGATAAATATCGGTGCAGTTCCCGCCAACTAATAATCACAAATGCAATTAACATATAAAAGCTTGTACGTTTATACTTCCACGTATGTGAAGGAATTATTTCAATACTTTTAGTTGATTCTGAAGTTTGATTTCTGTTTACTGTGCATTTATAAAATAGGATTCTTAAGATTATTATCTGAAACCACCTTTTCATTGAGCTGCCATCACCAGCCTTCTGGATCACTAATGAAGTGAGCCTGTGACTATATGTCTACTGTACTTTTGGCTTGGAGTAATGTTGAAAAAAATGAAGTAGCAGTGCAACTGTATAGATTTTATTCTCTTAAATTGTTGAAAATACATAGTTCAGTATTACATCTGGACATATGCCTGAGAACTTTACAAAGCAACACAGACGTTGAGCTTCTACTGCACCAAAGGGTTGAAGTACGAGATGCAATGTGTCACTTCAGGCTAACTGTGAAATCTAAAGTATGGCACTTTCACATTTAAAAATCTCTCCTACAATTGAACTTTATGCAGAACAGTCATTTACATTCAGAGCACAAAGTATTGTTTCGTAAAAAATAAAATTAATCTTTCTTAGAAAATAAAATATGATTTGCTATAGTTCAAATGTGCAAAAATACAAAGAAAACTAAAAAAGGCCCAAAAGACAATATATATACACTTTTGCCTATAAACAATTTGTACCACTTATAAAAATCTTAATCTATACATATGTACATGCATACATTCATAAAATGTTTCAGATGGCCTAGTTAAAATAGATTTCTTTACAAAAGTTGCTGATAGACCATCGGTCAACACTCATCTTGAAATCTCGACCGTAACAGACGTCAGTGCTGCGTAAAATATAGTACCAACTGAAATTCACATTTAAGTCATAACATTCGACACCATAATGTTTAAATGTATGCTACTGATTAAAAACTTTAGAAATGCACTGAATTACGTGTGACTCAAATAGGTTTTTCAGCTCGCATTGACCAGACTGGGCTCTTGAGCGCTGGGGCCCTTCTGATACTGGGCTTTCGTGTTGGTCACTGCCCCATGCTTCTGCCGCAGGTGGAGCCTGAGCTGGCTCTTGTGTCTGAAGTGTAGGTCACAGTTTTCACACTGGAGGAGGCACATAAACAAGTTAACCACTGCATTGCACGGTCATGGTAATTGCGTAACAGTTGGAAGCCGGGTCGCATCAGGTTAATCTTTTTACGGTCTGAGTGGATAAGGGGGATAGTATAGGGGCTTACATGGTACGGTTTCTCGCCAGTGTGGATGCGCATGTGGCTTTTGAGGGTCTGTAGGTGGCGGAAGTGAGTGCCACAAATCTCACATGGGTACGGCTTTTCTCCTGTGTGGATTAGGACATGGGCGCGGAGATGGGCCACCTGAACACAAGCACATAATGATTACTTCAGATTCATAGGTTTGACCTGAGCAAAAATAATGCATGCTATAGGAAGTATAACTCATTCATAACGTGTGATTTACTTACTTGTACAAATCTGGACCCACATGTTTCACACTTGAATGGCTTTTCTCCCGAGTGTATGCGTGTGTGAGTTTTGAGGTTAGCCGGTCGATTAAACTGTGCCCCACAAATGTTGCAATGATACGGTTTTGCACCTAGAGATTTTTCAGAAGGTTAGCCAACATGAAAAAAACTTAATTCAATAGTGATTTATGACGTACCTGTGTGGACAGTTTTGTGACTGGCTAAGTTGCCCTTGTATCGGAAAGATGCTTTGCAGCAATCGCACTTGTATGGCTTGTTGTCACTGTGGGCCCCAGCTGATTGCTCTCTTGTAGACTCTTCCTCCGAGAAATTAGGATCACAACCATTGCACATATATGTGGTTTTCTCTACAGAAAGGACATTTCTAATTATTCATTCATTAAAGACAAAGTGAATGTTGTGTTGTATTAGTAATAAGGCACCTACCACAGTGCGAATACTCAGAAGGCGGTCTTGATGCATCATCACTCAAGGCCAAATCTGGAGAAAGACGCTGAGGACTATCACAACTGTCAGAAAACATATATATGAATTAGTAACAACATAACTGTTATTAACTACAGGTGTCATTTCATGCCCCCATTATCAGAAAGCTGTCTGTGGACACCATTACTAAATAAATGTCCTCTTATCTTAGCTTACCCGATGCTGCTACAGCTGCTTTGGTTCAGTTCATCTCTTTGGTTGTTGAGTCCGTCTTCACTCTGGGATCTGTGATGTCCACTCGACTCATTGTTGTGCCCATTATGTGTTGGAGAATCACTTTTGTTGTTTTCCTCTTGCGAGTCCTTTTCTTCTAATGTCTGGTTCATCAGAATGAACTTGAACTTTTTCCAATTGTGTGCTTTGGGGCAGTGATCTTTCAGGTTAAGTGCTGCGTTCTTACAACTGCTGGACTCTGTGGGTGAGTTGGGCTGTCCGTCGGATCTTAAAGGACTTTGGGGACTGCAGATGAAAGGTTTGTCAAAGCCAGGGGACAGTCTTACGCGGTTGGCCTGAGGATGGTGTACATCATCCTCCATAGGAGTTGGTGAATCCTGAAAGCTCCCTGCCAGTCGTATTATTGATGAGAAGTTCTGACGGCTCATTGGGGTTGTGTTGGAGCAAAACGTATTTGTTGTACTGCCTTCAACCATTGTGCGGTCATTATAGACTTGGTAAGAGTTAGACGTGTTGATTCCTCTAAAAACGTTGGTGGAATAACCTTTAAATCTCTCAGGTGGATTAGAAGCATTAATGCCATCTTCTGTCTGCACTGATGAGTTCCTTTAGAGACATATTTACATTAGGACACAGTTTAGCCAATTTAGCCCGTACAGTGTGGTGATGCGGTACCTGTCTGTGAAGAAGCGCTGGCAGGTCTCTGCCACGTGTTCCATCTGCAGATAAACAGCCACATTTAAAGTGGCTAAGATGTGACTGTCGTTCAGATTCAGACAGGATGTGTACATGAAGTCCAGCAAAATGGAGAAGCTCTTTGGATCCACTCTGGAGTCCAGAGTGATGGATCTGAGGTTTATGTTCTCTGGATCCATGAAGACTGAGTAGAAGAATCCACTATGAAGTAAAGAATAAACATCACATGATAGACTGATATAAAAAACACAATAAGCTGTATGTTGTAAATGACTGTAATCATACCTGCAAGCCACTAAAACTGCTTTGTGAGCATGAAAGAGTTGCCCATCGACATGAATGGTAACATCTGTCAGCATGTTTCTGCTTCGTAGGCGGTTGAAATTAAACAAGACATCTCCTGCATGTCGAGTAAACTGAATACAGCCATCTGCAGCTGTGGTCATGTTGTCAAAGTCTGGGGGAAATGTAAATGTATACATTAAAATAAGACAATTACACAGACAAATGGTACACAGAGACATCACGTGTTTATTGATAACCCTAATCATTAGTGTCATGATTACGAGAAATCATACGAATGTAATTGCAACTATTGATCACAGCGTGGCGCCAGAAACAAAATTCAAGGAGCGGATCATCTCTAATCGACTTCAAAGATCTGTTGTAAATGGCTCGGGCGGTCTCGGACTTATTACGTAACTATCCCTTATTTAATTACACACTGGATTTCCCGTGATGCGTTTGATCTAATCACACAGGTCTTCTGACTTGAGTTTTGTACTTTTCAATTAGGCCTGCATCAAAACAATACATTTCGAAAGCCTTGTGGACAAGTTTGGTAAAGTTGCGCGTGGTTTGGTAAAGTTGTTGTTTAGAGCGTTCTTGTTGTTCAGAGGCGCGGTGAGGGGCGCACGGCTCTTCTGTGGAGCACATTCCGTCCTTATTCGCTCAGATTAAGTTGCGTAGACACACAGTGGTTTCCTGTTCCTCCGCAGCAGTAACAAGTAACCCCTCGGATTTAACGTCTTTCCGCCAGGCAGCACGGAAAATCTACAAGCGCCAAAACAGTACTGGGATGGTACGCACCAGTTCCTAAGTGCGCACACATATCCATGAAATCCTTTGACCCGTCAAGTTCAACAAGTCTGGTCAAGTTGATTTGGCACAAACCAACATGTTTTTGTGCAATCTCTGACTTAAACAACAAGAGCGAGATTCTTATTAACAAAGCCGTAGTGCAATATAAAAGCAAACTATCTATAAAGTGGTGTAACCAGCATAACAAGTCCAGCTGAGCCATGTCTCCGGGAGCTCAACTCTTGACAAGAGTAGACTCAACATGAGCCGTGGCCCAGTTAAGAGAGGCTCAAACATGCAACAATGATCTACACACGGAGCTCTAAAACACCAAGATGGGCCAGTGTTTGCTGTCACTTCCTGAAACATGAATCAACAATTATAACATATATTTTTAAAAATATGTAAAGTGATCCAAATAATTCTGACAAAGGGTTCAAAAGATAATCAGCCTCCCTCCCACAACTCCCTGACTTCTGGCCTCATACTGAGAAATAGGAAGGGATAGAAAAAAAACAGTCACCTTGTGAAAGTTTCCTCGAAACTCTGTTCATCACCAGTTCTCAGAATCCAATTCTAAGAAACACAGGGGCTTAGTTCTCGGAATTTCAACAGAAGACCGCACCACTGCAGCAGAGGTGGGGAGGGCGCGCCGCGACCGTTGCGTCTTTACGCACGCCCAAATCTGTGAGGTGGAAAAAAATCACTGAAAACAAGTGGGCTGTAAAAACACTTTATATATTTTAAATGTCGCATATTTTGTTTTGTTAATTGTATAATTATTTGTGTCGGCTGTAGTTCTTCTGCAAAGTGGACTCGTCCAACAGCAAGGTCAGCTGACTGAGTTATAAATATGTGGAGAACTTGAGAACCTGTTCACGCAGCTTCTGATTTCTGCTTCAAGTTTTTCCCCAAGTGTCTTGATTTGAAATATATCATTTATTATTTTTATTCACTCCATCCAGGCGAGTGTTTTTGTTGTTAGTTATTAATGGACCGACAGTAGGCTACAAATACGGACGTATCCGAGGCTTCTCTGGCGCCTACAGGGACAAAACGATCCTCTTTCACATACGGAGTTAAAGATCATTATTGCAGTCTGTGTGCATACTACAGACTATTATTTTTACCTTGATGTAATGTCAAATAGCTTAAGTTGGCTAAAACGAGAGCAACTTTTTCGACCACTTAACACCACGTTGAGCGTTTTCATGAAATGGAATACAAATTATTTCTAATGTTGCTCGAATAATCTGACAGAACATACAGACAGTATCTATACAGCGCGTGCCCAAGTCAATGCGACACCGTACATTTTTTTAAAGAGCTATAGGTTTGCAAATCACTGGCTGGAGTCCCAAATCTTGTAATGGTTGTACGTGTTTGCTATATGCTCGAGTACAGCATATGCTGAGGATGTCCTTAGCTCTCCCTGACTTTAATTTGCTGACATAAAACTTCCCGAAAGTCAGAAGATTACATGGACATTATAGAAAAGTACAGCCTGTGTGAGAGTGATTGGCAAGACTCCACTCAGAGACCCACCATACTTTTCATCATCTCAAACCATTTGAGAGATGTGTCTTCACCGTGGCTGAGTGAGTAGCCCTCATGTTTCACACAAGTGTCAGTCTAGGCATTTCTATATGGAGTTTGTATGTTTCTCCACGTGTCTTGTTAGGTTTCTTCCTGACTCTCCTGTTTCCCCCACCACTTAATAACATGCACTATAAGTAAAGTCCACTTGCTCTGTAGACCTGATCAAGCCAAACGTCAACATGGAGATTGGTTCTTGCTTCTGACAGGTTTCCCTGGTGGCATTGAAGGATGGTCAAACGCAGAGGTCACATTGTCCCATGGGACAATAGAGTATACCTTATCTACAGAGAAGTTCACCTCATCATCACCTAATGTGATTTAATTCCTGGCTTTTTGGAAAGGGGATTTACGTAGCATAGGAGCAGCCTCCAGACAAGGATTCTTGTCCTTGGCACAAACCCAGTAGCTATAATCGCTCATGTGTGTGGCAGTTTTGAATAACTGAGCAAACAGAACATATAGGATCATGGTTGACTGGGAAATAATATCCTCAGTGCAAACAGCAGAGACTGAGTATCAATGTTTGTCATGAAGAGGGTATACAAAACTTGCGTATATTGTTTTTGGAGTTCACACTTGGAACTCACAAGCCTGTACATATTTGAGATTGTATTGTTTTTTATATATAGGCCAAGCCATTTCCAGCATTTTTTGTTTCGTGAACTCTGAAGTCTTTTCAATGGTTCTGTATGTCTATTGTGTTTACAATAAAGAAGAAGAAATCAAATCCATATTTTTTTCTTTAAAGGGAGGAAGGACAGTCTTGTGCAACTGCCCTGCTAGTTGCCATGGAAATGATTTTTCTCACACTTTCAATAAAACATACTATATAATCTGGTATCAATTTAAGGATATAAACAAAATAAATAAAAGAGTTTGATAGAGACAATATCCTGCAATACATGAATGAATGATCATAATAAGACAGGAAGCTTGTAAATGAAGGATATAACGCTGTAAGAAATGTAAATTAGTGGAGTTGAGCTGTCATTAGGGCTCAGAAATAGAAGAGTGTAACGCCTCTTCTGTTACCATGTAGTTCACAAGAATAGCTCCGCCGTTTTATTTTCCCAAAGTATTCCGTGTGTCATTACCTTTACCTCCCTTAACCTTGCGCACATTTATAATTTTGACAAGTGGCATTGTTGACATATTTCTTTGACAGACTACCTTCCCTACTTTAGCACTCTGCACATCAGCACTTGACTTTAACATGCATAGAACCTTGGTAAAATTCACAAAAAAAGCGATACGGAAAGAAAGGACAGAGTGGTTGTTTGGTTTTTATGTCACGTTATCTCTTGACACATGCAGGTTTAAAACGTTCAGTATGTTTTCAGCACAATCTTAATATTATAGGGAATATATGTATATTTTGCCCTCTAGAAACCAGTATGTGCACAGCTGGACAATGAGATCTGCTGAGCCAGTACATGTCATCTCATCTGTAAATAGTAAATATTGCATCATGGTCACACTGACAGAAGCGAGGCAACCAGTCTGTGCCATCGGCCCCTCCGACCACCACCAACCATTACTTATCTCTGTAAATTTGATGTGGACCTTTCTACTGCTCTTACCTTGGATCCCCCACATCTCACCAGTTGCCTTAAAGGATGTGAGAGACATTTTTCTACAGCAGATTTTAAACTCAACCCATTAGAACACAAGAAAGAGGCAATGATAAAACACACTAGAGTCTTTCATAAATGTCCCAGATCATCAACTGCCCTTAGACTCTCCTCCAAAAAGAAAACTTAAAAACCCACTGGGATTATTATTGCAATTCCACTTTTGCATCTTCTTCTAAAAATGTGTGTACATTTTAGAAAATGTATGAGGGACGAGAGTAGTGGTGTGTGACTTCACTGCATAAGGAGGGTGAGGATATTGATAATCCTCACATACTGTAAAAGAATGCAGGCAGCTCGTCACAGCCGCGTCCAATAAGAAGGACCAGATTGTCTGCTCTTGTTGCTCTCCATGTAAAGAAGCCGTGTCTCGTGTTAACAGCCCCGCCCCCTTAGCCCGCCTGCCCCACGAACCCCCCTGACCCCAGTCCAGACGCAGACTATAGCAGCGTCTTGTCCCACAACAGCCCCCCAGCACAGAGGAGCATGACAGGAGTCAAGGGTCAGCCTAGTAAAATATGACTCCACACTGACCCCTGTCACGGCAACACAAATAACTCCAGCAGGAATGAGCTTTTCTGCCCGTGTCAAGAGCCTGCACTTGAATCTGAGAGCTGAGTATGTGGTAAAAATGTGTTTGTGACAAGTCTTAAATCACGATGAAATCAAACGCATAATGTCTGCCAAAGAATGTGCAGCAGGAATGGTCTATTCCAACTTTGTGAGCCTTGAGCACCTCCTGAACTAAAACACTGTATCATAAAACAAGTAAATAATGCAAAACAAAATGTTTTCTTCTTAGTTTTATAGCTGGTCCATTCTGTCACTTTTATTTAATCAGGCTTTGGTCGGAGCTGCAGTCTACTCTACATATTCAAATATCATTTGCAGGAGACTTGTTTTCAACTTTTGGAACTCGAATTCATACTCTCTTTTATACAGTTCAGTTATTTTAATCCAACACATTGTACAGTGAATGTAGTATTTTTGGTACGCACAGGTATCAGGAATACAGGTATGAAGGAAACATACAGTGACTTTATTGCAGCAAACCCATGCATACCTTATGGTTTTATACAACCTAAGCCGTAAAAACCATGTTACAGAGATTAAACATATACAGTAACAAATGCAAGCTGAAAGTTTCACATTGATGTTAAGATATACTTGATTGTCCCCTTAGGGAAATTTGCATTTGCCCCCTCCTGCAAGTCCAGTGCTCTGTCAGGAGCAATGGTCACTGTAGTAAAATTCAAATTCTGAGTTAGAAGAACCCTTAAAAGACGTCATAGGACACTATATTGTCCTCATAGGTAAACTTCACCCATTCTTTCTTATCACACTTATATTTTGCACAGATATCATTCAAGTAGCACTATAATCTCATTAATCAGAAACTTAAAAACAATTTGTGTTTGGTGTTTTGTGTGGTTGCAAGTTCAAGGCCGAGGTGGCCAAGTCCAAAAGTGCATTTCTTGTCGTATGTGTTTGAGTATAGTGGTGAGTGACCCTATTGGCTCAGCCCTCAGATGAACTTGAAGACGGGGGGTGTGAATGCCATGAAAGGTCATTTGAGGCGAGGTTATACACACACACATGTGTAACTTTAGACGTCAGCAGCAGCCATTAATATATACTTTACTCTTAAGTGTGAAAATAGAGCATGTTCAAGCATGAACGTAACAGGAATACTGAGTATGTTTTTTATTAATGGCATGATATAGAGTGAAAGTGAAGAAGCTGTAATGGTAGATACAGAAACATCCATAAATTAAATTGCTCCTAACATTCAGTTCTTGGGGAAACGTAGAAAACTGTTGGCCATGGCTCTAGTTGAACAATCTTCCAGTGGACGCACAGTGGCTGAGAGGGTAGAGCTTCCTTACAGCAAGTAGATACATGTATCTTCCTGCGTTTGGGTGGGTTTCCTCTGTGTGATCCTGTGCTCCAGTAAAAATGTAGTGATTGAGTGACAGTGGCACGGACTGGTTGCCTCACTTCTGTCTATCAAGGCAGCTGTGGCTGCTTTCTCTGGTTTCCCACCACCGTGTACGGAGTGAATGAATGGTGACTTAAACAAGTGGGTAGACTTGCAAGGCCTTATTATTATTAGAATTGCACCTTTAAGTTTATTAACCTGACAGCCATAAACACAGGGCATTTAGAATGGTAGGAAGATATTATTTATTTTGTAAAATCAGAGGTGTAAGTAGGGGTGAGATTACACAAGTTTTTTTACTTATTTCCGCTCCTCTTTTGGACATTGATTGTTTATTTATTTTGCATAATCAGTGTACAATTACATTGCTTTTGTTTTGTTTTCT